TCCCCCCCCCCCCCCCCCCCCCCCCCATTTCCCTCCTGTTCGGAGCAAGAAACCGCATCTGTTCAAGGCTGCTTCTGCTGGTGTGTCAAGGTGCCCTGGGCGGGCTCTGCTCAGGCAAACCGCGTGGAGCGGGTATGTTTTTTTTGTGGAGCAAACGGCGTGCCTCGCCGGCCCGTTTGCAAACGTCCCGCCGCGACACGTGGGAGAGCCGACTCCGACATGTGTGTCAAACTTTGTTTCATTGTTGATTACAGATGAAATGCATTCTGTTGCTGCCATGGCCATCTTTAATCCCACATCTGCCTTGTTGCGCACCAATGGTGTGTATGTGTCCGTTCTGGAGAACAGGAACAAAAGGAGAAAAAGCCGCTGCCGGCACTTCCCCTTTGCCTGCCAGTGGGAACATGAATTTGAGAAGAGAGGTGGGGGCCGAGATTTTGCTCGGCGTTTGAAACTGTGTTGCAGGTTGTGACAAGGGAATCCGACGACCCGTGGATTGCTCGCACGTCTTCCTCTTTCTTTCGGTGTGTATGCCGCCGTCGAGCCCCTCTTGAAGAGCAATATCGGTCCAACTTCCTGGCTGTGGTATCTTCTCATTTCGCTCGTACAAACGCCCAAAAATAATAGGAAAAAAAATATAATCATCCCATAGGCCCGTGGTGGTATGTGCCAAATATGTACATTAAAAGACGTAACGGCCGTGTGAAATTTATGAACAGCGAGAACAGCACGAACCCTGGCGCCGTTAGTGGCTGGCGGCCTGTCGAAGGTCGGGCCGCAGACGCTCCGTTTCCGTGTTCTGATAATCAGCTGTCTTTAGATCTTGTCGTAGATGTTGTTGTTCTGTTGGAATCCAAAGTCAAAATCCGAGGCTTCAGACATAGAGGGGTAATGTACGTGATTGGTGCGCTGTGACACGGACTTTGGCCTTGTGTGCGTCGGTTGCGTCGGAAACTTGGGGGATTCTTTGCTGGAGGTTGGCGAATATGGCGTAGGCGGTCGGTCTTGCAACGAGAGGCTTGATTTGTTTCGGACGTGTTCATGGACCGCGATTCCCGGTTCGGGAGTGCGGCTGGGCTTTGGCCGGTACGAGTACATGGGGGTTTCGTCCTCGAGCTCCTTCTCAGTCAGCTGGCTCAGTCGGCTTATTTGTCGACTGTGGCGATTCCGGCGGGATGACGATGGCATGCGAGTAAGAGCAGGCACGGGCGGCTCGGGGAGAACGTTGTACTTCTCGCGCCATTGGAGCTGCTTGCTCGGCCTGCGCCACGATTCGAACTCGGCGTCGTCCAATGGCGTGACGGCTCTGGAGATCATCGAGGAGCCCTGCGTTTTCTTTCTCCGCATAACCCAGATCAGGATGCCGATGATGAGCAGAGCGGCGCAGCCGCCGAGAACAGAGCCAAGGATGATGGCGAGGTCGCGGTTGTTTTCGGAAGCCTGCACATCGCCGGAGGAATTCTCCTGCATGCGCGAGACGTCCTGCATGATGGTGGCGCGGCCGGATATCCAGTGGGCACTGCAGGTGGAGGGGTAGTAGGAATGGCGAGATGGAGCGAACGGTCCAGCTTCCTCGTGGGTGAGCGGGCAGGTCGCCGATATGGATATGAGCGGGTGGTAGCAGAAGACGTCGAGCCGGTTAGGGAAAGACGACTGTGTGATGAGCTGGGCCGGGTGGCTGGATGGGCGGAAAGGAATGGTATTGCCCGTGGAGTAGAGGGCCGCAAGGGAGAGCCCTGCCCGGTTTGGACAAGGCAGTGAGGAATCCGTCGGATGCGGGGGGACTGAGAGGCTTGTCTCGACTATGCTCAGCCCGACGATGGCGGGCGCAAGAAGGAGAGGTCAGGCGTCGCAGGTCAACGGTGGGCAGGGAAGCGGGTCAGCATCGAGGCCAATTGGCGATGTTGGGGACAGTCATGCGCAGAGCTGCTGCATGGCGTTCGTTCCACGGCGGTTGGCAGAGACGTGGACGGGGCGCGGGCTCCAGGCAGGCGGAGAGGACGGGAGACACAGCAGATTTAGTATGGCAGGGTGGTGGGACGCGAGGGTACTTCAGGGCGATCCGATCGGCAGCGAGCGCGCACATTAGCCCAAACGGCGGCTAGCATGATAACGCAAGCTGGGTGCTGGAAAGCTGCAAATGTGCGGTGAGGGCGTTAGCACGGGATTAGTGCTTGGCTGGGCCGATGGAGGGCGGGCGGAGGGTGGTGAGCAGGGGCCGCTGCGCAGAGCCGTGCCTAGCGCCCTGCGAGGAAAACCTGCCGAACGGGAGGGCGTGCGTTATGAAACTCGCAGCAGTCAGCCACAGCCTGTGGCGCCGCCCGGCCGGCCCAATCGTCGCCTGTTCCTGTTGCTGTGCAGGGACCTGCGTCTCAGGGGCACCGCTCCACTGACTGCCTGCGCTGCGCGGCCGACAGCCCGCAGGCTGACCACCCCGCCGCTGCTGCTGCCACACTGCTGATGAGCTGGCCGCCACCCTGCTGCCGGGGCGCCCTGGCAAGCCGTCGCGCGCCGGCCGCGACGCTGCGCCGTGGTAGCAATCGCTGCGCGGTCGCCGCGGGCGAGCGAGAAGGGCCGCCGTGCCGTTGGACGCCCACGCGAGATTGGGGTGCACCCACTGGCCTTACGTCGCGCGCGTGCCGCAGTCGGGCCCCGTCGCACGCTGGCTGCAGGCCCCAGCCGGGCAGTTCCTGGGCCTAGCCGTCTTCTGTGCTGGCCCCATCCGCCCGCCGTCAGCAGGATGCGCCGGCGCTGCGCTGCTCCGACTGCAGCCCGCGCGAGCCCAGACCAGAGCGTTGCGACTCCACAGCCGTGTCGTGCAGCCGCTGCTGTCGCCGCATGGCGATAGGGTGCCGTGTATGACTGCCAATCTAATGGAATCGAGCCGTGGTCACACGCCCGCTGTCCGACGTGCCTGCAGCGCGCATCCAAGACGCCTAACCCAGTGCCGCCTAGGACCCCGTGGCTGGCATGCACATCATCATCGCCTCCCCTCGCTCGCATCTCTGCCGGCTGCCGGCACGGTTGGAGCAACCCGCGCTTGGCTCTGCCCGGTCCGGCTAGGCTGCCCTGCGTGAGCCGTGGATGAGACGACGCTCTTCGGTCCGCTCGACTGTGGCAAGCTGCAGCCGCTCCACCGAGCCTCGAGATTATTGATGAAGCTTACGGACTACAGGCGCAGTAGTTGCCAGTTAGCCTGCGCCCGGCATCGTGTGCGACGGCGGTGCCAGGCAGTTGCCGCATTACCCTTCCGCCGCGATCGCTCCAACCAGACGTGACACCGGCACCGCAGCAATGGCAATGACGGCAGCTCTGCTACTGCTCTGCTGTCGGGCTGTCGTGCAACTCGTGTTAGCAGATCAGTCCATCTCCTACCAGGGTTAGATCGAGCATCGCCCCAGCGCGCTACCGCACGCGAAGCAGCACACAGTACGTACCGCGGGGTTGACGACACCTCTAGTCTCGCTCGCCAATTCGGCGCCAGCCGGCTCTGGGTAGCTGAGCGCTCAGCTATCGTCGGCAACGCGTATACCCACGGAGCGCCCGAGGGCGAGGCGTCGAGGCGTAGTGGTAGCGGATGACAGTCCAGCGCCTGGCGCGCCTGAGGAGTAGTGAGGCCAGACTTCGTAGCGGGCGAGGAAATAGCAGTGAAACGCTGCTAGATGCGAGTCGTCTAACGACATGGGGCTGCAGAAAGGCAGAGGAGGATGCGCCGCCACAGCTAGCGCGCGGGTACTTCCATGGGTTTGCCTGTCATGATGCCGGCAAGCTCGACTTTGCTCACGACTCGTGTCCTGGATGCCATTTTGGGGGCCACCGCCGGCCGACCATCATCATCTCTTGACACCACCTCACAAATCCCACCGCGGCTCCACCCTCTGCCGTCTTTTGTCCGCACCGCATGCGCAGCTCGAGCCAAGCCGCCTCCAAGCGCCTCCGCCCCAGCACTAACGTCAGAGGCAGTCCTGGCGAACGCAGCAGCCGCAGTCAGGCACGCTTGCGAGCGCCCGTGCGCCCTTCGAGAAGAAGTCCGTCGTAAGTCCGGCCGCTATATACGCCAGACCGCAGACCGCAACAACCCCCGACGACATCCGACAGCGAGCCGCCAACGTCGATAAATCCCCCCCCATGCGCCTCTGGCTGCGCTCCAATATGCTGTCTTACGCCGGCGCAGCTGCCGGCGCACCACGCGGCGACTGGGGACGGCCGGCCCCTCCCCGACCCTCCTGTCAATCAATGTGTGTTTCCTGCACGTCGTCGTGGAGCGCGCCGCCAAGCATTTCCGCAAGGCGTTATTGCCCGAACCGTGGCGGGCCGCGTATTTGGACGTACTACGTAGTGGTTTCTTCGGCTAAGTTCGTTTCTTCCTCCCCCACATCGCCGTATCGCGAGACTCGCGGGCCTGCTTGCGAGCCTCTTTTTGCTCCTGCCCGCGCGCCGCCCGCTCGCTTCCAGGACCCTTTTCGCCGGGTCACCGCATCTCGTCGGCGATATGGGGACACCGCAGCTCACGTTACCCGAGCGGAGCGTGCTGTGTGTCCGTGTCGTGCGCGTGCGCCTCCCCTTTCTCCTCGCGGAGAGAGCCGCCACCGCTTGCGTGCTCGTGCGGGCATTGCTCCATGCTTCCCAGCCCATGCCGCAATCGGCAACGAGTTGACGCAGGGCCCGACGACGGAGAAGCTTTTCGAGGATCTGTCATCAGTGAAGCACATGCGATGGCCGGCCGTGGACGACAGATCGCATCTCCCTTCGAATGCTCATTGATCGTCATCACACCTCCTGGGGAGCAAGAGGATTTGCAACAAGAATTCCTCTCCTTCTTCGGCGCCCCCTCCAATGGCGCGTGCACTTCTCGCTCACAGAACGCAAGGCGAACGAGATTCCGTCATGCCGCGCAAGTCCCCAGTGAGAAAATCCCACCTGATCTCCTTGGGGCCTCCTCGTGCCCACTCCACCAGAAGAAAAAAAAAAAAGTCAGCCCGACGGCCTTGAATCCGATGCATGAGACGAGGCACATCATTGCGCGAAACCGCGCATGCTCCGAGCCGTCATGTACGTCTCCCTACCTAGCTAGCGTGAGTTCTGACTCGCTACACGCGTATCCACGAGGCCTGGCCTTTCTCTCCGGGGTGCCTGAGCGACTGACTGCGACACACGAGGTTGCTGTTTGATTAGGCAGTCTAAGAGCTCGGGCGGCACTCCCGTTCCCGAAGCTACTGCTTTTGTCCTCGGAGTTGTGTTTTGGGATAACATCCGAAAATCCTCAGATACCGATTTAGCGAGAGGGGCTGCTACAGTATTGTCCGACTGGGTGACAAGGATAAATATTGAGTACTCGTCAGCACGAGATCACGGTGCCGTCATAATGGTCTCATCCGAACTGTTGAAGGTATCATTTTCTATGCCATGCGGAAGGAGATCTGGCAGCAGCATCTCCACTGCCTCAAGGGATTCCCTAATCTAGAGTAAGCCAAGCTTGACCTTGCGCTTACCAGTACTCTCTTCCTGCTCGTCGCTGATCCTGACCGTGACCTTTTGGAACAACTCGAGCCTCACGTTTCTGCTGCCCGACACGGAGAGAACGTAATTCTCGGCGTCGAACTCAGCGTCGGGCTCTGGCGTCGCGAGGTCGCGGAGCCTGATCAGGCTCTCGATGCCGAATCGTGGAACGAAGACTACGATGCCATTGGTAAAGATCCTCATGACGAAGCCCTCCTCGTCAACGACTCGTCCCTTGAGTGCCTGGCCCACATAGTACTCGATACTTGCGCGTCCGGCGAATTGCGCATTGCGGTGGCGCACGTTGATGTTTTTGCAAATTCCTTCCAATTTCGCCTTGCTGTGAAGGCTCGAGTCCAACGGTTCGTACTCGATGGCTGCCGCGAGCTGCCTGTGTGCCTCCAGATCTGCGTAACGACGGATAGGGCTCGTGAAATGGGTGTAAATCTCGCTGGCAAGACCGTAGTGGCGGAACTCCGGGTACGCCTGCTGACCAGCGCAGAAGTACTCGGCCGACATCATGCATCTCGTAGCCATGATGCGCACGAGGGTGTTGAAGAAAGGCTCAGTAGAATCCACGCATGTGTCGAGAGAGTCCGCGAGAGCTTTCGAACTATCGACGCGAAGCTCCAACCCCTTCTTGACCTTGAGCTGATTCGCCAGCTCCTCAAAGTTGTTTCTCGGAGGAGCCGCGTGGCGACGCAACAGTGCGGTTTGCGGGAATGCTTCGTAGTTCTTCCGGGCAACAGTAATGTTGGCGAGCAACATGAACTCTTCCACAAGCGAATTGGTATCCAAGAGTCGCTTCGTCTGAACATCCACAGGGTCCGATGTCTCGGACTCAGTTTGGACCTTCACCTCAGGACTCGCTAGGTTCAGCGCACCAGCATCATAACGCTTCTGTTTCAACTTCTTTGAGAGCATCAACAGCGTCCTCATGCCCTGGGTTAAATCGTCTTGCTGTGACTGATCGTCGATACGGAGCTGTGCCTGCTCGTAACTGAAAGCCTCGCGGGAACGAATAACGGACTTCGTGAAGTCAGCCGAGACGATCTCAGCATCTGGCGTGATTTCCCAGAGGACTGAAAATGCGTAGCGCTCGACGTACGGCTTGAGCGAGCACAGGTCTGTACCGAGGAGCATGGGAAGCATGTCGATGCGCTTGTCTACAAGGTAGACAGTCGTGCCCCTCATGCTCGCTTCCTTGTCCATGGCATTGTTTGGCTTGACGAAGTGCGAAACATCGGCAATGTGTACACCAACCTGAAAGTTACCGTTCTCTAGGCGATGCGCGTGCAAAGCATCGTCGATATCCACACAACCCGGTGGATCGATACTGCAGACTAGCAAATCCCGAAGATCGCGTCGGCCCTTCCAGCCAACGTCATCCTTCGTAGCCGGGACTCGCCAATCATGGCCCTCAGGTGGGAGACAGTCAAGCACCGTCTTTGGGAACGGCCTGTACTGGACATCGTATTCCAGAAGCAATGCTTCTGTCTCCGCACCCTTGGTTTCAAGCTCGCCTAGTGACCGGACAAAGTGGCCCATGGGATACCTCGATTCTCTGTTCCAAGAATCAATCGTGACAAGCACACGTTTGCCAAGCATTTCGCCTGCCTGGCGTGTGCGGACCCTGATCTTTGGAATACGCTTGTCCATGGGAATGAGGAAGACCATTTGCTGGGCGCGGTTTTGCTTTGCCGTAGACTTGACAGAATCTTTGTCGACGTGTCCGACATACTGTCTCCAGTTCCGCTTTATGACGCCCACTACGCGTGCTGTCGGCTGCGGCCGGCCTTCGATGCTCTTTCCCTGCACTCTTTTGACTTCCTCTTGCAGGGCTTTTCTTTCCCTCTCGGTGATGACTGCCTCGCCCTCTTCCACGTCCGCATTCTCATTTTTGTTGAAAGTCTCCTCCTCAATGATTTTTGAAGACGGAGCCTTCCACTGGTCTTTTGGCAGCACCTCAACCACAACGACATCCCCTGAAACTGCACGGTTGCTGTTTTCTCTTCCGAGCACTAGGAGTGACTTCTCAAAGGCCGGTACGTGAACCGAACCCTCGAGATAGTTGTACGGCGACACATTGAAAATGCCCTGGTGCAATGTTCCATTCTTCACGCCAGTCATCATTTTCGAGAGGGTGTAGTACTGGACCATGTTAGCTCACGACCATGACAACACTAAAACACCCACCTCTGGGTAGAGCCACTGTCCCTGGCTCGCTTTGGTTTCTCGTTGCTCTTGGCCAGCAGCCACCATGTCCAACAGTTGCTCCGAGTTGGGGAGACCGGCAACGTAATCGGACACTGTACCTGGTCAGCATGCCGCATTGGTGGAGGCCGAAGCTGGGAACGTACACGAAAGGCCTTTGAGACCTTCGGCCTTCGCCTTGCGAAGGTTCTCCCGGTCGTCGCTCAGCATGACGGCAGAAGGGCATTTCGGTGCGCCCGGCCGTGACTTGGTAGCCCGTTGGAGATGCTCGCCGTACCATTGCACGGCCTTGCGAACGGCACGGTCATTCCTATCGTTGATGGTCTCACCGTCGGCCCGAGTGACGTAGGTCTCTAGCCTAAACTCATTGAAGAAAACGTAGAAATGCTTGTTGTCATGCTTGGTCAGGCTAATGAGACGGTTGTAAAGAGGGGCCGATTGATTCTTGACCTCTTCTAAGACAGTCTGTAGAACAATCACGTCGTGAAACGCAGAGTCGACCTCGAAAAGGTCCATTCCAGTGAGGAAAGCATTGGTGTCAGGAATGAGGTAATGACCATTTGGGAAAGTCTTTGTGCCGGCTGGTTTTTCTGAAAGCACAAACGGTGCCACTGCAGGATCGTTAGCATTCAGCAAGGGAAGGGCAGCACTAGCCTGCACGTACCCTTGCCGTTGTAGTCTTTGGGGGCGGCGTCCAAGCATGCGGAGCAGAGTTTCGACGAGCATGGGATGTCTTGCCGCAAGTAGAGCTCCCTCACGATCTTCTGGACCTTGCCACTTCTGGTCGACCGCACGTAGACCTTGCTAGCAAGGTTGGGGGCCGCTGGATCGGCCCCGAACGACCTTTTGAGACTCGTCATGGTGCAAACTGGGCTGCAGGCTCTGCGACGAGGGCGGCGCAGCTGGCGAGCTCGGCAATGATGCAGGGTAATGAGAGGTGCTTGGTGGAAGTCGCGGCCGAACTTTTCTGGAAGTGCGGCGGGTGTTTGCACATGTTTGCACGCCAAGAACGCACGGACTTGGACGCGGGCTCTGCGGCGTCACTTTCGCTCTTGGTCTGTCGCCGCTGGACTGCACCTCTACATCGACAATCTGCGCCACCCGTCCTACAACGCGTTGCGACCCTGCGCGTCTCAGTCGCGCATACCTGGCGCTCAATCCGACGACGGGGCTTCCTCTCCACCACCCAGCATCGTCCGATAATCCTCCAAACGCAAACACGCCATCATGGACTACCAGGCAAGCTTCCTTGCAGACACTTGACGCGCGGACTTAGTTGCTGACCATCTCGCAGAATCGCGCAGGCTCCAAGTTCGGCGGTGGCGGTGTAGCCTCGCAGTCCGCCACCAACGCTGACCGTCGCGAGCGTCTTCGCAAGCTTGCGCTCGAGACCATCGACCTTGACAAGGATCCTTACTTTTTCAAGAACCATGTCGGCAGCTTCGAGTGTCGCCTCTGTTTGACCGTTCACCAGAACGATGGCTCCTATCTCGCACATACCCAGGGTCGCAAGCACCAGACGAACCTGGCTCGCCGTGCTGCACGTGAACAGAAGGAGGGAAAGGACAAGGACCAGTTGATGCCCGGCATGGGTGCCAGCGGCGTGCAGGTCAAGAAGAACGTCATCAAGATTGGACGGCCAGGCTACAAGATCACCAAGATTCGGGACCCTCTCACCCGTCAGCACGGCCTGCTCTTCCAGCTGCAATATCCCGAGATCAACCAGAACATCCTCCCCAGGGTGCGTTTCATGAGTGCGTTTGAGCAGAAGGTCGAGGAGCCGGACAAGGCTTTCCAGTATCTACTTGTTGCCGCAGAGCCCTACGAGACTTGCGGATTCAAGCTCCAGGCCCGCGAGATTGACCGCCGCGAGAACCGCTTCTGGACTTGGTACGACGAGGACCAGAAGGAGTTCTGGGTCCAGATCCTGTTCAAGACCGAGCGCGAGGAGCGCTACAGCGGTGTTCCGGGCCTTGCTCCCACCGGCCCGAGGAGGTAGACCGCTCTCCTTGTATCTGCGGATCAGGTGTTCATTGGCATAGTCGGCGTTCAGGGGAACAGGGAAGCGTTAGGCTGCAAAACAGCCGCAATGGTCATTGTAAGCATAGATACCTCATACACGTGCGGAATGAAATCTGCTAAGGCTCGTCTTCCGTCACCCACCCAGCACCTTCGCATGTCACAGTGCCGTTCTGCTGTTGTTTGCTGCTGGCGTTATTGAAGTGCTGAGGGTGATACGATGCTTTCCGCGCGTCAACAGACATGCAATGCAAACCGCCGTCTGGCGTTTCGACAGCTGCATCGTACGTCATACGCATGCACAACGGTCAATCATACGAGTGTAACGTTGGCCGTTTTCCATGGCATCGCGAAAGCGCTGCTAACATCATGTTTGATGAAGCGACCCTCCGCCTGACCACGACTGCCAGATTCGGGGGGCGCGACGCACAGTCTTGGACCGGCTTGTCTCTAGCCCCACAGAGTACTCCGTGAGCAATCGCCTCTCAACGTCTCTGCATGCAGCCTACCGCAGGTAAGATCAACAGCCGCAGTGACACTGCGCATCGACTCCGCGGCCTGTTCAACGCACCTATCTTGCCAAGTTCTAGAGCGCGATGGGAGGATGCGCACCATGACAGGCACCATCGATGCTTGCAGAACAAACCTGCAGACCGGGAGGCTTCACGCGATCAGAGTCGGCCATTCGTCCAGAAGCTGGGCTCTGACCGGCCTCCCAGAATCCTGGAACCGGGCATCTCTACCGTACAAGCGCCACTTCGTCCGCAGTATTCTTGACATGAAAATTTCATCAATCAGAAGGTCAACCCGCATCCGTATTCCCACATCCACTGTCAGTGTGCATCGGACATGAGTTGCTAGTGGCGCGGTTTCGGGCCGCACCCAGTGTAACCCCGTCCCTTGGCCCATATTCCAGCCCGCCGTTCTCCTCATCATCGTGAGCTAGGTAGGTAGTCGGCGGCAAACGAAGATCTGCCTGGATAAGGTCATGCCGCTGATGCTCCCCATCCACCTGTCATACGAACAAGCGGGCCCGCTCCGGACCCACCGTCTTGCTGAAGTCCGGCGGCAATATGAGGCGGTGTCATCTCTTGGTATCCACGATCAACACGCAAGCCTTGGCATGCGTTTATACCCTCGTTCTCGAGCAAAGGTTGCTATTGGCTGTGGTCAGAGCTCTCGGTGCGACTCTTGTCGCACATATGTGTGAGACTGAGGCCCGCTAACGGCGCGATAGAGAGATCCTCACGGACCAAGATGGGGCACCCGTGCTGCTCGTCGGACCGCCGGGGCGCGCAACGGTCCTTCTCTGAGGGCCAGGCCACAGGCCAGGCAGCGGGTGCAGGTGCTCGCAACACTAATCGGATCGTGCGGCGCGCGCCGCAGACCTAGGTCATCGGCGGCACTGTTGCTGAATTAGTATGCAGGGCACCCGCAACTAAAAGGCGCGCTTGCAAGGCACTGCCGCTGACACGGCGCTAGAGGATATTGGGCCTATATGCTTTGCTGAGTCTCAACTAAAAGCCGGTGTTACATCCCTAACGCCAAGGCAGGCAAGTGTCGGTGCTACGCCCATGTTTCCTTTTGGCGAAGAATGCCCTATAGCGAGGCGGCGCGGCGTGGGTCTTGCAGCGCGGCGCTTGCAGAATTGCAACCAGGCGCGACGAAGATCTGCCCAGGCATCGCTCAGACATCCGGGGGCGCAGCGGGCCAGCGATAGGCGTGCAGATGGCAGATTGTTGGGCAAGGGCCGGAGAAAGCCTGGCGGTGTCTTTCCCTGCCCAGCAGCTGCAGCGACTACTGCGCGTCGAGGGCCACGGCGGTCAAAGGATGCAAACACACCGCCAAACCTGTGCCACCGGCCCTGAGACAGCCAGAGCTTGACAGCGTCGGCGACGGTGAGTGGCTGCGGGCCTCACGAGGGACCGGTTTCTGTGCGAGCAGCGCTCCCAACGGTGTGAAGCATTCCGGGTCGTCGGTAGGTTTCTGGGCGCAAGGTTGACGTCTGGCGGCTGCGAGGTATGCGGGCCCCGGCCTTGTGCGCGTAGCCTGGAGATGAACTCGGGACGGCCTTCCGCACCATGACGCCGTTTGCTTCCCCTCGACAGCCGTGTCCTCAGTCGAAGGCTGCTGCCCCCGAGGGCCCGCGGCGTCCGGATCCGACAGCACGGCGACGCGGGTCAGATGATGCCGCTCGACATTCCTTCCCCTTTGGGCGGGCAGTTTAGCGCGCGGCGACTGACTCTGGCCCCATGCACGCGGCGTTTCGAGCTGCTACCGCGGCCGTCCAGAGGCCAGACGGGCACACGGGCACACGGGCTCGCGGGGCGTGCTGGGTTACGGGTAGCATGAGCAGCGAGGGCGGCGAGCGTGAAGAAGCGGGCGCGCCGGGGGGCGGTGCTGCTCGCATGGCTCTTATCAGAATGACCAGCGCGGGCCGTATCCGCAATGCTCCATTTATTGCCCGCCTGGGGGAGTCACAAGGACGGCAGAGCTGATTCGCTGCCGTCATCGACATCAGGACTCTTGCGACGGCTGCCGGTGTGGCGCATAGTGCGTGCTGATTGGCGGGCCGGCCAAGACCCTGCAGAGGCAGACACCAGATGACTCCCACACTCCCAGCGTCGCACAGGCCTGGGCCGCCTTTTTGCCTGGCCCGCCTCCTAGCGTGCGTGCTCTTTGAACATCCCAACCTCGACGTCGAAATATGCAAGGCAGACTCCGCGCCCCGCCGCCCTGGGCATCGGCGCCGCTGACCGCAAGTCTCCAGAATGCGCGGGCCCCGCGAGGAGCGATGGGCACTACCGGGCAGGCCTACGCGCGCGCGCGCGCCCGCGAGTCCGCGAGTCCGCGAGTCCCGCGACGCCAGCGGCAGAGCAGCACCCGCACCCCGGCAGCTCAGAGCAGATGGCGGCGATGGCGTGGGTGTGGCTTGGGCGCGGGCGGGAGCAGATGCAAGCCGATCTCTCGTGTCGACGACCGATCCATGCTCTTGCCGGGGCGCGCATGGCTTGCCCTTAGCTGCTTGTGGACGGAGCGCATCCCGCCTGGACGCGGCCAGGCTGAGCAGGCCGGGGCGGTCGCGATGCTGCTTTGGGCGCGTCGAGCGGAGCATCAGGCAAGCGGGTCGGGCGACTGCGAGGCCGAAGAAACCCAAACCGTGAATCCTGTCACTAGGCGCCGCGCTGATTTGACCGCGGTGCTGAACCCCTCATGGCGGCGGCGCCATGCTGCACGCCCCCAAAGCATGCCGCTTGGCGCAGGTGCTTGCGAGCGCAGCGGTTCCGATACGGCTGGCCGGCGCGCCTGCAGCCTCGCCCATCATACCGCGCTGCAGGTCATCTGGCGTCGCGCTCTTGACGAATCCTGCGGCTTGATTGCTGCATTCCCCGGGCAGCTGAGGACGCGGATTCCACTTAAGCACTCGCACACCCGCCTGCTGCCCGCGTCGGCTCGACACACCCTCGCGCCGACGCAACTGAGCCCCCAGCTCTGGAACGAGGCGCTGCGCTTGGCCCTCAGATCACGGGCGCTGGCCTCGCTTGCTTCCGTCGCCCACGCCGTTTGGACCCCGTTGCCGCGTGTCGTCGGAACGCCCGCAGACGCTCTCGCGGCGCACCCCCGCTACGCGCGCCCGCCCTTGCGACACAACTCTCTGGAGCCGGCCGCCGCACTCCCGCACCAGGGCTCCAGGGCTCCAGGGCCCCGTGGCGCCGGCTGTTCGCTCTTCAGCAGGGCACCATTAGCCGCAGCGCAGGCAGGCGGATGCTGGCTGCTACGTACATATTGCCTCCCGGCCAAGCTCGCTGCCACCTTCGCTCCCGCACCCGTGGTGCCGTCGCGCAGTAGAGCCGCCCGCCCCAAGCTGCCCGCTGCCCGCCCAAGCTCCATTTGAGTGCGCCAGAGCCCAGGCATTCCTGCCCTCTCCGCAGCAGCACTCACAGTCCCTTCGGCCACCGCGCACCCTAGCTCTCCCGCCCCGCGACCCTCGGAGATTGCTCCGCGTGGGCACCGCCCGCACCGCCCGCACCGCCCGCCAGCAGCCGTCAGCCAGCGTGCAGACAGGCCCGCATCCCGGCCGGCCACGGGCACGCTGCAGGTGTCGCGCCTGCACACACGCGCACACAGGCCCTCAGCCCTCTGCAGGCCCCCCGGAGCGCAGAGCCACAGGCAGCGCATCCCGCAAGTCAGCGTCGCTGCCGACTCGCACGGGGCTTGGCAGGCGCGTTGCATCATCGCCCGCGCGCGGAGCAGCTGTTCGCTTCGCCTCTGTGGCACTTCGCAAACTCCTTCGGCGAACCTTGCATCCCTCGACCAGCCAACGCCCACCTCGCAGCGCCCAAGGCCCGCACACCGCCGCCTCCCCATTCTTGCCGCTCCCGAGCTTCAGGGTCCGTGGGTCCAGCAGGGTTGGCAGCAGAGAGATCGATATCTCGATGCTCCGGGATCGTGCAGCGCACCCCAAGTCCGCCTGCACCGTGTCGTAGCCTCTCAGCTACCGTCGCGCCTCCCGCCGCCGCCGCCGCCGCCTACGCCGCCTACAACCACTGCTCGCCGCCTCGAATGCGACGTCTGCGCGCGCCGAAAGTTCGACCAAGTTGACCACGCTCGTGCGAGTCAGCGCTCCGACCGCGCACGTCCGCACGCTGCTATAGCGCCGCTTGAAACGCTGCCGCCGCCGCCAAGTAATTGCGCTTCCGACCTCCGTCCATGTACTCGACCACCTCGCATCTCCCTGTCTCGGCGTCCTTGAACGGCGGCATTGGAGGAAGCATAATGGACCCGTCCGGTACAATAAACCCCGCTGCTCTCAACTCAGCAGGTAGTGCGTACTTCCCTATTGCCCTTGCTGCTTTGCGCGGCCCGCACCGCGAGCGCGTCATGGATGCGCGTTTTCATCTCCATCAAACCCGCGCCACCGTCCCCGCGCAGCCGCTCGCAGCGATGCTCGCCGTGCTCGCCGTCGCCTCCCCGATGCCAGTCCTAGTATGCTAACGTGTGTCGCCTCGCGCAGTGTTGTCAGGCTCCACCTCCAGCATCGCCCCTCAGCCAAGTCCTCGCGGCATAAAACGAAGCCGCTCGCCGGACCACGCGGAGGATGTCTACGCAATTGAGCGGGCAGATGAAGGTTCGTTTTTCTCGCTTTTCCGCATTGTGCGCGTTTTGGGGCCGAAAACTTCGCTAACGCCACGGTCAATCATCAGACGACTCCAAGCCACGGAAACGTGGGAGGCCGCCAAAGTCAAGAGTGACTGAAAGTCCTCTATCGGTGCACTCCCAACAGCCTGCGCCTGGTCCGGTCCAAACACCGCAGCTCAAGTCCCAGTCTTTGCCGCAAACATCTCCACCTCAATCATCCCCTCCGAAGTCCACTCCCACGAAAAGCACGGTACTAAAGGCACTGCCGACAGTTAGAGACCACACGACCGATCAGCTTAATCCCGAAGGCGATGAGTACATACCGCGTGAATTCGACGAGGCCGGAGAGAAGAAGGTCACCACCACCGGACATCCGTTAGACAACAGAGAATACCGATGCCGCACGTTCTTTGTTCCCAATAGAGGCGACAAGCTTTTCATGCTTGCCACAGAGTGTGCACGAGTGCTAGGCTACCGAGACTCGTATCTGCTCTTCAACAAGAACAGGTCTTTGTACAAAATTATCGCCACTCAGGCCGAAAAGGACGACCTCATCCAGCAGGAGATCTTGCCATATTCTTATCGCTCCCGACAAATAGCCATCGTTACGGCCAGGTCCATGTTCCGCCAATTTGGCAGCAGGCTCATCGTCAACGGCAGACGCGTGAGGGATGACTACTGGGAGAGCAAGGCTAGAAAGCAAGGCTTTACCGAAGATGACCCGGCAGGTGAGAAGCGGCCAGGCGCAGCGAGACAGAGAGAAGCCGCGGCAGCAGAGGCCAACAGCCACGCACTGACCGCGCTGCCACACGGAGAGATCATCTACAGCAACGGACCTGGTCAGTTGGACGTTCCGCCGGGCGTGCACCCAGGTACTCTGGGACCTCTGCCCATGATCAATTTGGCGCCTGCAGATGAGCTGCGTGCGAGGGACTTCGGTGGCCTTCAAAGGCCGAGGCATGAGATCTCGGGCCCTGCTTACGAGGGTCGGATGATACCAAGCACTGCCAGCGAGATCCTCAATCAGGCTGCCCATGCTGCAGAGTACAACAAGAACCTTGGTGGGCAGCGGACAGTTCGCAGCAACTACATGGACGAGTATTGGAAGAGACCGCACGAGCCCGTACTCGCGAACCACCAGCGTCAGCCCACGGTTGAAGGTGAAGGTGTCTCGGGCGCTCAGCAAGGACTCCCATCCCCAAGGCCAAACGCGAACGCGATGATGGCCGGACAGCAGCAAACCCTGCCGACTCATGCTCAGCCAGGTGCATCGCAGATGATGGCGGCTCAGCAGCCATACACGCAAGCTTCACACGCACCAAACACGATGGTTCAAACGCCGATGCGGCCCATGCACCAACCTCCTCATCTGCAGCACCGCTCACCAAGCATGAACATGGGTCCCGGAGGCGGTGCAGGCCAGCCAGGCCCGTACGGTTATCCGCAGAGCCAAATGTGGCCCCCGCCGCAACCGCAGCCATCGCCGTTGTCACAGCAGCATAGCATGCAACAATTTGGTCAGCAACAGTCGCCTCATCCACAACCATCGCCCCTGCACGCGCCACCACAAATGCATCACCCTCAGGGCAGCGCATCGATGCATGGAGGCCCGATGGGCTATTCGACAATGGGCGGCATGAACCCTGCGTACCGGAACATGGGCGGCAACCCGTACCAGGCAAGCCCCAGCCCACAGCACTTCAATGTGCACCCGAGCACTGCGGCGCCACAGCCAGGCATGCAGGGCTGGTCACAAGGGCCTCCTCAGCAGGCACAGAACTGGCAGGGCTTCTAATGAATTCTCCATGGACGTTGACCCGGATCTCGCGGTCATGATCCTTCACGCTCCCATTCAGGCTACGGATGGGGGGCGCTCTCGCGACGAGGTCCTCACGGCCGAGCAAACATGACGGGTGTAGGCCTCGCGCGCTCCGGCACGCTTCAACGCACTTCACGCATCACACGCAAATTGACACGGGTTCGGCAACAAGCAGCATTATCAGGCTTGGGTTGGCTTATCGAAGTATTGGGGTTAGGACGGATACAACAAGGCGTTTATCTCCCACTACGTTGGCTCTTCGAGACGATTCGGGGAGGTCAAGAAACTTTTTCGGGCATGTTGGGTATCCTGTTCTGCGCTTTTGAAATGGACCGTTGGCTTTTTTTGTTTTCCATTTCCCCTCACTTCGGACATTGGTGTTCGTTTCACGTTTTCTTTTCATACCCTGTATACTACGCAAAGCACAAAGAAAGGGAGAGGAGAGAGGTCGGAGGCTTGCAGTGCTGCGCATCATCATCATGCATAATGCTGGCGGAAATTCTCCCTCTATTCTTCCTACTTCTTTTTCCTTGGACGGAGAGGAAATTCTGGGCCCCTTCCGGCGTGGCGAAGCATAGGGATACACGTTCTTCGCTTCTCGAACGCCTCCGCACATCTCCCCGACTTCGATTCTCGGTACAATTGTTTTAATGGCACTAATACTCTCCCGGGCGGCTTATGGCGTGAGTCGCACCGCTGGCCTGCGGTGGGCAGGGAGCGGTGGACCGCGGTCTCTGTTTGCTCATTCGTTATGTCTTCGCTTCGCACATCAGGCTTTCTCGTTTCGGGCCTTTTCTGATGGGAGAATTATGAGATGGACGAGGATGAGAGAGAGGAGGCCGTTTGGCAGCGGCAGCTGACACTTTCGGGCCACGGCACACGGAGATGGAACTCGTATCAAATCAATGAATGCCAAAAAGATTTGCAGCGGCTCTCGATAGGGCTCTCTGGCGTGGAGCGCGAGGTGACGGGCTCGCTTGCGCGGGAGCTGGCGTTGCTGCTGCGCCATTGCCTCCGCGGGCCGGCAGATGATTGGGGTGAAGATCATCCATGCGGATCTCCATGTCCATGTCCACGGGGCCATCAATTTTTACTCTTTGCGTGCAAGCTCGCGCGCGTCCCGTTCGATTTTAGTCTTCGGGGCGCCACGCAATATTGCCCGCCACTCCGCTGCTCATCGCTCACGAGGGACGACGACGCGCAGAGGCAACGTCGCCTCGCCCGCGCCGCCGTCGTGATATTCCCGGCGCATCAGCAGCGCGCCGGCGTCATCGTCCACGGTCCATCGCCCTTGGACCGCCCTCATCCCTGTTCCCTGCCCGCTGCGCCCCGGCGGGTCTGATGCGCTCCCGCACTAAGAGCGCGACCATGCTCGAGCGCTAGCATTGGATAGTCGCACGATTGAAGCATCATCCGCGGCCTGCCTGCCTTCCTGCCTTCCTCCCCAGACTTCCCCCTGCTTATCACACGGGCAATGCCCGTGGCAAAGCAGCAGCAGCAGCAGCAGCAGCAGCAAACGCGCCGGACAGCCGGGCAGCCGGGCAGCTGCTTGTTTGCTTGAGACCCCCGTTCGCGCAAGTGCGGCATTGCAGAGACTATTGAATAGAAGGTCAGCGCGCAGGGCGGGGCCCAAGCCTTCCAGGTCATGCAATGCTAGAGATCTCGTCACACTCCTTCGCCCAGCGCGGAAAGAAGTCGTCTCGCGGGGCGGGCGTGCTGTCTCGCTTGGGCGTTCGCTGCTGCCTCTCGCCATTGCCATTATTGTCATTGTTATTGTCCGTCCGGGCTGGTTCTGGCTGGATGGGGAATGCGCGGACGGGGACTAGGGGTGATCCGGCAAGACGCCTTATCCGATAGCGTCGTCGCCGCCGCCTTGCTGCTTCCTTCCTGCTTCCTGCTTCCTCTCCGTTGCCCAACCTTCGTCGGATTGCCTCGGTCGGCCGGCCTCTCCTTCGGCTTGACGAGGATGCCGATGGCAGACTACTGCGTATAATGAGCTGATGTGTCGGCCTGACGGCGCCGCCGCCCATGCCCACGAGGCTTTTCCCCGGAGCCTAGCGTTTTTGCTTCGCGCTCTACGCGCTGCGCCAAACCGTCGCCGGCGTGGTCCGTGAATCGAGCGAGCATGGTGGCGGCTGGGGCTGCGGCCTGCAGCGGGGAGGAAGACGGGCGGTCCGGGGTGTGATCAGAGAAGGTGAGAAGAATCCAAGGACGACGAGAGCAGACGCGGGCTTTTCCGGAGCGCGCCTCATGCGCATGACGATGGCATTCTTCCTGGCCCTTCCTGGCCCTTCCTGGCCCGTCCTGGCCCGTCCTGGCCCTTCCCGCGCGCCTGTGTCGGTGCCTGCGGAGCCATGTTCAATGCGCAGAGGGCGATGCCATTGACGACCCCGGCCCCGGTACGCGCGCTCTGGGCATTATTGTCTTCAGTCTTGTCCCCCTCTGCTTACATGACGGAGCAGGACGAAAACGAGGATGTGATGACGACGACGAGAACGGCGGTGATCAATGGCTTGCTTAGTGAGCGAAGCAGCAACGCCCATCCTGCTGCCATTGCACGCGCCCAACGGTCTGGAGCTCGTCTTAGCGTCACTGGACCATATTTCTCTCCGCCGCCCAGCCCTGTTCTCCCAATACCTCGCAGCCCGTCGACGAATCGCGGATGGACCGACCTCTGGTTGGCTCCATGGCGGCAAGGATATAGGCGGCTACTGCTATATGCCTGCTGCCGCCTGTATGCACAGCCCGCACGTGGTCGCCGCGCGCACAACCCCGTCTCGGTTCCTGCAGCTTCTTCCCGCACCGCGGTAGCTTGCAGTTGCAGTTGCAGTTGCAGTTGCTGCTGCTGCTGCTGCTGCTGCGCGGATGCCCGCCGGCGCCTTTGGACTGTCGATGATGTCGTCCAGGGCAGCCCGATATCAAGTGGCGATTACTGGTATGTGGCGGCCGGGGCTGCATCTCCGGCTCCGATTTTGGGCCCAACGTCGACACAACGACTGGCCCTGCATTGCTCGCTCTCCCGGCCGCCTCTTTGTTTCATCTCGCTGTCTCTTCCGGGCGCGAGCAGCCCACTCAGAGGCCCCGATGGCGGATGCTGCGCTGCAACAGGAGCATTGTTGCGTCGTCCGGCGCCGCCGTTGCCCGGCCGCCGGGAGGGCCGCCATGGTCGCAACGGTCGGATTGCACAGTCACAGTGGCAGCGGGAAGAGTAGCTCGGACCGCCCAGTGCTCTTCCCGCTGCCCTTGTCCAACGCTTCTAGTGCTGATCTGAAGGCCAGAAGAACCTGGGAGGTTAACCATGGCCCCCGCATCCTTCCCTCAATCAACTTGCGTCGGGCGTTGTATATCCGTCCTGAGTGGCGTTTGCCGCAACAAGTGGCATCATTTCCAATGCCGAGACTCTTCCGCGTTGCCGCAAGAGGCAAACGGGGGAAGGCGGCGATCGTGCCTCGATGGGGGAACCGTTCCTTGCACCCTTATGATTCCCAAGTCCATGGACCAGAAGCCGACGATGATGCGGTGAAGGGCGCGTTTTGGGAGCCTATTGGGGAAGCTGCCGAGGCGCAGCCTCTTTCCCCCTCTCTCACTCTCTCTCTCTCGTCTCGTCTCGTCTTTGTGTGACCTACTGCGAGAGATCGTGGGCCCACTCGATTTCCCTTCGATTTCGGTCTCGAACCGCACCGAATGCGGCTTGTCTCATCATCAGTCATCAAAACTAGCTGCTGCGAACACCCCCGAGACCATGGCTGAGCTCTTCCTCCCCCTGTCTGTCCCCCTTCACCCTTTTTTCCGCTCATCTGTCCTGCGGCCTGCTCCCCGGCCGCTCCGTCCTTGTCCTCGTGCTGCTTTCCCGCCGCGCTGCGAAACTGCATGCTGCGCTGCAAACGCTGGGATGGGCGATGCCCCCGGGGGGGCTGTGCGTTCCCGCATCGTTCCGCATCCCGCATATCCCGCCTTGCCGCGCCGCATTCGCCGCACGTCGCCGAAAAGGGGAGAGTGGCCTGTTTGGACCGGGGTTGGGGGATCGCAGCAGCATCAGCAGCAGCATCAGCAGCAGCAGCGAAAGCAAGGCTGGTTGCTGGTTGCTGGTGGCCCTTGGGATATGCAAGCCAAGGATAAGCACCCGTCAAGTGCCGATTCGAACGACCCTCGATACTTCCGAAAATAAAAAAAGATCATTTGTCCACGGTTTGTCTCACAATATCGCTCCTTCCGCGTCATCATCGAGTTTTATTTTTATTTTTTTTATTCCTTCTCACGCCCCAAGCTACGTATGTACTCACCCCATCCCTCCTTCCAATCCTTCCCGGACTTGTCAGCCTCGACTGTCTCCGGCGTCTTGGTTCATGGGACTTCGAGTTGCTTCTTTTCATATTGCTTTTGGGGTTCGGCGTCGCAAGGGCTGGACCAATCAGTATCACATTGACCCCTGGTAGTAACGTGGCGGCTCTGTTTCTTGTTTGTTTGTGTTTGTGAAGATCACCCCTGCAGTTTATTTTTTTATTGTTTTTTTGGTTTCACTGCACGTCACATCGCCACCTATAATGGAAACAAATAGAAAGAGAGTATTTAGGAGAAGCATATCATTTTAGCTGGTTTGCGCCATTTGCCGCGTGTTTTGTATGTGCTTTTCAGCGCCGGATTGCACTGCCCATGGTGCGCCGCTGCCGGAGTAGCTGATTATGGTCACGTCCGATGGGCTTCTTCTTTATTTATATTTTTAATGGTCCGAGAGGCGAGGTTTTGCGGAGAAACAGAGCGAGAGGATTGACGGAAAGAGGGGGGGGGGGGGCGAGAAAATGCGCAACTTTTCTGTTCAAGTCGACGAGGAATGAAGCCAAGGAAGCAGGGGTGAAGGTGAATCTCAAAAAGCTATGCATGTGAGACTTCGCGCGGACGGGGTGGAAGCTGCTGCGCCCGCCGAGGAACCGGTAAAGTAAGGTTTTTCTCGGGGGGGCGCATGCATGCGGGCATCGTCGCCTTGCTGACTGCAGAGCAGGGAAGAGGGGCCGGGGGCGATGGATGGGGCGGAAAGCACGCAACGAAAATGCAGAAAAACAAGATTGAGTTGGGGGGACCTACATGGAATGATTCTGGATCCATCGGCTTTGGCTCGTCTGCTTATCCTGTTTCTTTTTCCTTTTTGCCCTGCATCTTTTGGCGACAGGGATAAACCGGGTTTGGTTGGAGCGGCGCTCGTTTCTTGCGGGATAGATGATGGGGCGCCAATATTCCGTGGCTATATCCGTGCGAAAGTGCTCCTTACCCTGTCGAGGAGGAGGATAAGGAGGAAGGATGCCGATGTTTATCCCTTCGCCTCTTCCCTTCGCTTAAGAAATCATCCGATTCTCGGCCGGGGCCCCCAACAAAGATCCATCGATATGGCAAGCCGATACGTCTTCTCGCATGAGGATGGGAAGGAGCCTAATCCCTGCATATACATACCCGAGCTTTTTTGGACCGCTGTCATCGCCAAGCGAGTTTGGATCGCCGGCACTTGGCGAATGGCACGGGCGTGTTCATCTCGAGTCTGCGCTGCTGTGAGACTGATCTTCTGATAGATCACAGCGATGGTATTCTGCTGCTGCGTATAGATGATGTCGTTGTTGTTCCCCGGGGGTCGGTGTGGATTCAGGTGGACATTGTCGCCAAAGTGATGAACCCGCGCTTGCGTACCTCCCATCTCTTTGCCCTCTGGCCCCATGGAGGTTTTCTTAGTTTTGCTACCTACGGAAAAGCATTACGATGGAGATGGGCATGCGAGCCCCGATGGACGGGATGGCATGAGCAGGTGACGTTGGACTGCTTTGCCCGCGCCGAGTCGTGAAAGTGATATTGTACATACTTATCATATTTAGTTGGCCGCATCGGGAAACTCTCTCAACTGTACAGACAGACGTAACGAAGCTGGGAAGTTTGAAGTGGAAATCGACTTTACTTATTCAAATAACTTGACTGTCAGACTTGTCTCTGCAAACACGGCCTGACAAATGTGAGGCCAAATGTGTATGTACGTTCTGGACCCTGATCAAAGGGAAGGAAGAGATCATCAAAACCATGCCCTGGTTCTGATGACCAGAGAAGATGATAATGAGCATCTTTCATGGTGGTAAACACCTTATATACCAGCAAAGCTTGTAACAATAAAATGCACCTTCTTCGCATCCGTCTCTTTAGAATGAAATCATCCTACCAGATCTCACCAAAGCAAGCGCCGGCAACGCCAGAAAAGCGGAAACCATCGACGTCTTTCAAGCCGTCTTGGTCTAGGAAGACTTACACGATCGTTATATCGGACGACGAAGAGTCCATCGAGTCGGATCAAAACAGCAGGAGCAACAGGAAAAGTACTAATATCCCGATTTCGACTCAAGAGATCCGCAACTATCCCAGAAAGTACACTCTGAGCTACACCGCCGGTTCTTCGTAGAACGGTCATCTGCGGATTGACACGTCAAGCGTAGACGTCTGGAGATTGCGCCTGCCAGCAGTTGTTGTTTTGCTTTCCCGCACTCTTTTTCTTTTTCTTTTCCTTTCCTCTTGTGCAGAGCGTTTTACGATCCCCGCTAAGAAACTACCACCCACTTTGGCTCCTTGTCTTTGATTTTGGGCAAGGGGCACGCCTATCCCAAGATTCCCCAAAACTTTCTTGTCAAGTCGTTGAAGAACGATGAGTCGTACGTGGTACTTACCAAGAATAGAGAGCCCAAGTGAGTCTAGTCCCACCTCGCGTGTATATTAGTCGTTGCAGCCGTGAAGCCCATTAGAGGGTCAGTCATTAGTGTTTCAACAAAAGTGTCTTTCCTCAATTTGGAGGACTGTCAATAACGCTGATGGATTCGTTATGTCACACCGCGACGACATGGCCATTTACAAGGAGTCGGAAGACACCTTCGATAAGGACATCTTCGCCATAATCCCCTCATTAGACTAGGTACAGGGAGTGGGGGAATCCGAAGTACAAGATCGTGGTAAACAATCACAGAATCCTGACCATAGCGGCGTCATGAACACCATGGCAGGACAGTGAACCAGCATCCGCGAATCCCACAAGATATACTGGGATGACATCGATGGCAACAAGATCGTTAGAATGTTGTTTGGTTTCTCTGGACTCTGTACTGCCGAAAGCGTAAATCTCTCTACCTCTTTGCAGCGCCAAATATCCGTCGTCTCTCAGTCTGACACCATACGAAATTCTCTTCATCTCTTCAGCCCAACCAATGCCATCCGCACCGGTGGCGATGATTCGCGGACACTCTCATCTTGTTCTAAATGCATTTGTATTTTGCTACACCATATACAGCCTCCCTGACCGACCGACCCATCTACAAAGACAGCAATGACCAAAAGAAACAAAAAAAAACCAGCGGAAAAGAGAACAACAAAAAATGTATAATTTCATTCATAACGGATACCCGACCATCCTCTCCTCTCCCCTCACTCCATGCATACACTATCGTCTACAGCCCTCCCCTGCTGCAATCCCGAGCCAAAATGCTCGTCCTCCAGAGAGGAGAGAGAGAGAGAGGAAAGCATATCGCTTAGTCAAAGCTATACCTCAACCACTCGCCGACGGCCCTCAAGCTCTCCCACCTGACCGTCTCGTCCTTGTCGGCCATGAGCTCCATGACGCGGGCCTTGAGGCCGATCTTCTCGAGCGTGGGCCGCTTCTCGGGGACCTCGCGGATGAGGCAGGCGACGTCGTTGCAGCCGACGGCGAGCACCTGCTTGTCCTGCTCCCACGGCTTGGCCAGGATCTCGGCGAGGCGGCGGGGCAGGTCGGCGTTGGCCTCCTCGACGATGCGCCGCGCGTTCTCGCGCCAAAAGGCCGGGTTGCGGTGCGGCGGCGACCAGCGCAGGTGGCCGGCGTGCACCTCGGCCGCGTACTGGTCGAACGTCGTCTGCGTCTTGGTGTACTCCTCGAGCATCTCCTTGAGCGCCGTCAGGTCCTCCAGCAGGTCCTCGTCCGTCAGGTGCCGCGACTGCAGCGCCTGCAGCTGCTGGGGCAGCTTGGCCAGCGTCGCCGCCGGCAGCAGCGAGTCGGGGCGCGCGCTGAAGAGGTTGCGCAGCGTGGAGAGGAGGAGGCGGGTCGTCTTCTCCTTGGGCGATGCGCGCAGGAGCTGCGCGTATAGGGTGACGAGGTCGTAGTCCCTGTGGAGGTTCCGTGAGTATACGACGGGGGAAATTCATGGCGGACGAGCAACTTACTCGTCCAGGCCATCAGCCACGAGCTTGGCTTCAAAGCTCAACTGCCATATCACAAGAAGAACGTGGTACAGGAGCTGCAGTCCGACGCCTCCAGCCAGGCCGACGTCCGCGACGCTACGGAGGCTACCAGTCGTGCTTCCATACACAGTCGAGTCAGTGTCCTTCACGTTGCCTGTTGCCGACTTGAGAATGTCAACCAGTGGGCTCAGCGTCTCCTTCCTCTGCTTCCAGAACAGCGACCTCGCCTTGGAGGTCCTCAGCAACGCCGAGTACTCCTGCACGGCAATGTCCTGGAGACCGGCATCGGAGCTTTTTGCCAAGGTCGCCAGGTAGGTGTACAGCTGCGGCAGGGCTTCCTCGATCTGTGCAAACTGTTTGGGATTCGAGACCAGCGACTCGGATATCAAGGCGGTGAGGACGGCTGATGCCAGGAGCGGAATGGGGTCCTCGGGATTGGTCGACTGCTTCAACAGCGGCAGGAAGGGCGCGAACGGCTGCGAGTGCTGGGTCAAGGCGGTGAGGAACGACGGCATGTCTGGGGGCACCATGTTAGCATCCGAGCACCCAGGCATGGCGCAAAGGCCGGAACAAAGGCTCGCGAGGCAGCACACCTTCCAAGAGGTCGCCGGCGAGCACCAGCATGTACTGGATGATGTCCTGACGCTTGCCCTTCTGCGCGGCCTGGAAGATGTCCTGGGAGTCATCGCCGCCGAGCAGCAGAACAACGAAGCTCTGAGAGTCCTGCTCGATGGCCTGCTTGCGCTGCTCTTTCCGGACCTTGTCAATCGACTTGATCTTCTTGAGGTCTTGGTCGGTGATGGTCTTGGCGCGCACGGCGCCCTCCCACGAGATGGGACGGGTGCGGATGTTGTTCTGCAGCGAGAGGATGTAGGTGGGCGGATCGAGCGACATGGCGGCGGCTGTGATGAGGCGTGAGGCGGAGGCGGTGGTGGGGGAGGGTGGGCAGTTGGCGATGGGCAGCTTGGTGCTTGCTTGGGTTGGCGTGCAGTTGCCCGCCGGCGGAGCTCCCACGCGCTCGTGCACAATGACGAATCCCTGCAACAGCTCCCACGCCCCGGCGACAATTCGACCCCTCCCCTCCACCACGCCATCTGCTGCCCGCAACGCGCCCGACTCCCGTCCATGGCTTCTGCTTTCCACCCAGGCAAGCGCCTGTCGTTCAACCGCGACCTCTGCACCGTGCGCTATGTCGGCCAGGTGCAAGGCACCAAAGGCGAATGGCTGGGCGTCGAGTGGGACGACCCGACGCGTGGGAAACACGACGGCTCCCACGCCGGCGTGAGGTATTTTGAATGTATGGCATCCTCGCGCTCGCACAAGCCAATCTGACGGGGTTTTTATCAGGCAGGCCGGAGAAAACACCCGACTGCGGGCTCCTTCGTGCGTCCCAATCGCCCGTCTGACCCGCCCGTGTCCTACGTCGAAGCCCTGAAGCAGAAATACGCCTCCGAGCCCGTCGAGGATCCGAGTGTCTCAAACATTGACATTGTGGTATTCGGAAAGGCACCCGAAAATGTCCCGGTGAATTCGGCCGGCAAGGTCATCATGATCAGCGGCAAGGAGGCTGAGGAAGTGGGCTTCGACAAGATTCGGAAGAAACTTGCAAACCTGAAGGAACTCCGCATCGTGCTACTTGATGGAATGTGCATGGAAAGGCCTTTTTCCAAGCTTTTCGAACAAGCTGGCGAGATGGCCGTTGACCAGCTGACGGACGTCAAGGATGCATCGCCTAGCATCCAGGAATTGGACCTAAGCCGGAACCTATTCGAGGAGTGGAGGGAGGTGGCATCGATATGTGTCCAGCTCGAGAGCCTGAGGCGGCTTAAGGTGGACGGCAACCGACTCAGAGACCTCGAACTCGATGGCTGTCTATCGTCGGCGTTTACCCACGTCTCAACTCTGAGCCTCGAGGATACTCTGCTGAGCTGGGAGGATGTGACAAACATGTGCTCCGCATTACCGAGCCTGGCAACATTGAGCCTCACCAGCAACGCATTCGACAAGCTGGGGCAGACCTCTCTGCCATCAACCATCACCGAGCTTATTCTGGAGAAGAACTACTTCCGCTCACTGGACGATCTCCGGTGTCTAACGAAGCTGCCCAACCTTCGATCGCTCAAGCTGAAGAACAACTTGATTTCAGGGATTCTCGGTCCCCATTCAGCGGGCGGGGAGCCCCTGGTGTTTTCTGATAGCGTCTCAGAAGTCGATCTTGTACATAACTCCATCGAGGATTGGGCTTTCATTGATAACCTTCCTTCCGTCTTCCCGGGTCTTACATCCCTTCGGATTTCCAGCAACCCTCTCTACCACGGCCTACAGGCGGTTGATGGCAAGCCCCTAACGGCAGACGATGGCTACATGCTTACGATAGCGCGTCTGGGAAAGCTCAAGATCATGAATTTCAGCACGGTAATTTCTTCCCCCATTCAATTCAGATGACGTTACAGGCTGACAGGAGCGACGGCCAGATCTCCGCAAAAGAACGGCTCAATGCCGAGACTTATTACCTTTCCCAAATCGGCGCCGAGTTGTCCAGCGCACCCGAGGGCCAAGAATCGAAGGTGATCGCTACACATGGGCGATACTCGGAGTTGTGTGCTGAGTACGGGGAGCCTACGATCGTCCGTTTGGATGCCAGTGCGGTGAAACCCAACTCTCTTGCAGCCCGGCTGATAAAGTTCACCTTCTACCCTGGAAACTCGGTCAAGGCGAAGCTCGGAGCCAGCAGGGGAGCAGCTGAGGAGTTCAGCGCTGAGCTGCCCCGCAGCTTCACTGTTTATAGTATGCTTGGAGTAGTGGGCAAGCGGCTCGCGATGGCGCCACTTGAGCTGCGGCTGTTCTGGGAGACAGGAGACTGGGTGCCGGTAGGGGAGGAGGTCGCAGCGGGGGGTGAGGAATGGGACTCGAGCGACGACGAGGATGGCAAGGCGGGCGAAGGGAAGGTGGTTCGAGAGGTGGAGTGGGTTGCGGGGACGAAGATGGTGGGGACGTGGGTCGAGGGAATGGAGGCGCGGGTGCGGATCGAGGTTCAGTAGAGATTGGGAGGGGAATCGAGCTGCTTAGCGATATTCTGGCAGGCGGCGAGGGGGCAATGTTAAGGTGGGTGTGAGGGCTGAGGTTGCGTCGCGGGAGTGGCGCGCAGCCCTACGCTCGCGACTCGCACCCGAAGCGGGCAGGCGCGCGAAGGTCGGCCGAAGCCACGCAGGACGAAGAGGCTTATACAGATTGGCGCCGCGTTCATTGGCAGCCCACTGCTGCACCCGTCCGTCATCGATGCCGAAATTTCTGTCTCGTCCACACTGCATGCCGAGCATGTGGTTGCGCGCCTATGTCGTGGCCCCCAAGCGCATCGTTCCCGGCCGACAGGGCGCAGATAGAGGCCACGACTTGTGTCGACCGCACGTCCCGGCCGTCGATTACGGACGCAAGAGGCCAGAACTGTGATTGTCGCTCAGCCTCGGCTCCCGCAGCTCGACCGAATCTTTGCGGTGGATACTGGATCGACGATACTACTGCTATCTGCTACGCGGTGCCACGCAAGTAGCGGTGCAGAGGGCCGTCTCAGCGCAGCGTGCCACGGTGCCCTGCTCCGGGCGGTACAAGCAGCGGCAGCGCCAATCAGCGCGGCTGCCATGTGCTTGCCTCATCAGCCGCTCGTAGCTCCGCCGGTGCGCCTGCTCACAGCCTCACCTCCACTTCCCTCCTGGCCAGCGCGTTGACGACGACGACCCGTTGCGTGTGGATCCCGCTGTATCCAGCGTCCGTGCACCCGCTGTCTCGAGCCCACCCCGCGGCCGTAACTTCCCAGACGCTTAGCGGCCGTAGCCACTGCGCAAGAGGCTGAAGGTTGGCCTGCCGTCTGCTCCTTCTCCCTGCGCCCAACGCCCCAGCCGAGTTTGTCAGCACCCGCCGTCGTATCATCCACCCCGTGCTTCTCTCAGGTGGCGTTCGTGCATCACCTCGTACCTACTGCTTTCTGGCTCCTATCCTGCGCGTGTCCTTTATATATCCCCGCCCCGGCGACCCTACAAGATGCTTTCTTACTTTAATCTAGCAGAGAACCTCTCTCTTCTTTCCACCACCACCAACACCCCCTCAGACAACATGGCCGACTCCGAAGAGGTCCCCATCCCCCAGGTCCCTGGCCTGCCAATCATTGGGTCGGTCCTGCCTTCCGCCGTCTGCTGGCGAGAGAGCGTTGTGTGCTGATGCATCCTACAGCAACATGAACGACTTCGATGTCGCCTATCCTCTTGGCTCCATCATTCACATGGCCGAGACTTATGGTCCGCAGAACAGCAGCCCTCTGATCCGACGGCGCAGAGCTGACACGCACTCCAGGCTCCATCTTCAGATATGTCCTCGCTGGCCAACCACGCATCGTCGTGAGCAGCCAAGCATTGGTGAATGAGGTTTGCGACGAGAAGAGGTTTATGAAAAAGGTGGCGGCCGGTCTGGAACAGGTCCGCAACGGCATTCACGATGGCCTGTTTACCGCCTACGGCCCGCACGAGAAGAACTGGGGCATTGCCCACCGCATCCTCATCCCGGCCTTTGGCCCGCTCTCCATCCGCGGCATGTTCGACGAGATGCACGACATCGCGAGCCAGCTGGTCCTGAAGTTCGCGAGACACGGGCCCAATCACCTCATCGAGGTCACCGAGGATTTCACGAGGCTGACCCTGGACACCCTGGCCCTGTGCGCCATGGACTACCGTTTCAACTCCTTCTATTCCGCTGAGATGCACCCCTTCGTCCAGGCCATGGTCGACTTCCTCATCGAGTCTGGCAACCGGTCAAGGAGACCGGCCATTGCCCAGTCCTTCTACCGCGCCGCCCAGTACAAGTACGACGCCGACATCTCCATCCTCCAAAAGACCGGCCAGGACGTCATTGATGCACGGAGGAAGAACCCAACCGTGAAAAAGGATTTGCTGAACTACATGCTTGACGGCCGCGATCCCAAGACTGGTGAAGGCCTCAGCGATTCCAGCATCATCGACAACATGATCACTTTCCTCATTGCCGGCCACGAGACCACCTCTGGCATGCTCTCCTTCACCTTCCACTACCTCCTCAAGAACCCCCAGTCTTATGCCAAGGCCCAGCAGGAGGTTGACACCGTCATTGGCCAGGGTCCCATCACCGTCGAGCACATGTCCAAGTTGCCCTACATCAATGCTGTCCTTCGTGAGGCCCTCCGCTTGAACCCTACAGCGCCTATGATCACAGTGGCGCCAGAAAAGGACCAAGTGATTGGTGGCAAGTACCGCATTCCGGCTGATGAGCCAGTCAACCTTTTGCTTCATACCCTCCACCGCGATCCCAAGGTTTGGGGCGAGAATGCAGAGCAGTGGGACCCGGACAGGATGTTGGATGAAAACTTCAACAGAATTCAGAAGGAGTTCCCCAACTCTTGGAAGCCTTTCGGTAATGGCATGCGTGCTTGTATTGGTCGGCCTTTCGCCTGGCAGGAAGCAGTCCTGGTCGTCGCCATTCTACTCCAGAACTTCAACTTCGTCGCCGAAGATCCGTCATACTCGCTCAGCTTCAAGCAGTCTCTCACCATCAAGCCAAAGGACTTCCGCATGCGCGCCATCTTGCGCAATGGCCGCAACCCGACTACTCTTGAGCACCAATTGGCTGCCGGCGCTGCCAGAGAGCGTGCCACGTCCGAAGCCGCCAAGCCCAGCAAGCAGGCCGAGTCCCAGAATGGTGTTCCCTTCTCCATTTACTACGGCTCCAACACGGGAACCTGTGAGGCGCTTGCTCGTAGGCTTGCCAGTGATGCCGCCGCCCATGGCTTCCGCGTCGCGACGATCGACTCGTTGGATTCTGCCAAGGAGAATCTTCCCAAGGACCAGCCTGTTGCAATCGTGACGGCATCGTATGAGGGCCAGCCGGCTGACAACGCGGCGCACTTTGTTGCCTGGATGGAGAGTTTGAAGGGCAACGAGCTCGACGGCGTGAACTACACCGTCTTCGGATGCGGCCACCACGACTGGGCTGCCACTTTCCACCGCATCCCCAACCTTGTAAACGAGGTCCTCGAGCAGCGTGGTGCAAAGCGTGTTGCTCCTTTGGGCACGGCTGATGCTGGCCAGGGTGACATCTTCTCTGATGTAAGTGTTTTGTCCTGGGAGCTTGAAAGCCCCTTCTTTACTGACGAGTAATTCTATAGTTCGAGAAATGGGAGGATGAGTCGTTCTGGCCGGCGATGAAGGAGAAGTTCAACGCAGCCGGAGCCACCGACGCCCCGCTGTTTGAGCAGCTCGAGGTTCAAGTCTCTGCTCCCCGCGCCTCGCTTTTGAAGCAGGAAGTCAAGGAGGCTCGCGTCGTCGAGGCCAAGGTCCTTTCTCATCCCGACGTGCCGGAGAAGCGCCACATCGAGATCCAGCTTCCCTCGGACATGACATACTCGGTGGGCGACTACCTCGCCATCTTGCCGCTCAACCCCAAGGCGAATGTTGCCCGCGCGATGCGCTATTTCGGTCTCGCTTGGGACAGCATGGTCACCATCTCGGCCGCAGGACCCACAACCTTGCCCACTGGCATGCCTGTTTCGGCTGCTGATCTCTTCGGCGCGTACGTCGAGCTCGCGCAGCCCGCCAGCAAGCGCACCATCACTACTCTCATCGGTGCGACCAAGGACGAAGAAGCCATCGCCGCCCTGACCAAGCTCGCCGGCGAGAACTTCGACACCGAAGTCATCACCAAGCGCTTGTCCGTCCTCGACATCCTGGAGCGCTTCACCTCCATCACCCTCCCGTTGCCCTCCTTCCTCCAGTTGCAGCCACCGATGCGCGTCCGTCAGTACTCTATCTCGTCGTCGCCACTGTCCAACCCAAGTCGCGTCACGCTGACCTACGCCGTCCTCGACCAACCATCCCTCGCGGCGCCCGACCAGCACCGCCACATCGGCGTAGCTTCCTCTTATCTCTCTCACCTCGAAGCCGGCGATGCTTTGCACGTCAGCGTCCGCCCCTCGTCTCAGGCCTTCCGCCTCCCCGCCGACCCGGAGGTGACGCCCATCATCATGGTCGCCGCCGGCACCGGCCTTGCCCCCTTCCGGGGTTTCGTCCAGGAGCGTGCAGCGCAGATCGGGGCCGGTCGCAAACTCGCGCCCGCCCTGCTTTTCTACGGCTGCCGTGCTCCCGGCAAAGACGATCTCTACAAGGAGCTCTTCGACGAGTGGGAGGCCAGGGGCGTGGTGCAGGTGCGCCGCGCGTACAGCCGTGCCAAGGACCAGAGCGGCGGCTGCGGCTACGTCCAGGAGCGCTTATGGCAGGACAGGAAGGAGGTGGTTGAGTTGTTCGATGCGGGGGCGAAGGTCTACGTCTGCGGCAGCGCCACGATCGGACAGGCTGTGAGCAAGGTGTGCTGCGAGATTACGCTCGAGAGGCAGCAGGAGCTGGGTAACGATACGAACATGGAGAGGGTGGTGAAGTGGTTCGAGACGATCAGGAATGACCGGTTTGCAACGGATGTGTTTGCTTAGAATGCGTCGGTTGGTGTTGGTGTGGGGTTCCTCCGTTTCTTGTTGTCTTTTCTCCCTCCTGAGGATGACCCGGTTCGATCCCGTTTTTCAGTATCCATTTATATAGATGCCTGTATTCCTAACAACCCCTATACGATTTCTGACTCTTCCTGACTTAAAGTAAGGCAACCCCTATATGTCAGTGCTTCGTTACGCGCCTTAAGTCGTACATTATACCTAGATTAAGCGCGTTTCGTGTGCACTCTTGATTCTGACGGCCTGCGTATAGCGATGATGAATCTTGCCTTTGTATATGGCTATAGATGCTTAGGAATACAGCCGGACATGTTTTAAGATTGGATACCATTATTTCGTTTGCTCAGAACGGACGATTGAGTCCTCTTTGATACGATTATTTCTGGCCTCTTGAAAGCGCAGCCTTGTGAACGTTTCATACAAACGACTGCAAGATTTGACGCCATGGGGAGAAGAACCACGTAACTACATGAAGGCTAGCTACCAGACCTGCAAGTCCACTATCACCTTTAACGTATGCATACCCCGAACATTGATGAGCTGAAATATCGAATAATTATTTACTACTACTATACAGGTACGTACCATATATATCCAAGGACGTAGACACATGGCATCGCTATGCAGGACCAAGATATGCAGGACTAAAAACGGAGACGACCGAAAAAAAGATCAATCCAACCAAACCCAGACCTCATCACAACCCCACCACCGCCGTAGCCAGGCCTACGACGACCACCAACACCCACCCGGACACGCCTGACGTCAACAGGCGCGCCGGCGCGGCGGACACGTGCGCGATCTCCGGGAAGCCGGTCACATTGACGCCGTCCACGCTGCAAACGACATCGCAACGCTTCTCCTTCCTCTTCCCCAACGCCCCACTGCCGTTCGTCTTCTTCTCTTCCGCCCCTCCGCCACCCCTACCCGTCATCCTCCTCCACATCCACCCCCCCAACCCACCGTCATCTCTCCCCTCCTCCCCCTCTTCATCATCATACCCACCACCAACCCCAACCCCCCTCCTCTTCCTCTTCTCATCCCCCTCCGCCCCCGCCGGCCCCCCCACCGCCCCACTAACGTTAAACACCACCTCCACCCACTGCACCTGCAGCTCCGCCGCGCCGCCGACGCTCATGTTCCCGCTCCACTCGCCGCCGTCGGACCACATGTTGAGGACGAGGTACGAGGGCCGCCGGGGGACGCTGTACGTGTTTGTGGCGCGCGCCACGCCGTCGAGGAACCAGTTGGTGCGGCCGGGGAGCCAGTCGATGCGGTGGTCGTGCCAGTCGCGCCACGAGGGCAGGGCGGCGACGCGCAGCGAGGCGTGCGGGACGTCGTCGCCGGTGGTGGGGGAGAGGGAGGGTTGGTTGGTGTAGCTGTTGTGGTGGGGGGAGGCGATTGTCAGTGGTTTGTGAGTGGCGGGGGATTTCTGGCTTGTCTCTTACCGAATCACGCCGTCCGGGTCGGCCGTCAGGATCTCAATGTCGCTCTCGTTGTCGTCGTCGAAGACGGTGAAGAAGCCGGCGACGGCGCCCGCGTCGCCGACGACGCGCGCGCGCATCCGCAGCGAGGCGTGCATCACGTTCTTTTGCAGGTTCTCGACCTCGGCCGCCGACTGGAAGTCGTCGAGCCGCACGGTGCGCAGCGTCAGGTACGTCGGGAACTCGATATCGTCGTTGCCCGTGTCGCTGGCGTTGGTTTGCGCTGGGGATTGGATTTGTTAGTGAGTTTACATGTGAGTCAAGACAACTTCCAGTTTTTTTTTTCTTTCTTTCTTTCTTTCCTGATGGGGGAGAAAATAGAGGAGAAGAGAGAAGCAAGATGACGATACTCACAGATATACACATTCCGCGCGCTGTTCCGCATCCGCACCGGGAAGTCCGCCGTCGCCTCCTTGCCCCAGTTCTGGATCCCCCAGTCGGCATTCCACGCCGAGCCGTTGAGGTAGGCCGCGTCCTGGTCCGCCACCGTCTCGAGCCCTTCGTCCTCGTCGTCCGTCACCGGGTCGGGCGCGGTGCCGCCGTCGCTGCCCTTGCTGGAGAACTGGCCCGCCGACGTCGCCAGGGAGCGGAAGTCCCAGAAGCGGTGGTAGGTGAAGTAGTACGGCTCGCTGTTGTCCGGCGACATGTCGTCGCTCGTGCCCGAGTCGAGCGTGTAGCACGTGCAGTTGGGCGAGTTGTCCTTGAGGACGACGGCTTCGTCGTCGTCGCCGTCGGTGTCGTCATCGTCTGCTCGGACGGCGTGGAGGAGCCGTGTGGAGAGGAGGAGGAGTGAGACGAGGTGGAGGTGGGGTGTGGGGATGATCCGTCGGGAGATCCACATGGCACGAGCGGGCTGCGGGCTGCGGGCGGTGTGGTGTTGATGGTGCTGCGTGTGGTATGCAAGTAGGTACCTAGTAAAGACCAGAAGGCGGGCAACGGTCCCAAAAGAAAATAAACAAAAGCAATTCCAGACAGACAGCGTCGTTGGGCGCTTATGACGGGGGAACGACGCTCAGACTGTGCGGCGGGGACATGCTTCGCGTAGCGCGATGGAAGAGATCCAAAGGAAAAAAAAAAAAGAAAGAGAGCAGGCGCATGAGAAGTGGACGAACGATGGCGAGCCAGCCACAAAAGCGCTGCCTTGAACTCGTATTGCACCCTGCGCCCCGTCCAGCGCCCCCATATTGCATTTGGCTCGTACCTGGTGATCCGCACCATGCTCGTTTCTGCCCAGCTCCAGACCCGAAACAGGCGCCAGCACACCAATGCAAGCGCTCCATCTCTCCTGCAGCTAAAAGCCTATATATAACCTTCTCGCAAGTCTGCCCCATCCGGCAAAAAAAGCGAACTGCCATGGTTTCACCACCCCATATTTCACCTGTGCCGCGCCGGCACCACGGCACCCACTCACGCAATTCGTCACCGCATCCCGGCAGCCTGTCAGGGTCCACTTGTGAAACAAGGGAAAAAAACAAAGTATATCGATACAGAATGAAACTACAGGGGGGGGCGAGCGATCGTGACATACGAGAATCAAGACTGATGACTTGAGGCCGTGAGCCAAGCTTGTCGGTTGGACTATCTATGTACAGCATTGCGAATATGTATGTACCTTATACAGTAACTTCTTATCGAGAGTCGTAGCAACCGACTACATCAAGGCCCAGCGCCAGTAAAAAGAGAAATATTTGCGCGGTGGCGGCGTGACTTCGCCTGTGTCGGAGCACGGCGAGGGTTAAAAACGATAGTGGATGGAAAAAGGCGCTTAACATTCGACGTCGACCTTTGGCCGACCCGTAGTCTTGTCGCACTGCCTGGCAGACCGCTCCCGCACGGCAGAGTGTCGGTGCCCGCATGAGAAGAAGAAAAGGTGCTGATGGTCTTGCAAAACGAGAGTTCAGAGCTCGTCATGGCTCCGTGTGCCGCCATGAGGTCAGACAGCCAACAGTAGCGCGTGAGGGGATGATTCCGTCCAAAAAAAAAAAGAAAAAAAAAAGACAGGACAGATAAAACGTACTATGGCCAAATAGACACGACTCCGTCATTTCAAGTGGCGGGTGCGGGAAAAAAGAAAAGAAAAAAAAGCACAACTCCGTCAGAATGGAAGAAGTGGAGAAGATAGGAAAAAAAAAGACCACCCGGAGAAACCAGAATTGCTAACGTGATTGGGTATTTGCTTCATCTCTGCTCCACATCCTCCTCCCCCCTGCTTTTTCATGCGGTATTGTCCTGACACTCGAACCAGCTCTCCCCAACTCGGTCCTCTTCCACGTCGTCCAGCACGCCAGCCTCCCGCAGCTTCTCGTTCAGCTGCTCTTGGAGCGACTTTGCCTTGTCTTGGTCCATCGACTCGCGTTTGACCTGTTCAACCAATGACAGACCGGCCAGTCGACGGCCGTCGAATGTTGTGCGCATATTTAGAGACCGGCGCGATGTGGTGAGCGATCTCCTCTTTTCCGGTGTTGTTGTCACGAAAGTCACGAAATGAATCCCGGGAGTCACGAAAGGACTCCCGGTTGTCAAAAGATTCATCGTCCGCCTCCATTATCTTGGTCGGCACGTCTGGCACGTCGTCGTTCCTGTATTGTTGCAGGCTACGCCTGTCGGGCGTCGTCGCCGCCGATGCCATCGACATCGATGTGCTTGACCTGTTATGCACGAGATCCGGCGTGGGCGGGATGCTCGAGTGCCTGTTGCTGGGGCGCAGGTAGCTGGACTCCTCGTCCCCCATCTCGCTACCGTTGGTGGCATCCGTATTGCCGTCGATGGTGCCGTCTTCCGAACCCGCAAGGGACTTCTGGCGGCTATGGTTGCTGACTTCGTCGCTGTCCGCGGCCTGTGCGAGGTGCAGACCCTGCACAGCAGCTTCACACTGCTCCGAGATGTTCTTGATGATGTAGGCAATGGCGTCCGTCTTGTCGCGCAGGTGCCTGTCGGCAACATCAGCCATGCTGAGCGTCGAGAGGCGCTTACGTGAAACCGGAGTGCGGCTCTCCATCTCTGCGGGAGCCTCGCCGAAGCGGCTGCTGACCCGGCGAGATGCACGTGAAGAGGCACGGGAATCGACGCCACGGATGGTGCCCGTGTCGGACCCATCCTTCTCGTTCTGCTCTGCGCCATCGAACTCCTCGCGCGCATCTTCAAAACCAGCCTCGATGTAGTCGCTGATCTCAGGGTCCGACGTGAGCGACTTGACAATGTGCTGCATGTGGTGAGACTGGCCGTCAATGAGGGCGCGCAGGTGCAGCACAACGCGCTGAGCCTCGTCTCTCTGGCGCATGAGCTTGGAGTTGTCCACTTCGAGCGACTGGAGTTCCTTTCGGTTGCGCTTTCTCTCGCGCTCCAGCTCCTCGGCAATCTCCTGTTGCAGGACAAGAGCCTCGAGTGCGTCATCACGCTGCTTCTCGGTGCCAGAGAGGCGGACGGTGAGTCTGGCGGCGTCGTCCTTCTGCTGGTCGATGAGGTTCGTGAGGCGGCGGTTCTCGCGCTTGTGGTTCTCGATCTTGACCTTGAGCTCCGACGTCTCCTTGGTGAGCTGCTCAGCGAACGTCTGGAACTTGAGGAACTGCTGCTTCCAGCTTTCAAGCTCCTCGACGAGGAAGTTGTTCCTCTTGGAGACCTTGGTCAACTCGGTGTCCATTCTGCCCTTGAGGTTGATGAAATCCTGCCATGCCTCCATGGCATCACGCGAGTACTGGTTGCGCTCGCGGACGATTTCATTGAGGTGTCTCATCGAAACCTTGGTCATCAAAGGCTTCTTCTGCGAACCGCCGAAGATGGCCTTGACGCCGGTGTTCCGGCCCTTCATCTGACAGTTAGATCCAATCTTGGGACCGGAACTCGCGTGACTTACTAGTTTCTCGCACATGTGGTCCATGACGCCCATGACGGCGTCCTGGTTCCACCACACAGGGTCCTGGATGCTCTCGACCTCACCGCGCATGACAATGATCTGACCGGCCGGGACCAGCTTACCGCCTCCGTAGGCGGACCGCAGGTGCTGGGGAACGCCAGATGGCGCCACCTCGCCACTCATGGCCTGGGTCAGGCGATTGATCATCTTACTCCTCTGGCCCTGAGTGAGAGTGCTGGGCGGGTTCGAGGTAAGGACAAAGTTGCGGTCCAGATCGATGACCAGGGCGTCGTTCGGAGCGGTAAAGAGCGTGCGACACTCGGCAGTCACGCCCAGAATGTACGGTCCAGGCTCCTCGACCAAGCTCTTGGCGTGACGGGCGTGGATGACGGGGACGTACAAGCCGCTCCACTCGTAAACACGGACCATGTACCGAATGGTCTCGGCAGCAACGGTGAGCATGGCGGGATAGTGACTGACAAAGATGATGCGCCTGGTCGGCGAAACCGCGGCCTCAACCACGCCAACGATGTTGGGGATGGACAAGCACGTGAAGAGCGGCCACATGGCAAAGTTCTGGAAGCCGGTCGGGGAAGAAGGGAACTGGTAGCAGAGAGCGTAGTCCTTCATGTCGATGCGGACGAGATCGTTGAGCCGGGGAGCGGGGAAACTGAGAATGCGCGACACCTCCTCGGCGTGGAAAAGGTTGGTGGCCTTGTTCCAGTGGATCCACATGCCGCGGAGGTAGTCGCCGAGCAGGTTGTAAAGCGGATATCTCGAGAGGAAGCTCAGGCAGTAGGGAATCCAGTACGTCTCGTCGGGAGAGTCGTAGAAGTCGTTCTCGGTCCTCTTGCGCAGCTCGCGAATCGTCTCGGCCCTCTTGTCGTCGGCGCGAGACCAGACGCGGAGAGCAATGCCATAGAGCGTGTGGGATGAATCCTGCTGGAGAACAAACGAGTGGTGGACGCAGTGCGGCTGCTGCTTGCCCGTGCAGATTTCCACATCGTGGGGGAAGCAAGCCTGTCAGAGGGTTGTTTGTTAGCACTCTACTCGCTCGCTCGTACCTGGCGCCCCCCGTTCACCAACTTACCCGCATGGCGGCGTGCAGCGACCTGGCAATCTCGTTGTCCTGTTCAAGGCGGGGGCTGCTTCCAAGGATCTCGGGAAGCCAGAACTGGCCAACGGCGCCCTTCATGTGCTGGATTTTTCCCTGGGACGGGGACGGCGCCTTGACCCATTGCGACGGCTCGCGGCCCACACCGCACACCATGTAGGCATGGGTGAGAGTCTTGGGAGTGCGCTGGCCGGGCTTGACGGTGAGCTGCGAAGGCAAGGGCTGGGTGATCCTGGAGTGCAGCGACGAGGTCCGGCTGGGGATGAACAGGCTGCTCTCGCCCTGGGCGGTCGACGGCCGGTCGGCGTCGCGAGTGCGAGGACGCAGGCTGAGCGAGGGCGCCATGGTGGAAGCTGGAGAGACGGAGGGACGAGCGGATGGCGGGCAGTACTAATCGAGCAGGCCCGGAGGCGCTCTCGGGATATCAGAGGCGGCGACGCGCTGGGCGGCGTTGCAGCTAGCTGGAGAGCAAGCAGCCGGTAGGGCGCGGTCGCTCGACGTGGCGTTGTCAAGCAATTGGATGGACCGGACTCCGGACGCTGGCTGGAGACTGCGAGGGACGGCAGCAGAAGGAGTGGAGGGGAGGCGTGGGAATATTGGGACGGAGAGCTGTGGTACGCGGACGGGGGTACGCTGGGCAGGCTCCTAATGGCCGGCGCGGGCAGCGCTAGGCGCGACGGTAATTGAGACGTGATATCGCTGGGGTCGACTGCTGGGCCGAGCAACCCGCAGGGGGGGATACTTCCTCCCGCGCGACTGAGGCGTCCGGGCGCCAGCCCTCTCCACCTGCTCGCGCCTCGCTTGGTGCCACCGTGCCCGCCCGCGTGGCAGCTCAGCGGAGGCCGGAGGCCGGAGGCGGGCAGCCTCAAACGCGGCATGCGCCTGCTGGGCCCCGCGACTCAGCGGCCGGCAGTGGTGCTAGCATCTGAATGAGCCGACCCTCGGCCATGCCATCATCTCCCCAGGAGCCCCAACAGCCCCGGCAGCCCCAGCAGCCCCAGGAGCGCGGGCTGTCCCCTGCGGGCTGCGCACTCGGCTCGCAGCAAGCGCGCGCATTGCGCATGGTACGGCAGCGGTCCATTAATTCCGCCGCGCGCAGTCGCTATATCGCTGCGCCAGACGAGTGTGGGAGCGATGCGGCCTGTCGGCCCTAGCGCAGCGACGCCGGCCGTTAGTGCCGGGCCTGCAGTGCCCAATGGGGTCGCCATGTGCTGCTTCTGGTAGGGCCTGTGCCCCTGATGCGCGGCTGGCATCAGCTCACTGGATTGGGGCCGAGCTGCTGCGCGTGGCTTGGCCTGGAGCGCCAGATTGATGAGAAACGGCTGTTCTGCAGGCTGGTGGCCCCGGCGGCACAGCCGGCCTGGTGAAACGCACGCCGCGGGCCCGCCCCACGCCCGCGGGTCGCGGCCGGCCAGAGGCGACGGCTCCCAGCCTGCTGCCTGCTGCAGCGCGGGTGGCGGGCTGGCGGGTTGGCGGGCGGCCGGGCGGCGAGGCGACGTGCTCATCATTGCGTGCATAGCCAGGCCTTGAGACGGGGATATGCATGCTGCGAGGGGGTGCGCACGCTGGCCTCGACATGCGATCGAGCAAGCGAGAGGAGGCTGCAGTCGTCGATCGGCGCAACTCTTTGGCAGCTGTCGCGCTAGCTCGCGCGGAGCCCTGGCCCAAGTCCGACGCCGACTCCGCTGCAAAAAACTCTACTCTGCCCTGCTCGTCGTCATCGCCCTGCGAGCTTAAGCTTCTCGCTGGATCTCACTTCGCACGCTCGCCATTCCGTGGTTGAGGCCGATCGCCCGCCTGCCCGGGCCGCGGCTTCTCCTGTCCGGGCTGCGAATCTCCGTCCCCAAGCTCCGCGCCGCGCGCCCATCACCTTCCCCGGCCGCTGCACCCCCAGCTCCGCCGCCGCATCCAGCACCCCGCCGCAGCACTCGTGCAAGCGCAAGACGGCGCAGCCATGGCCGACGAACCGCTGCTCAGCGACTTGTGCAGCGTCTGGTAAGCTCCACGCTGCAATTTTTGCCACGCCCTCTTCAATCTCGCAAAAATGATCTGCCGTGTCACATAGAGCACTGCTGACACTGCGCCTCTGTCCAGCAACCGCAATGCCCCCAAATACCGCTGCCCCCGAGACTCCGTGCGCACATGCTCCCTTCCGTGCTACAAACGCCACCAGCAGTGGGCCCAGTGCAGTGGGAAAAGGGACCCCGCCGCCTTCGTCAAGCGCAGCGAGCTCGCAACGCCCAGCGGCATCGACCACGACTACAACTTCCTCACGGGCATTGAGCGTGGCCTGCAGCGTGCAGACGACGCTGCCGAGGCCCGTGGCCATGAGAATAAGAAGTACGAGCAAGACCAGGCCAAGCTGCAGCGCTATCTGCAGAGCAACCGCATCATTGTGGACCGAGCGCCCATTGGCATGGCCAGGCAGAAGACGAACCGCACGCGGATGACCAAGTAGGAAGCCCCTGTCTTCCAGAACACTGTCATCGGAACTTGCCCGCTGACACCCCTGCCAGAAAAGGACACGTCCGGTGGACTGTCGAGTGGCTGCATGAAGATGGCACTCGGGATCTGCAGGAAGCCGAAGCTGACATGTCATTAACCGACCTGTATGCCATGCTTTCGACAGAGCGATCACGCAAGAGAAAGCGCACAGATCAGGGCAGCGATGGCCTTCAGAACCCTTCGAAACATAGCAAAGACGGGCGTGTCTCAAGCCAGGCAGCTCAGCGCCACCAAGACTCTGTTTCGGGACAGCCTGCCTCTGCGCCTGCTTCTGACGATACACAAGCAGTTCCAACCGGTGCCAGCGTCTCGGCCGACCCGCCGAAACAAGATTCTTGCTCTGCCCAACCAGTGCCAGAAGTGTCCACAACAGCGAGTGTGTCTGGCAAAGCTGCAGACGAAAAGCACAGTGATCCAGGCCCACAGAATCACACACCACTCTTCTCCTTCTATCTGCTCAAACCGCATACACCTTCCTCGCAACCTCGCGTCCTGATCCCCCTTGATTCGAGCTCCACTCTCACAACTGCGCTGTCCACACAGGTAGTCCTCGAGTATCCAACCATCAAGGTGGTGCCACGCCAAGCCACCGATGCCCGGCTCCCCGAAGGTTTCATGCTCGAGGAGGACTATATCCGGCAAACCAAGCAGGATGTTCAAGAGCTCGAGGCGCTTATCGGACCGGACGGGCAAGTGATGACAGCTGCCAAAGCCCGGAGGGGCAGCGACGCTGGTGTTGAGACACACGGCAACGTAAGCAGTGGGCCGGTCGACGACAAGAAGTTGCTCGAAGTTTTGGCGCGGGACTTGACCGCGCGTAAGTGAACTGGCGGCAAGCGCCGTTTGCAGCCATTTTTAGTAAGTACTGCCTCGAATTTGGAACAACAAACGGCGCATAGATGCCTTATTAGCTTTCGCAATGGCATGACGGCCTTCATCTATGGCCGATTATGTCATATGGTCATGCAGGACAGAGAGTCGACGGCCGGCACTCCCGTCAGGGTCAGATCCCGAGAAATGGGCCGTTTGACGGACCCTTGGACTGGCGACAAGGGTAGGAGACGCGATTCCCTTAGGCCCACCCGGCTCTGAGACACGGGGAGGGCCAACCTTAATTCGAAAATTCCCGGTAGACCGATGCGGAAATCAGCGCTCTTACCAGGCGGCGGTCAGGCCGGACTGGGGCTTCTTGCGACAGCATTGCTCAATCGACGCATGGATGCGTCAAAGAGGCAGCTAGTCCGATTCACCACTAATTTTTCTATCTACCTGGCGGCCCAATCTCCTCGTTTGGCACCCGCTTCGTCACTGTGTCGTAAGCGAGGAGCCGGCAGGCAGGATCTCGTTCTCGCGTACCTTGTGCTGGTAGGTACGTGATAGTGGAGGAAGGAATGCCTTGTCTCGATAAGCGAAGGAGCCTGCCGTTACGCGTCAAACGCTTCGGACGGGGCCAGGGCCATTCGCGGTGTGGCGCATTCAGAATGCAGCAATGGCCCATGTCCAGCTGAGAAAAAGGAGGGTAGAGGCGACTTTTGCGATGGTGCAGAAAAACCTACGCCCGATACACCCAGACCGTGCCGAGGCTGTCTGGAGCTAGCAGCCTTGTCGAATGCGCCAAGTTCCAGTTGTCAGCTAAGAATCCTACGTCTCGCCTCAAATTGTCTTTTCTTCGCGCTTCTCTTCTCTCTTACGTGCGGAGGTGGACGCCTTTTGACTGGACCCGTGGCCCCATGATTAGCTTCGGCCATGTTTGACTACCGCTCAGCAAAGAGCACAAGTATTACGCTAGAAAGCAATGACACCAAACGACCACCAAACGCCATTGTCCCTGCGGCAAGAAAGAATCGGTCCAACCGTCCTTCATGACAAGGTCCGACAGTCTTCCTTCTTCCGTCTCCTTTCGGTTCCTGCATCCACAAACAAGATTCTGACCGTGCCGCCGCGCCACCCGCGCCGGAGTATCGGGTCGCTGGAGGGAAGCTGACGCGAAAATGGCAAGCAGCGGTGCAAAAAAAGGAAGAAGCTTACTGATCCACCCCGGCTCCTCACCCGATTGCCCCGTACCTGGCACCGCCGACTTCATTGGCTGAACTGAAAGGAACCATCCAGGAGCAGGCCTTCGTAACCCCGACCTTTGAAATCGAGAAGACGTACGCTACGAGCCATGCGATGTGTCATTCGAGCATGGATTGCAAGATCCCACAGCAGAGACACATGTCGCCAAATGCAATAGGAGGGGCTCGGCAGCGACTGGGGGGATTGCTTATGGCCGCACGAGTTGGATCATGCTCACCGTTCCGTCCGAAGGCGATCCTCCTCGAAAGCCTCTAGGAGAATGGCTAGAGGTGCGCATCTCGCCTGCCAGTTCCACGTCTGTGTAAGATGCATGTCCCTCCGCCACACTGCTATACCTGTCGTGCGACGCAATCAAGTTGACAACACATCCCAACCCCTCGCGTCTTGGTCAGCACTAACCTGCGCATCCCTCAACCATTCCTACCCATCATGCATCATCAACAACGTTACCGCCTTCATCAATCTCCATCTCCCTCCATGCCCTACCAAGCGCTTAGTAGCGTGACGAGTGACTAGCAGAGTCGCGACGGCCGTTCATGCAACCGGTCGACGTGTTCCCGGATCTACCGCATGCCCCATTGCCAGAGGTACTCGCTCTCTGCCCTCAATACTTCCGGCCCCTTCTCTGAATTCCATGATCGTCTTTAAAAGCAATCTACGCAAACCTTTCAGCAGATCTTGGATCGTTACAACGATCAAGCCTACGAAAAGCACGTCCAAGACCCACAGGGCCAACTTCCCTTCCTCCTCAGGCTTAGCCGAAGCACGTGCGCGCAGTGGGAATCGTTGGTGACAGCACGAATGTCGTACGTCGTGCAACATGGCAGAGAACCAAAGAAACTCTCTCCGGTAGGTTGCCTTGTGGGTAACCCAGCCCTCGTTTACGCCTACTTTTTTACGTGGCGCACTTTCGAGTTTTCTATCGCCTAGGCCATCCATGGGCTTATCATCTCTCACCTTTGATTGGCGACCCAGACAAACAGCAACGGCAGCGCTCGCAGGGGCATCCCTTTTAACGGCTTGCCACTGTACGAATCACCCTCAGCCCTGGCCGTTCTCTACCTCATCGCAGCCTCATCTCGGCCCTACTCGGATCGCCCAACATCCATTTCGGCCATTACTCGGCGCCCTCCTTACGTATTCTCCATCTCCTTCTGTCAGGGCGGGAATGTCGTACATCCGTGACGAGGATTCATCCTGAGCAGGGTCAGTTTGGGCTGTCGTTGTCCCCGCCTCGGCAGGCTGTCATAGTATTCACACGCATGCAGAAGGGATGTACTCTTCACTGCTTGGCATCTCCGCAGATCTACGTTATTTCGAAAGCGTCAATCCAAAGTCAACGCGTGATGGACGTGGCGATCGTCACTTGATGCAGTAGTGAGCAGACGACACTGACGCGATTGCGGCACGGCACGGCACGGTAATTCCCTTGAATCCGTCGATCGAACCGTTGCTCAAACGTTCGAGCATCTCACACTACCTTCGCGATTGGGTCAAATATCCGGGAAGGAATAATAGTCCAACCATAGCACTGACACAATCTTCCTTCTAATCGGGGTACACTAACGGCTACCCTAACATCTGGGAAAGATTTGGGTCGTCGCTACCGCTAGCCTTGAACCATGAAAACCGGTACTCGCTCGGGAGAGGGCAATGGCTTTTCTACTACTATTTTCCTCCGAGCGATGAGTAGGCAGTACAGTTCTATAAATAGTATCATTCACATGTATAGTTGCTCTCTTGGTCAGTACATACCACTGTCACCACCCCGACCCCAGATCCAAGTTCCACTATAGCTGCTTGACCGTCACCTTCAATCACATGCCAACCGGACAAGCCCATACGTACGGGGCCAGTCTCATTCATCAATCACGTTCATGTAGCAACCTAATAATAAGTAGGCAACATCCGTCCCTAGATCTTTCGTTAGCGCCATGGGTAGCGGGGCCGATCGACCTCTGTACAGTTCCCTGACCATTATAAGCAAAAACAGGGCGGGGATAGGTAGACGGCCATCCGTCCACCCGAGGACATTTTTTTTTTCTTCCAAAGGTCCATTCATCATCATCACGACCCAACGAAAGGGTCCGTGGCTTGGTCTTGGCGCGCGAGATCCTTCGATCCGTGTGGCTTGCAAGCCACCATCGTATCCCGGAGGCATGTTCGTGCATGATGATCGCGCGGGTTGAATATTCCGGTGGCTGGCGGGCGGGGGCGCCCGCATGTCGTACGCTATGCAGATTTGCTTTTCGTTTTATTGCCCGTCCGGCGTACCGTTCCGGAGGCATCTCCACCAGCTGGAGGGAAAGAGGAGGAGGGAGGGAGGGATCAGGCAGGGAGGGGAGGGGAGAGGAGAGGAGGGAAAGCACGGGATACGAAGTGAAGAGAGCGCCAGCTAGCCGAGCCGCAAAACGCAATCTTGTATCGTTATTGCTTCCGCTCTTGGACGGAGAGATGCGAGTGTGTAGGGGAGCGAGTCGTGGGTGGTTCGGCATGTGGCTCGACTCATGACATCTACACATCACAATTATAGCTTTTTCACTCCCTTCCTAGGTGCCCTCCCTTCCATCCCTCCCCCGTCTCCCTCCCCGCATTATCACCAGTACCGTTATCTCCTCCCCCTTTCCCCGAACCCACCCCCACCACCATCCTTCGAGTAAAACCGCTCCTTGTCCTGCAATCAACCAGCTCCTTTGCCTGATATGCAAGACGATGAAATGCACGAACAATTGCACGAATCGCGCAGCGCACGCGAACACGTATAGAGATGAGGCATCCCCTTGTTTAAAAAAAAAAAAAAAACCAAAGAAAGACGGGCACGATACGTGATGATAATTTCACGCAAAGGGCGCTATACTACACGCCCAAGTCATGCGCGCACACAAAAAAACCTTCACCACCACCACCATGACTCTGTGACCGTGACTGTCGTCGCGGGCGTGTACCCAACTACGAAGCGACTGACCAAACCGCTGCCTAGTCCGGCACGCACGAACGAATGACGAGACTGACCGGCTGCCGATTTGTGGGTACTTGTGGGGTGATTTCTGGCGTGCGGGGAGTCATTTATCGTCATGCAAGGGACGACATGAAACTGGCGGGGGGGAGAGAGAAGCGCTTGGAAATGATCGTCCTATAGCTATATAGCTGGGCTACTATGCATCATCAACATTCCACCATGCATAGGTATATGCAGTTGGTGACGAAAGAGGATCCAGGACAGTAGTCAGTCCCGAAACGACATGAAGGGGATTAGAGACCCCGCATACGTCAGCAGTTGTGTCAATACGCGCGCACATCAAGGAAGAGGATGTTCAACGAACAGCAAGAATCACATTCTTGCATTATCTACGTTGTAAAAAAAAAAAAAAAAAATCGAGGGCAACTATCACTATCTAAGGTGCTCGAGGGGTATGTAGCAGACAGACAGACATGCAGCCAGCAGGGAACGCAAAAAACTTTCCAAAAAACAAGGGAAATCTGGCAGCGAGCAGCAATGTAGCAACAGCGCAGAGAGCAAGGCGGCAAGGCAGCGGACAATACTCTCTAGCGAAGACTAAAGTGTTTGTTGTTGTGATGCGCTTCCAGAGTCGATTGTTTGTTGCAGACAGGGAAAAGAGAAAACGAACGAACCAATTGGGGAGCAATTAATCAAAGCAACAGACAAGTTCGAAACCAAAAAAGCAAACCAGAGCATCGCAGGCCTCTCCTAAACAACAAAGTTCAAATCGTTTCCCTTCTCTCCCACACATTCTCGACTGGTGCATCTGCGGCTTCAAGAAGGATTTCTTGACCGGGGGTATTTCTCTCTTCGATGAAAAGAGTGACAGGTACACACAAAGAAAATGTTCCGCGAGGGAATCTCAATCCAGGCCGCCAGATCAAAAAGCCATCCCATTCACACCAGAGTCGGACAAGCTGTTGGCTCTGGTGGAACCGGAGGGGATACCAGAAATAGAGTGGGTGAAAAGGATGTCGTGAAGGTAAAGTGAATGAAAAAGGAGAACTTTCGCTAGACTGCCAATTTATCAAATCGCGACCGTGTCCTCAGCATGAGCAGTATTGACGCACGTCAACCAAGTCATTTACGTAGAAAGACATGTGCAAGAAAGGGGAAAATAGGGGCGCAAGTGGTGGTGTGAGTGTGGGAGATAGTGCACGACTAGTCGTAAGGTGAAGGAAACCCAACGCCATCAAGAGGCAGAGGAAGAAAGTCGTAAAGCGGAGTCATGAGCGAAGAAGGGTTGCCGGTTAGAAGCAGTTGAGCGCGCTCTTCTTCTTCTTTTTGTTGGCCTGGTTCAATGCGGCCATGCGTGCTTCGAGGTGGGCACGCTCGGCTTCAACCCTCATGCGCGCGTTGCGCTCTTCCTCGACCGCCTGAAGCGAGTAGCGGTTCTTGCTCTGCTCCTGCTTCATGACGTTGATTTCCTCTTCGAGACCAGTGCACTTCTTCTTCCAAGTCTCCATCTCGTTCTTGACCTTGGTGCTAGACGCCTCCAAGTCGGTAAGCGCCTCCTCCAGAGTTGCGGTAAGCTGCTTCTCCGCGAACAGGTGCTTCTCGATGGTTCGGATACGAGCCTCTTGGTCCTCGACAAGCTGCGCCTGAGCAATGTCCTTGCTCTGGTGCCTTGAAGCGGGCGGCGACGAGGGAATCGCATTGGGTCCAGCAGACGCCGGCGGCGATCCAGGGAGAGGAGGCAAGGGAATGGCCGGGGGCGGCGACGGCAGGCTGGTGTGCGAAGCGGACTTCCGCAGATTGACAGAGTCCTTGGAGTCGGAGCGTTGGAGAGCCGAGTGCGGATCCAGGGACTCACGGTTGGAAAACCTCTTGGCGCCACCGAGTTGAGCCTGTTACTGTTAACCAAAAGAGCACTGTAGTATGCGAACATTGTTGAAACTCACCTCAAGTTCGGCAATCTTCTTCCTCGAGTCCTCCAACTCCTTCTCCATGTCACCCTTGGCAGTGACGGCCTCCTCAAGCTGGACTTGACGCTCGATCTGAAGAGCAGACAGACGGTTGTTAGCAGCCTGGTGCGAGTCGTAGTTAGAGTTGAGCTGATCCTCAAGTTCCTCAACGAGACGAGAGCTCTTTCTCTCCTTGTCGCTGATCTTCTCAAGCTCTTTGAGTGTCTCCTCGTTGATCATCTTCAACTCGCCAACCTTGCCCTCCATGTCGGCAACGGCGGCCCGGGCCTTCTCCAACTCTTCTCTCGCAGCAGCAAGCTCAGTGGCAGCGGCGTCGTGCTTCTCAAGCAACTCTTTCCGCTCATGGATGAGCTTCTCGATTTGACTTTGGACATTGGTGGCATCCGTGTCCTCGTTAAGAGCCGCGGAGATGCTCTGGACGAGAGTGACCATCCCTTGGCGCGACTTCTCCATCTCAGCATCGTGCTCAGTCTGCAGCTTCAAGATTTGCTCTTGCAGAGCGGCAGCAGCCTCTTGGTGCTCAGCCAACTGCGTCTCAAGACGGCTGTTGATCTGCTCAATCTCCTCGGCATGAGTCTCGCGGAGAGTGTCCAGACCCTGCTGGTGAAGCGCAACGGCAGCCTTGTGCTCTTCGAGCTGTCTCTCCAGGTTAGCGACCAAGCCACGGTGCGTGTTCAATTCCCTCTCCGTAAGCTCTTTGTCGCCAGTTTCTGACTCGACTTGGTGCAGAATCTTAGCGTGAGACTCTTCGAGCTCTTCCAAGCGGGCAGCACTGGCTGCAGCGGCGGCCTTGTGGCTGTCAATCTCCTTCTTGAGACTTTCAACATCGGCGACCGCAGCATCAGATTGGCCAATGCGCTGCTCTGCGATTCTCAAAGCCTCCTCGAGCTCCTTGATGGTGACCTGAAGCTCGTTCTCGGACGCACGCATCGAAGTGATGGTAGAGTCGTACTTTGTCTGCCACTGGACAACTTCCCGCTGCAGAACAGCAATTTGTTGAGTAGCTTCGTCTTGAGAAAGATCATCCCTCGAAACCATCGGGCTAAGACCAGGTCCAGGAGACTCAGGGAAATCTCCCGGCATATCCTGACTGGACTCAGTGGCATCGCCTGAGTTGCTGATTCTGATCGAGGGAGAACGAGGTGACCCCAGAGCGGTCCTCAGGCTCTCAATCTGCTCAACAAGCTCCTGCTCACGAGCAGAGTGCGACTCCTGCATCTGCCTGACTTGGGCTTCGGACTCCATAAGCTGATCACGCATCTGAGCAACCGCAGTGATGTCAAGGGGAGACGACTTCAAACTAGATCTCTCACGGGTGAGACCAGAAATGATTGTCATCTTGCCTTCCATCTCCCTGCGAACCTGGGCCATGTCGGTCTCAAGCGCGACAACGCGTTCCTTGGCGGTATGAAGGTCCGTCATGATGGTGTTCAGGTTCATTTCGAAAGCCTGGATCGTCTCCGGATCTTCCTCCAGGTGGTCCAAAGCAATGTTCCGCAGTGCGGTAAACGAACGGTTTGCGCGGTCCACGGCAACGATGTTCTGGCTGGACTTCCGGCGGATGACGTGTGCTGTAGGTGAGTCGGGGCGAGCAAGCTGAACAGCCTTCTGTACCTCGCCCTTCAACTCGTCGACGTACTTGAGCGTCTCTTGATGATCCTTCTCCAGCTGCGAGTAACGTTGAGCCAGCTCGGCCATGTTCCCTTCCTTCTCCTCGTGTAACTTCTTGAGCTTCTCCATCTCTTGGGCGAGAGCGTCGTCATGAGGTACAACGCTTTCTTCTTCAGCAACTTCTGCCTCAGAGCCCTTCAGAGCGGTCTCAGCATCAGAAGTTGCCGATGTATAGATAGAGTCTCTCGGATTGGAAGACTCCCCAAGCAAGGACAATTCCGATGATAAGGTACGCGAGGATGAAGGTTGTCCATCCTCTTTGATCTCGTTGATCCCGTTCACCCCCGCGTGCGCTAAAAAAGAATCTGGTCCAGCAGAAGAAATAGAGGTACGTTGGTCAGACGTACGGGCCTCGTCCACAGCCTCCTGAAGCTCGGACAAGGTGTTTAAAGCGGCCTGGTATTTTCTTTGAAGGTCGTCAAAGTCATGAACAGTCGTCTCGTGTTCAACACGAAGGTCGAAAAGTTCCTGCGTCACAGCCTCAAGCTTGTCGTTGACGAAGTTGGTTTGCTCAGGGCTCTGGGGCATCTCCTCGGTCGAGGGCGCGACCTCGACCGTGGTCTCCTTGATCTTGTCGGGAGTCTGCGGTTCAGAAGATGCGGCTGATGGGCTCCCGGAGCGTTCCACCTCGTGCTCGACTTCGGCCTCGGTCTCCTCCTCAATGTTCCCATTGATGGTCCTCTTCGCATGGCCGTTAGTCAGAGCGTGTTCGGCAGGCCTGTTCTCTTTGTTGATGTTGTCGAGTTCGTAGAGAAGGTTGTCAAGCTTGCCAATGCTGCGCTGGCGCTCTATGACATGCTCCAGACGCTCAATCTCCCTTTGCATCAGCTCGTGGTCCTGCTCAGCTTCGGCAAGGCGCTCTTCCAAAGTGGAAATGTACTCCTCGCAGTTCTGCTCATTCTCACGTGCCCTGTTGATCTCCTTTCGCAGATCCTGGATGATGGCCGTCTGCTTCTCCTCCCCAGAAGTGATGCCGTCAACCTTGGACTCCAGGTCTTTGAGGTAGCTTTCGTTGCTGGCCTCACGGTCCGCGTACTTTTGGATGCGCGTCTGCAGCTGCTGGTTAAGGCTCTCCATGTAAGCAATCTTAGTCTCCTTCTCGAGCAGGCTGCTCTCGCTGGTGGAAAGCGAGGATCGCGTAGTCGATAGGGAACCTTCGAGGCTTTGGATCGTCTTCTCGTACTCCATCACCACCTGCTGGACGGCCTCGGCAAATGAGTTGGAACGGTTGAGTCTTTCCATGGCGGTTTCTCCAAGTGCATCAGAAAGACCGGAAGCGTCTGAAGAGTCAGCGTCGCGGGCCTTGGTGAATTCGGCGATGAAGTTTGCGTGGCGTTGACTCAATGCGTTGTAGTTTTCTTGAATGTCCAGAAGCTGGTTTTGGAGTTCGATTTCGCGCTCACCGGACCTCTCTGCTCTTTCCTTTGGCGTGCTTTCCTTGCGGCCAGTGCGCTCCGACAGCCGGATCTGGTCACGCAAGAAGGAAACCTCGGCCCGCAGACGCTCAATGATGGCCTTCGCGTCACCCTCGTCGGCGCTCTGTTGAATCTGCGGTTTACTCTGGATTGCACGAGCACGCTGAGCGTACTGGACGGTATTGAGAGTCTCGCTCAAATGGAACTCGGCGGGGTTGACACAGGCGACCATGTAGGTGATGGCATTGCCACCGAGGGAATCCTGGAGCAGGCGGGTGAGCTTCGAGTCTCTGTACGAGACGTGGGACCCTGATCTCTGCGAAAGCTGCGAGATGACCTTTCCTAAACTTGCCAGACCCGCGTTGATGGAGATACCTTCCCTCGCTCTTGCCCCCTCGGCGCCGGTATTTTTCAACCTTTCACTACCCGCAAGATCGACGAAGTGCAGCTTGCTATCCACCGTCACCCAGCTGTCCGAGCCAGACATTGCTTCCAGCGGCATTGATCTCCGCTTGTCTTGCACCGAAAGTTGCCCAGTGGCAGACTTGCTCTTCTTCTGGACGAGGTTCAAGCTGAAAACGGCATGCGAACGGGAAGACTGCGAATTGATCGCGGTAGCGTCCGTTTGACGAATGGAGGAACCAAAGTTTAGGGCATGGAGGAGGTCGTCGATAGAATTGATGGTCATCTGCTGAAGACCGGATAAAATAATCCTGCCCTTGGGATCCTCTCGGATCGTGACTTGAGCACGTTCATATTGCGGTACATCGGCTGGGACCAAGAGATCCCGGAGCTGCTCGTTGTAGATCTCGACATATGAGGCTTTCAACTGCCAATTTTTTTCCGCAGGCTTTGCACCCGCGCCAGGGAGCCCCATGGTGGAGTATCTTGTCGGCGCCCGAAGCCCGGAGCTGCCGGGGGCGCCGGGCGCGGAGTGGCCTGTTAAAACTTCGAATAATAATCTCGCAGCGCGAGGAACGACACCTGGAGACCATGTTAGTAGCCGATACCCTGATACCGCACTGCATTTCCGACATACCCATCGCCTCCTCATTTGCCTGCTGTTGCGGGCCCGAGGTACCCATGGTGTATGACTTTCCCGCACCGGACTGGCCATATGCCAAAATCGAGACATTGTATCCTTGCACAAAAGCATTCACGCTTTCACTCAGATATTCCCAGACACCGGCCTGGTCCACGGACTCGCCGAAGACGCGATCGAAGACGAACAGCTTCTTTCCTTGTTGCGAGTCGACGGCAATCGTGGTGTCAGTGTTGACTTGGCACGCGCTGTTGCGAAATCTTTGCGGGATGAGCTCATAGTTGGGATCGCCAGGCTTAAGCGGAGGGCGGACGCGAATGGCTGCGCGGCGCGTTGGGTTAGCAAAGATGACGCGGAGTGACGCGCCGAGGTGAAGTGTAGGTACGCACCAACTTTGACGGCGGTCTTGCTGTCTTCATCGGATGCCCTGCTGCCGCCGCCGGCGCGGCTGCTCACGCTCATGCGGCTGCTGGAGCGGTTTGGGCGCATCATGGCGCTCAGAGGGCGCTGGATGCCGCTGGCTGGCGAGCCGGGCGGAGATGTTATCTCCATGGTCCCGGTGGTGCCGTCGGCGGGGCGGTGGTGTGGTGGTGAGGGCAGGGCGCACAGGTTTGCTGTTCTTACGTGGGCGTGCCGAGGCGCCGAAGGCCAGGTTCAAGATGCGGAGCGCAGGGCGAGGGCGGCACTACTGGCGTAGAACATGCGCAGAAGGTCGGCGGCACGGCAGATGCGCGATCTGTGCGACGGATGCGGTGGTTCGCGGCGGGCTCAGCATGGACCGAGGGCGCGGACTCGAGGAGGGAGAGCCGTGTCTGTTGTCGCGGGCGATAGTCGCAGACGGGTCCCGCGTGCGCTGGCGGCGACTGGCCGGGTGCTTTTGAATTTGTTGCCTGGGGTTGCGTCCCAGGGTCGGCTGGCCTTTCAGGGGGCTCTGGCAGGGCAGGGACCGTTGGCGTTAGACCCGGAAGATAGGAGAACCAGGCGCGCGCTCGCAGTCCGCCGGCGCTGGCTAACGGCTCTACTCTGCGAAGGGAGGGCGGGAGACGGCTGCAGGGGGCGCGGACGGGGTTGTGGTTTCAGGCTGGGCTGCCGGTGTCTTCTGCCCAAGGCGAGTCCTCCAGCGCAGCGAGCTGATGAAGCAACGCAGCAACGCAGCACGCGCGCGGGCGTGCAGGCAAGCGGCCACCGGGCCAGGCACTCTGGTCCCTGTCCCGGAGGATGGGCTCCCGCTACGATCTTAGCGCGGCCGGGCACGTTGGACGCTTTCCACGCCCTTCTTCTCGCGTGGGCTGATTGCGACTCTGGCCGCCGAGAACCCAATGGCTCCCCGCCGCCGTCTCCGCCGGCCTGCACTGCCTCGTGCTGCGACGGCGCCCACCACGGTTGGACATGCGCAGCGCGCCCGTGGGTCGGCACTGGTCGCCGACACACGTCGTCCCCCGCATAATAAGGCAGCAGGAACAGCCGCTAGCCATGCAGGAGCGCCGCCCGATGCGCGTCTAGGCAGGCACGCGCCGGCGCCTCCCTCTGCCTCTGCTGCACGCTGTCAATCGCGCTGCTGCTGCTGCTGGTCCGCCGTTTCTCCGCGCACATCTCCATCCAGTCGCGCCCCGTCTGATGCGCGCTGTCATTTTACGCGCGCCGGCGACGTGCTCTCAACGGGCAAGGACTGGCGATTATTGCGGCTGCCCATCATCACCTCCGAGACCCCATTCGGGCCCGCGCAGAGTCATCTCGTCGACCCGTCATCCATTTTTGGAGATCACCGGTCTGAAACGTCGTCGCCGCGCCACCAGGAGGCCCCCGCCCAGCGCGAGCCCAGCGCGCTCGACGCGATCTGCATGCTGGCGACAACTCCAGCGTCAGGGGTGCACTGCTCGCCTACGCGCCAATTGTGCTCTCGTCATGCCCATCCACGCCATCGTGATCTCCCCCTCCGCTTCGTGTGCGCCTTGCGCCAGATCCAGCCGCGCTACCTACGGCCTCACGCTCTCTCCGAGTCACCTTCACCAGCGTACCACGCCAGTCTGGCGGCCCGGAGGAGCAGCAAAACCCGACGTCCAGGCTGGGCCGACGGCCAAAACAAGCTTCTGAGGCTGGGCCGCCCACGGGCGCAGCTACCACAGCGTACATTTTGCCGACGCGGCGTCGACAGGCGAATTTCTCATCTCCCATCCAGCGCGTCGTCCCACCAGGCGTGCCGCCGAGCGCCTGCCTTCGGAATGTCTGCCGAGCACAGGCTGGCTTGAGCATTTGAACACGTCAAAAGAATCGGGATCCATGAGTTGTGACACCGGAGATGCTTCCAGGCCCCCGGCCTGCGAAGCTGGCAGACGGAGAGGCTGGGCGCTGCGTAAGCCTTGAGCGCCCGACACGTTCCAAAACACTGAAGAATGATCTACGGCCGTGCCACAAGTCAAGGGCTTTAACTTTTCTTTCTAATTCCCCCTGGGCGTTGGAAGCAGAACGTGCGCGACACGCAGCATTTTCAATGCGCCGCATCCGGGATGGTAAGCTCCGAGATGGCGCAATGCGTATGCTCTCAAGCATGACAGAGATCTGAAACCGCATGTTTGAACTGGCGCACTCCTCGGCTGACCTTTTTGGCACCTCCTACTCCAAAACGGGTTATCACCGTGGTCAATCGAATCACCCTCATTCCGCAAAGGCTTGCGAACCACCCCGCCTCACCAAGCACTCTAGCACTCTCCCTTTTCTTTTTCAAACACGTTTGTGGGCGGGTGGGCCGGACGGTGCTCGTTAGCTGGACGCCGGCGAGGTCCGGCGAGGTTCTAGCTGCCGCTCGCATCCCACTCCGAAGCTACCGAGTGCATTAGTCCAGCGCCCCCAATGACCGCAAGGGCCAGCAGTTCGGCCAGCAGCTCCGGACATGAACTGTGCCTCTGGTAGCGCCGCAGCTTCTGCGGAATCACTAAAAAAAGCAAGCTGCGCTGGAACCAATGCTTTTCCCGGAAAGCCTAAACCAATCGGAGGTTATTCTGCCTCACTACTGCGATCCGAACATCCGGTTTGGATCGACCCAGATATCTGGAGAGCTTGCCGATGATCTGGCTTCCAGAAGACGCTTTAGCGTTTCAAATCACCGGCTTCAGATCTGTGATCCTAGGAGTGGAATGTTCCACTGCTTCCAGGCCTAGTCCCTACCGAGAGGAGTGTCTTACGGTAAGTCAACGATAGTGTCACTCCTATGCTCCAGCGTATGCAGTGGCTCTGCTGCTGCTCCTGTAGTGCTTGTTGAAGGAAGTGCCTCTCAATGGACGATGTGAGACATGACAGCTCTACCGGATGTCCCGAGATTTCACCAATACCATGTGACTCGTGATCAAATCTGGCCTATGAGCGCTGAAGAGGGCTAATAACCTCTCGACGTAGCTACTGCGTGTGAGCAAGCGCACATAGTTCAAGAAATACAGAGGGGAAAAACCGCTCGGTCAAATAATATGTTCTCTAAACTCTTCTTTTCGGCAGTCAGCCATTAGATCTCTTAGATTGGTAGGAAAGAAGAAAGATAATGTTGCTCCCTTTTCTCGGCCGTAGAAATAAGCAAGCAGCAAGATAATGCATTCCAACCAAGCAACATGTCATGCTGCCCCCGAAAGTAAAAGCGCCGTGTTTTTCCTTTGCAATTCAAGGCATCCCAAGTCGACAACCCTCAAAGCTGATTCATCATCAGGCCGGTCCTCTCACGCGTCACCAGCAACGCCTATACCCATACCCTCCGGCCTCCGTTCCACAACAGGATCGCCTGCAGCGTCGAAGCTGCGAGCACCCGCCATGTCCGAGAGGGCGCCCGCAGCAGTCTCCAAACCCTCCCTCTCCCTCGTCTTCTGGACGGGCACGATGTCCCGCCAATTGGGCTTGGGCTGCACGTCCAACGTCTTGCCCACCTTGACGTCTTCCCTCAGCATGTCGCGGAACGCCGCCGTGCTGGCGTTGTCGTCGTTCAGCAGCCGGTCGACGCGCTCCATGCGGCCGAGCTCGGCCTCCATCATGTTCTCGAGTATCAGCTCCTTGGACAGCCACTCGTCCTTGCGGGCCTTCTCCTGCGTGTCGACCTCGGCCTTCAGCTCCTCGCCCTCCAGCGTCGCCCACTGTATCTGCCGGGTCAGCAGCCGCATCAGATCCGGCGCCGACAGGCCCAGCTCGTCCTTTGTGAATTGTATGTCTGCCGGGAACTTGCGGGTGAGCGGGCTGTGGGGGATTGTGGGGTCGAGGGGCCGGTAGATGACGTTGTTGTGCTCGTACTCGTTCTCGGGGGGCACCGCCGGCTGCTGCTGCCCCGTGCCGCCCTGCGAGTGCGGCGAAGCGGGCATTGGCGAGCCGGGCTTCTCGGTGCCATTGTTTTTGAAGACCAGCCGCAGCCGCTGGTTCTTGTTCGACGGGTTCGAGGAGTGGTGTTTTGGAACGGGATCCGAGGGTCGTAGCGCTTCCGTCTCGTGCACGGTACGCATATGCTTTGCCAGAGCGTCGGAACGCGTGAAGGCACGATCGCATTCTGGTCAGGCGTTAGCAGCTGGCTTCACTGACTTATACATGGAAGCAATGGGCGGGGAAGCACGCAAGGGAGCGTTGGCGGTGGCAGCAACTTACCCGGCAAAGTGCAGTAGAAAGGCTTCTCTCTGGTATGGCTGCGCATGTGTGCTCTCAGGGCGTAGCCGCTGGCATGGGGAATGCCTTTGCGCTGGCAGTCGGTCCACTCACACGAGTACTTCTTCTGGCGGGTGCCGATGTGATCATCGTGCAAGTGATCGACCAGCTTGTCCATGTTTCCCAGATCGCCAGCCTCGCACCCTTCCCACTTGCAGACAGATACCTGTTCTTGGCCGAAGCTCTCCTCCTCTTGCAAGCCTCCGCCACCGCCGCCGCTATAACCATGGTGCGGTGAGGCTGGAACGCTGCCATCTGTGTCTTCGGAAATGTAGATGTCGGCGTCGTCGTCGGGCTGGGGTGCCTCGGGGGTCGCACGCCGAAAGTTGGCGAGACCAGAGGAGGGCCCGGCGCCGGTGCGCTGGCGCTTCGACGGGCGCGTGCTATCGTGGTCGGCGTCGTTGTACGTGTCGACACTCAAGGAGCGATCCTCGATTTTGACGTCCTCCTGGAACTCGTCGGAGGACAGCTCCGAGAGTGGCGATCCGGGCGAGTCCATGGTGGCGCGGGCGCAGAGGTGCTGGCGCGGCTGTTGGAAGGTGGGTTGGTGATGATGGCAGCGGGAAAGGGACGGCGACGAGCGGCCATGGTGTTGAGCTGAGCTCGAGCTAGCTGGGACTTTGCCGCGCGCGCCTGCCCAGGCCAGCCGCCCGCTGCGCGCGTCGGGGGAGGCCCGAGTGTCCAATGGGCGGCCACGATAAACCCTGGTGGTGCGGCGCGGAACAGCGCCCACTGCCGCAGTTGCCCCAGCTTAAATTCTCAAGGTTGCAGAACGCCGTCGCCGTCACCTCACTCTCTTTGTCGGTGAGGTCCTCACCCGCGCCTCGAGGCCACCTAGCATTTGCACGCACCCAAGCAAAGCACCGGATCAAATGCTGTGATCTAGCAGCGGCTAATGCTACGTGCGGCTGAGCCCCCCGCCTACGCGGAACTGTGACATGGGGTTCACCACGAAAGCTATGCCGCAATTTTCAACAGGTTCGTTCTACATTCCTTACATCACCCCTCCTCCTGAACCCGCGAGTGATGACAGAAAGAATTCTGCAATCCTGATGGAGTCCTCCTTCGGGAGTGGTGCCACATGGTGATTAATTCTACACTTGATCTGACGATCCCCGAACATAAACGCACATGCTCTGCTAGTGATACATCGGCAGCTAGCTAACGCAATTCTTGAGTTAGGTGCGCCACATTCCGGTGCGCGGAGGATTTTCTGTGAGCAGGGGTCTGTTGCGCGAATCAACGTGTCACCCGAGGGTGTCGAAGGGTTGGTGGGCAGACTGGTATCTGTTGCCTGATCCAATCGCACCTCGTCCAGTGCGCAGAGAGATGGTCATGAGCAGACCATGCTTTGTGCATCTGGCAGGAGTGCTGCGCGGGCTTTACTAACTGTCTCACAAGCCTATCATGACAAGAGTGCGGAGTAAAGACCGCTCAGACGGAGCTTGGGTGGGAGCAATCTGATATTTCTCTAAAACGTCTGGGAACGTGTCCAGAGTAGCTAACCGTTCATGTGCGCCTGGGCAGCAGCAGGATACCTGGCACCCTTGACCTCTATCCGCTGCAAAATCGTCTCAATCTCAGCCATGTCCTGATCAGACAGGGTGACATCCTGGAGGTTCTCTTTGACGCGAGCATCGGTAGTAGCACCGGGGATGGGAATCACGACTGGGAAACCATTCTTGTTGCTGTGTTGCCTGACCCAAGCTAGACCAACCTGACCGAGGGTTGCACCCTTCTTCTTGGCAATCTTGTCGACTTCGTCTGCAAGCTTGATGTTCTCGTCGAAAACGTCGGGCTGGAAGCGCGGCGCAATGCGGCGGAAGTCGCCCTCGGGGATGTCTTCGACGCTGCGGATTTGGCCCGTCTGTTGGCATTTGGTCAGCATCCTGTCAGCCTCGAACTTGCAACGTGACATACCAAGAATCCGCGGCCAAGCGGCGAGTAGGCGACGATGGGAATGTTCAATTCGCCGCAGGCCTTGGCAATGTCGTTTTGCAGAATGTCGGTGCAGTACATGGAGAACTCGACTTCGACAAAGGCAATGGGATGGACCTTGGCAGCGCGTCTGATGGTTTGCGCGCTGACTTCGGAAAGAGAAATGCCTCCAAGCTTGCCCGCCTTGACGAACTCGGCGATGTACGAAATGGTGTCCTCGACGGGGACGTTGGGGTCCACCCGGGCGCATTCAAACGTGTCCAGAAACTTCTTGCCGTCGAGCAGACGCAGGCACTCGTTGATGCTCCTCTGGACATTCTCGCGGCTGCCATCGGGCACCAATTGACCGGGCTTTGCGCCACCCTTGATGGAGATGACAACCTTGTCGGCGTCTTCGGGATATTTGGTGAAGTAGTCCCTCAGCAAATGGAGGGAGTTGAGCTCGGGCGTGCCGTAAAACTCGCCGCCGTTCCAGAAGTTGGAGCCGCCCTCCAGGGCGGCCTTCATGGCCTTGAAAGACTCGTCGAACGGCTGAGGGTTTTGACGCCATGTCATGCCTGCGTGTCCGTTAGCAACACACGATTGATTCATCATGGCCGGGTCCGACTTACCCATCAAGCCAAAGCCAGTGGCTCCGACCTTCTTGCCAGTGATCTCAACCATGCTTTCTGTATTGGAGAATTGGTGTCTGGGATGTTCTGTCGACAGGGTAAGTGAACGGGTTGATGTGGAATGGAATGTAGGCGACAACAGCACGCTCCGCAGCTGGCATGAGCTCTTATAGCTGAGCCAACTGGCGAGCCGGCGTTAATCGGCATACTCACATGTATTTCCGGCAACCGAACCTGAAGGATGCGCTTGCCTGATCGAGGCCCTGAATCTGGGGATCCAGGGTTTGCGTGCATGAGGAGCAGCGGGAAGCTTTTGCGAGCAAGACGCGCCCCGCAAACTTAAATCCGTTACAGCCGCCGCTCGGCCTCTTGATGTCATCTTAACTCCAGTCTCCATCCACAACTCATCCGTGTCTCAGCCATTGTGCTGCGTACACCGGCTTTCGGGCTTGAGACCATCTCTCCGAACAGCGCGGCCTGATTCCGTCTGGGTAGCTCTGGGCTCTTGCGAAGCCGCATCATGGTCGGGTTCAACGAACAGAGTGCATCCATCACTGAAGACATGCATTACCTAAAACAGCGTACCAATCTAATCTAGCTCGATCCGACCCTCAAGCATCGACCGACTCACACTCCTCAAACGGAGGGTGGTTGAAGAACCTGACGCCACCCTGCCGCGACTGCTCAATCGCCTCCTTCGCATACTTCCTCATCGCGTCTTCGTACTTTCCAATACTCTCTGCCGACACCCGGCCTCCATTCTCCACCAGCACCTTGGTCAAGCCCGCCGCGTCACGAAACGCTGTCACCGCACCCACCCCTCCAGACGGCGACATGACGTGCGCCGCATCTCCAAGCAGCGTCACCGGCTCCCTCAGCGGCTCCCAAGACGCTAACTCCGGCCGCATACTAAGCACACGCATCGCAGCCGTCTGGCTCGGATCTGCCAGTTCAAACAGTGCGCGCAGCTGCGGATGCCACTCCTTGGTGATGTCCAACGCCAGTTTCCTTGCCTCCTCACTTGACATGCGTCCCAACGCTTCGTCGTCCACGCCGAAAACCTCCTTCCTCGACACCAACACCCAGTACACATAATCTTCCTCTGGGCACCCCTCGACCTCCCCCCTCTGCGGAAACCGGACAGCCTCGTACAAGCATGTCACCGGCCCGCCATCCGCCCTCCCCTTGTCCTCGACCACCCTCATCCCCCGCTCCAACAGCCCCTCCGACATCTTCCCCTCCACTCCCCCCTCACCGCCATTCAACACCGTCTTCCCGTACACGAGCCGCCCCCGCGTATCAACCGGCCGCAGCGCCCCGTCCCTCAAAAACTGCCTCCTCACCCGACTGCGCGCGCCATCCGCCCCCACGAGCAGACACCCCCTCGCCGTCGACCCGTCCGCAAACCGCGCGACCACCACCTTCCCCCCACCTTCTTCTTCTCCCCCTTCCTCGACATCATACCCCTCAAACGCCTTCCCCCACACCACCCTCTCCCCCACACCCCCCTCCATCAACACCCCCTTCAGCGCCGCCCGATCCGGCGTATACGGCCTCCTCCCCCCCGCCCCCATCGCCTCCCTCACGCGCTTCTCCCGCGCCTCGTCCATCCCTCCTCCCCTATGACCATGACCATGACCATGGCCATGCCCGCCACGCTGCTGCTGCCCCTCCCCCTCCCGCTCCCCCGCCGTCCTCGCATCCACCGACCGGCCCGGCCCACCCGGCCCTCCACCCCCACCCCCGCCGCGCAGCTCCACCCGCGCACACGTCTCCTCGAACCGCGCGAACACGGCCGGCGGCAGCGTGTCCTCGAGCGCGGCGATGCCCGCGCCGCCCGCGACGCGGATGCGGTACCCCTGGGGGCGGGCGGCGGGCGCGGCGTCGCGGTCGTAGATGGCGAAGGGGATGGGATTGGCGTTGTTGTTGTTGTTGTGCGCCAGGAGGCCTTGGGCGAGGAGGAGGCCGCCCAGGCCGGCGCCGATGATGAGGATTGGGAGGGGTTGCGGGGGTTGGGACTGGGGTTGGGGTTGGGCGGGTTGAGGCATTTTTTTCTTGTTTTTCTTTCTCTTTTTTTTTCTTTTTTTGTTCTCGATTGGGGGAGTGAGGTAAGGTGAAGGGGATTGGGTTGGTTGATTGGTCGGTCTGTTCGCTGATTGGTTGGCTGGCTGGTGGGTTGGTTGGTTGGTTGGTAGGCTGACTAGTTGATTGGTCGATTGGTAGGCTGATTGGTCGATTGGTCGGTGGGTAGGTAGGAAGGTAGCGGTAAGATCCGAAAGGCTATGTGTTTGAGGGCGGTAGGGAACAAGAAGGCGAAGGCGAAGAAATGACGACAATGGATGTGATTCTGGTGGGACAAGATGACTGAAGCTTAACTCCGCTAAGCTTCGATCGCAAAAAGGCTTGGTCGGTTCCGTTCTCCTTGTCTTGCTAGTGTGGCCATTTCCAACACCAGCATCAGGCGCCGGTGTGCTTATATACTTGCGCCCTTCCATCCGTCCTGCAGGTATCAACCATGCTGACACGCCGTCACCTACGACTCGACTCCCCGTCTCCGCCTCCGCCTCCTCCGTGCGCCGCGAACGAGATAGACAGCCCCCATTCACCTATCGCATGCGATGGGATCCTGAACAAACGCGTCCCGTTAGCCGTACTGTGCAAAGCGTGGGGGCCGGAGGATTCCTCGCGGCGGACTAGCGTCCCCGAGCAAGAAGGACAAGTCACGTCCCGTCGGGCCCGAAGGCTCCGCCGTGACACGCAAGTCTCGGGCCGTGGCGGGGTTGAGAAGTCAAGTGTCTGCCTGACACGCACACATCATGCGGAGGATGGATGACAGTGACTCCCGAGCGGGCTCGTATGTATGTATGATATCGGATCCTTGAACACGACTCGCCCGTTCTTCTAGCTTGCAGATTTCACGGTGAGTGGGTGACGTCTACATAGGATGTTAGTTCCCATGTCGCCATTGCGTCCTCTTTTCATCCACCCTAAGTTTCTCGTCGGATCAAGGTCGTCATATCTCATAGTTCAAATCAGCAGAAAGGATACCTGTTACGCACATGGTGTAAAAAAGAAACCATTACAAGAAATGTCATTAGAAAGCAATACGGCATCTATTTATTTATGGTTCAAGCTATTCATTTCGGATCTTACAGGCATCGATGATCAAACTCAACCAATCCTCAAAACCCTACGAGGCGCTACCAAACACCAACGCCAATCATACACCCAGCGCCCGCTTTCCCGAACTCGTACAATTAAAAGTGCATAAAAGGAAATAGGGGAACCGACGAAGTAATGCAGAAAAGTCGCAGGGCAATGTGAAGCAAAACCAGGGCAATGCAGTAGTAATAGAGCGAAGAAGCACCAAATGAATGGAAGGGAGAAAAGAAAAATGGAAAGGGGAGAACACATAAGAGAAGTGAAAACCTCGACCGGAGACATTACAAGCCAATGACCACCAGAAATTATCCCTTTTTAAGCCTTGAGCCTCCGCTCCTCGCACTTGACGCAGACGGGATTCTTCTCCTCGCCACGGAGGAAGTACCTGCCGTCCACGAACTCACCCGAACATTCCTGATGAAAAAGCAGTCAGCGAAATGTACACGACTAACAAGCAGATATAGGAAAGGGTCACTTACCGTGCACACAAAGCAGTTGGGGTGCCACTCGAACCCGAGTGCCTTCAGCACGGTATCTGTGACCGGCTTGCGGCACTTCTTGCACTTGGTCGAGTAGCGGTTGGTGTGGCAGTTGACGCACCAGGCATAGCCGTCTTTCTCGACAAAAGGAGTCGAAGAGTCGAAGGGCTACGCATATCGTCAGCATTTCATCGGTCGATCAGGCTTGGAAGAGTTGATACTCACGTCGCCGCACTCCGCGCAGAAGAAGTGGCCGGCGTGCCACTCGGCACCGCACGCCACGATGACCTCCCCCTCGATGGGTGTTTTGCAGCTCTTGCATCTCGGGCTGAAGAACTCATGGTAGTCCAAGTGGCAATAGAACCGCAGCCCCTCGTCGCCATCCTCCTCCTCGCTGCAACCCTGCACAGCCTCCAAGTCCTCACCATTCCTGCGCCTGTTGATGCGATCAAGACGTTCCTCGCGCCTGCCGTTCGGCTCCGGGTAAAAGGCGACGCACTCGAGTCCCTCTCCACAGTGGTGGCAGCGGAAGCATTCCGGATGGAAGCGAGCACCGCCGGCACTCACGGTACGACCGGCAATAGGAAGGGCACAGGAATCGCAGAGAGCCGAGGTTCGAACGCCACCAGAAGGTGTCCAATGGCCCTTTGGCAAAGAATTAGGTGCCGTGATCGCCTTGCGAGGAGCGGGACGACCATTCTGCGCCACTCTCGGGTCGGGAAGAGGTCGTGCAGAGCCGGAAGAGGGCGCATTGATCGTGGGAAGCGGCCTCGCTGAGCGATCGGAAACGTTGATGCTCGGGGGGTTGGACACGTTGATTGAGGGAACGGCAGGGGTGTTGCCAACTGAGATGGTGGGAATAGGTGGTGCACCGGACCGCTGGGGCCTCGAACGGGGAGGGTCATCAGGAACATTGATTTCTGGAATCGAAGGGATTGATGGGCCCCTCCTCTTCCCAAATGGCTCGTCCGGCATGTTTATAGTCGGCACGACGGGTGCACTTGCATTCTTAGGCGGGCTCGGAGGGTAGGACTTGGGCTCATGACTGGGCTCAGGAGACTTCATCTCAATCATTGCTTTTGCTTGCTCCTCCTTGAGCGCGACTTCTTTCGGCTTGTAGCCCGACTGGAAGCTGACGATCGGGCGTCCCGGACTATCACTGACCATGCTTGGCGTGGGCAACTTCGGGCTTCTGTCCTTGAACCTCATGCTCGTGGCTGCACGAATATCATCAGCCCGAATCTCCTTGCCTTCTTTCATTTTGACAGGCGATTCCTCTGGGGAACTTGCCGCAGGATTCTGGGCCTGCGTAGGGGTGACGGGTACATTCTCATTGGATGTGTACGCTGGGTTGCGCGACTGAGTCGGCTCATTCCTATGAATCTCGAACCTGTCAAACTTCTTCATGGTAGCAGTAGCCTGCGGATCGGTGCTCGAGCGGGTCAAGTTGTCGCGGCCGAACTGGATGCGCGAAAAGGGGTTCCTGCGTGTGTGGATTGGCAGCTTCGAGGGCGACGGCGGCACGGGTTTCTGCTCGGGCGATGCAGTCGGAGTAGGCTCCTCGGGCTCCTCGTAGATCTTGTCGTTTGGGTTTTGGAACAGGCTGGCACTGAGTTTTCTCTTAGATCCGCTGCTCCGGCGTCGGGGGTTGGGGACTTCGAACGCGACATGGCCCTTGGTGGGAGACTGCAGGGGCGATTCCATGGTCTTGGAGGAGTGTGCGTGCGCGTCGACTTCCTTTTTGGACTTGAGCTTATCGTCCTTTTTGGCGATCACGAAGTCGTGCACTTTTACGGATGAGGAGCTGGAGCCGCGGCTGCTGAGCGAGCTGTTGCGGCCACTGGCGCTGGACTGTGGCGAGGGGGCGTCATAGCTTTGAGCTCGGGCGTGGCTCCCTTTCTTCAAGTGGGCCGTGTAGCTGTAGGGCGCATCGGGACTCCGAACAGCAGCCTTGGGGTTCTGATGTTTCCAAACCAGCTCGGCGGCCTCGTCCTGAGCGGCCGTGAATATCCTCTGCTCGTCGGTCGCGTCCATGTCCTCCAGGGCCTTCCTGAGCGAGGCAACCTCCTGCCGCTCCATCCATCGGGCACCGCTTTCCCGGTATGAGCGGCGCTGCTCGCCGCTTGTCGAGCGTGTAGAAGTCCGGGAGACGGAGCGCTCAATCGTCGCCGGGTCCGGTTGCGGCGGTTGCTTTGGCGGCTTCGGCGTCTCGGGTTGCTGCGAGTTCCGCGAGGCCGAGCGCTTGAACGGATCCCGCACAAGAGGGCGGCCCAGGCTGGAGGAAGCACGCGGGGCAAGCCTCTCGCGCAGCGAGCCCTTGCTGGGCGACGAGAACATGTCGCGGTGTGAGAGTGCGCTGGTGCTTCGAGGTGGCTGGGCCTTGGTCGGCGTCAAGGTCGGCGGGGCCTGAGGCTCAGGAGTCGCGGAGCCGAAGGTTCTCGAGGAGCGGAGAGAGCCCAGCGGCGAGGCGGGCAGCGGGCGCGAGCCATTAGGGCGTTGGGGCCGGTTGTTGCGGATGTCACTCAGGAAGTTGCCTGGTCAAGCACGGTTGGCACGTTTCTTCGCGGTGGCTGGGTGTTTCGGCGCAAGAATGAGGAGTACTGACCGACCTGCTCGTTGTTCATGTAGGTGGGCCCAGGGATGTTGCTGCCCTTGTCCTTACTGCGCGAGCGCGACAGCATGCTGGGCGGCTTGGGCGGAATGCTGGGCGGGCGGCGGGTCGGGCTGCGGCGGTCGGGGTGGCACGAGGTGCGTTGGAGGATGTGACGCGGCAGACAGGCGCTGGAGGTGCGGCGAAGCGCTGGGTTTGTGGAGGGGGATTGGAGCGGTCAAGCGAGCGAATGGAGGGATACGTGGAGGGCACGGCGACTGGGGGAAGGGCGGGGACAGTGACTGCTGGCCTCAGGTACGTGCCGCCAAGCCGGTGAGGTGGTGTTGTGCTCGGTCGTCGCAGCAACAGCTGTGTTCCAGCCCTGACAGACGCCCGTCAGCCCTACACCCTGCCCACTCCTCACCTCCGCCCCGCCAGGCCCGCCTGGTGCAGACTTCCCCGGCTTCCATCCACCCTTCTGGCACCGCGCAATCCTTCGGCTTACCAACGGCGGCCTCGTGATGCTACGCCAACACTGCCGGTCTGGGCAGCTGTGGGGTGGGCGGGAGGATCGAGGGACGATCCCGGCGGCAGAGCGGCACCGCTGTCTTATTGCCGAATTCGCCGCTTGCTCCAACCGCGCCATTGACTACGTAAAAGACCGCTCCTCGGCCAGCATGGAGTGCTAACGCCTGCCCCCTCGCCCCGCCATGGCCTCGCCTGCCGCAGACGACGTGTCGCCGACCCGCGAGCCCTCCATCGCCACCCTGTCGGAGAAGAATGAAGAGCAGGACAAGAATTTGGACGAGCCAGGCCGGAATTTGGACGACTGCCTGCCATCGGCTGCCGCACCGCCGCCCACGCCCGCACCCGCACCCGACGTGCCACCCAACGGCGGCTATGGATGGGTGTGCTGCGCCGCCACCTTCTGGATCAACGCCCACACCTGGGGTTTGAACAGCGTGCGTTCTCCTCTCCGCAAGCCATATTTTGCCCAGATGCTGATGGCTTCCCCCAGAGTTACGGCGTCTTCCTGGCCCATTATCTATCCAACAATGTCTTCCCAGGCGCAACCCGCCTCGACTTCGCCTTCGTCGGTGGCCTGTCCATCTCGCAAGCTTTGTTCGTCTCGCCCCTCGCCACCATGACCACTCGCCGTTTTGGGACTCGCGTGACGCTTCTTATTGGAGTCTTCTTTGAGACGCTGTCCCTGATTGGAGCATCCTTTGCAAAAGAGATATGGCAGCTCTTCCTGAGCCAGGGCGTGTGTTTTGGCTGGGGAATGGGCTTTCTCTTCGTAGGTTCTGTTGGGGTGACGCCGCAGTGGTTTACGACGCGGCGCAGCTTTGCCAACGGTATTGCCGCCTCGGGCTCTGGACTGGGCGGCTTGATGTACTCACTCGCGACCAATGCCATGATACAGCGCATCAGTCTGGGCTGGGCCTTCCGCATCCTCGGCATTTGTGCATTCACCGTCAACACCGCCTGCGCCCTCCTCATCAAGGACCGGAATAAAAAGATCGGCTCTTCCCAACTTGCCTTCGACTACCGCCTCTTCCGCAGGCCCGAGTTTCTGTTGCTCTTGGGCTTTGGTTTTCTCAGCATGCTAGGCTACATTGTGCTGCTATTCTCGCTGCCTAATTACGCCCAGGGCGGTATCGGCTTGTCGGCACACCAGGGCTCTGTCATCGGCGCCGTGCTCAACCTCGGTCAAGCGCTTGGCCGGCCGCCAATCGGCTATTTTAGTGACAATGTCGGCCGAATGAACATGGCCTCCGTCATGACCTTCATGGCTGGCCTGTTCTCCCTCGTCATCTGGATCTTCGCAAAGAGCTATGGCGTCATGATCTTCTTCGCCTTGATCGTTGGCATGGTTGCCGGAACTTATTGGGCTGTCGTTGCCCCGGTCACGACTGAGGCTGTCGGTATGGCCGACCTGCCGGCAGCTTTATCCATCACTTGGATTGTCCTTGTGCTTCCTACAACCTTTTCTGAAGCTATTGCCCTGCAAATCACGGCGACCAATCACGGTAATTACCTTGGGGCTCAGATATTCACTGGGTTCATGTACATTGGAGCTGCGGGCTTCATGTGGTTGCTAAGAGCATGGAAAATTGGTGAGATGGAGCAGTTGGCTGCAGAAAAGAATGAGTCTGAAGGCAGTGTCAATCCGGTGTCCGATCATGCTGTTGGGGAAGTGGCGCACGAAAATGACTCTGCTGTGAAGAGTCATTTCCTGAAAAGAATGGTAATGCTGAAGAGGGTGTAGACGTCGAGTCGTTATTCATAGAAAAAGTTTGAGGTAGTAAATACACAACACCGATGCCGTAGAACCTAAAAATCTTTACTTTAATTCACCATCAGGTCAAAGCGAGGGATTGCGATCCGGGTGCTTTCCGAGCCCTGAGACTTTGCCACGACTCTGGCAGCGATCGGTGATGCCTCGATCCCATATAAATGCAACAACCAAATATCAACCAAACAATTGACATTGCAAGCCCACATCGTTCAAAAGAAGATGCGTCCCAAACCAGCAATGCCGCGCCAGCCCATCCTTCCCCGCCAACACATCCACCTCCTACTTAACCTACACAACCCCATGCTCCCCGAGTGGCACTCGGACCCAACCTACATCTTCATCCTCACCCACATTTCTCACCTTTCCTAAGCACTCCTGCATCCCATCTCATTGGACGTGTGGCGCTCATGTTGACCGTGTTACAAGTGTTTTGGTGGGGGTGGATCCAACGAGGAAGGGAGGTATTGGAAAGGCACCAGCATACATGAGCAGGTGGAGGTACGAAGGCAAGGGACAGAAGATCGGTGATACAGAAGTTGTTCCATCGACGCCGAAGTGAAGGGGGAAGGCTGGGATGGTTTGAGGCTTCGAGAACGCGTGAAAGTTGTCAGCATGAGAATTGCTGAGGGAATTCTGGATGCGCGGTAACTTCGTTTTCACGCTCGAAAACTCGTAGCGAGATCATAGTCACAGTTGGAAAGTGAACCAGGAGAAGCAGAAAATAGTAGAGCATCCCTTCCGAAAACGTCAGCATGGCCAACATTTTCCAGCATCCACGGATATTGATTTGCCCATAATTTCGATCACGATGGGAGATGTTGATGCCGAACTTGACCAAGAGTGAATGATGCAGTTTATCATTGCTGAATATTGCAACCGCGGCTGTCAGCTACGTCTTTTTTTCTTATTACAGCGAAGAGAAAAGAAAAAAAGGAAAGCCAAAGAAGTCGCCGTTATTCAAGTCCAGCTCCCCTAGGACTGTGAACATCAAAGCTAAATACAAAGCTTCTAAATCGAAGTTATTTGAAGTGAACGCAGCCCCCAGCTGAACAACGATTGCGCAAGGTCACATGTCACAGCGGACTCAGAGTTACTCACTTAGTAAACGATAGCATACGCCAGTCTCAATTTTATCATACATCTAATCTGTTCCAGTCGGCGACGAAGAAACTTGACCTACGAGGTGAAGAAAGTATGCTGACGTAGTCGTACTGTAAAACGACGATTCTCTTCATGAGTAGCTGAAGCAGACATCCGGATGTAAATTCGAGTATTGAAACCATGCAAATTCACTCAGATACAAGACGTGTACGTGGATCAACTTCTTTCCTCAACCCACTGCGATTGTACGGTCTCAAATTCTCATATTTGGGCTGGTCACATTGCAGTACAGAACAATCAGCTGTCTCTCCTCACACGATATATTTCAATCAACACCGTCATATTTACAAATAATTTCTCGAGAAATAAACACGAAGCCCATGGTCCCAAAACTGTACAGAACCAGAGGGGGGAGTAGGTATGCGCCGTTCAGAAGAAGACTGAAACCGATCCGCAATACGATTTTTCCACCAAACCTCAACCCCCTAATTTCCCAACCAATATTCATCATTTCTTCGTCCCTTGTCCCGACAACCACGTACGTTCGTTTGGGGGGAAACAAACGAACACTTTTACACGCATTGGCTGTAGTAGTCGTTCCAGGCCTTGCAGCTCAGGCCGGACGCGCACCCGGTGCTGCCCTTGTAGTTGGAGCCGCCGCACTGGCCGTACTTCTGGACGGAGCTGCCGGTGCCGGTGCTGGGGGTGGAGATGGGGGTGGGGACGGCGGCGCCGCCGCCGTTGCCGGCGGGGGGAGTGAAGAGCGGGGTGAAGGCGGGGGTGGGCACGACGAGCGGGGTCGAGATGACCTGGAGGGTGGGGGTGCTGGCGGCGACGGCCTGGGCGACCTGCGAGGCGGCGGAGCTGGCGGAGCTGGCGACGGCGCCGGTACTGTTGGAAGAAGCTTCGCCGGAGCCCTCGGGCCAGACGGCGGGGCCGGGCATGGTGTAGTTGGTGGGGATGGGCCAGTAGATGTTGATCTTCAGGCCGGGCTCCTCGCCGGTGTAGACGCCGGGGATCTTGACCGTGGGGGCGGGCGAGCCGGAGCCGGAGCCGGTGACCTTGATCTGGGCGCACGAGATGTAGAACTGGGCGCCGGCGACCTCGGAGGCGCCGTGGAGGCCGACGTGCTCGACGCGGAGGAGGTACTCGCCGGCGGGGGTCTCGGCGGGCAGCGGGAAGGTGAAGTTGGTGATGTCGTTGGAGAGCCACTGCAGGCCGTCGTCGGTGATCTCGCCGGGGCCCATCTCGTAGACCTTGAACCAGTCGCCGGAGCCGTCGTAGGCGGCGGCGGTGGTGTCGGCCTTGGACATGTAGACCTGGAGGGGGCCGGGGTGGCCGATGGCGGTGTCGAGGACGAAGCCCACCTCGGAGCCGGCGGCGACCTCCTTGGTCTTGGTGGAGCTGCCGCTGTCGAGGCCGCCGACGTTGCAGCGGAGGGCGTCGGAGCTGACGTCGGTGACGGGCGAGTTGGCGTTGGTGTTCTGGCGGACGTATTGGTAGGGCTCAGAGTCAACGACGGCGCCGTCAACAATCAGCTTGTTGAAGCAGTAGTGGGCCGAGATGGAGGGGACCATGGCGGCGACGGCCGCGATAGTGGCAAGGCTGAACTGCATGTTGTCGAGAGAAGTGTTGACCGAAAGGGTGCTGTGTCTGAAGGAATGATACCACCGGGGCTCAAAGAAGGGACGAATGCAAAGCAATCAAAAAGAGTGACGCACAGCGACCACGAGCGAGGAGAGAGAGAATGTGCAGAGCGAGAAGGCTGGAGAGAAAAACATGTTTCACGGGCAGCGGCGCTGGAGTTATATGGTGCTCAGGCGCGGGCGGGCGGGCGTCGTGCAGCGGGCCGCGAAGCTGTCGGCCGGTTTCAAGCCGGGTCGGCTAGCAGCGCACGCGGAGATTGCTGGGCCTGACACCGGATGCGATGGGCGGGAGGCTCGAGGGTGGAGTGGGTGTGCAGTCCAGAAGCGGCAGTGGGTGATGGACGGCAGGGAGTGGCAGGGGCCCGCACCAACCAGGTTCGGCCTCGCCTACAAAGCGCCCCGTCTGCGTTTCAACTTTACAGCTCAAACAACTCCATCCCGCCCAAGTCGTTTCACGCCGCTCGCCGCCATTCTCCACCAATGACGCTGCCCGCCTCTGTTTCTCAACTGCCGCACAAATCGTCGTCTGCCGGGCCCCGTCGCCGCCAAACACGCGTTCCTCCCCGAGCGAGCCGGCGGCGGCGTCGTCACTGCGATATTCCCGCTTCATGCCCGCCTGTAGAGCGCGCATGGCTATAGGCACCGTGTAGGGCTCCTATTTTGGTCCGGCGGGGTGACCATCGCGCCCGGAACCGAGCGCCGAGGCGGCCTCCTTCAGCCTCCTTTCTCGTTTCCTCAGTCATCTCCGTTTCTCCACACCAAGTGCGCAACGGCAACGATCATCGCCGCCCCATGCACCGCTGACCTGACCTGCATCCGGCGCTTCGCAACGCCCCGGCGCCAACACCTGCGCGCCTGCTCCTCGTCAACGCCGAGCATTGTCCCAAGAGCGCTGGTCAAACGCCCAGACCTCTCAGCATCGTCGCTTGCTGTTTGTTGCTTGCCGCTATCGTAGGTACTGCGCTGTGCCGTGCACCCACCCGCGCCTTAACTCCGTTGCTCCCAGACACCAAAAACGGTCAGCGGTCGTATAAGAACAACGCATGAGGCGCTGGAACCAGCAAGCGGCCCGTCTCATCCAGCGTCTGGCGGAATCCTGGGGGGCCTTGATCCTGCGATCAACGTCACTGGCGGTCGAAGGAGAAGAGATCCAAAAAAACCCTTTTTTTACTCCGCCTCCCCGTCTCCTGGTTGGATGGAGAGAGCCGCGCGCCTGCTCAGGTACATGAAATCGTCTTCTCTTGTCCCCACCCAGTTCTGTTCTTGATTGATTTCTACCATCTCTCTTGTCTGTCCCCACTTGAACCCCAATCTCCCCATATTGCTCACGGCCACCCGACCCTTATTGATCGGAGCCTCTTCTTCCAGAAAGATTGGACCCATTGCGTGCAGCCGTCCCGTAGCCCGATCCTTGCGCCATTTTCCTTCCCAGCTTCGTGGGTCTGTCTGGGATGCTCATCGGAGAGGCTCCGGTCTGCCGAAGGTATCGAACGGCATTACCAGAGCCACCCTGGAGGTAGGTAGCCTGGATGTTCCCTTTGGAGACGATACTTGAGACGAAAAGCGTTTGTCTCTTTTTTTTGGTTGTGAAACGATCAGCGGCGGTTCTCCACCTCATGATTCGTTTTCTCTCCAGAAATTTCTCCATCAACATCGCCAAATGTTCGTATCCTGTGGCCGTCAGCTTGCCCTGGCTTTGGTGGCTATGCATGGCATGGAGACGGGTGATCGTCTTGCGTTTTCTACCCTTCGGGCGAGGCAAAACAACACGAGACGAGAGAGCTGCGCGGGCCACCGGACCGCCTCGTGCTTTCCAAGCTGCGCCCTGTCACTCTCGCCTCTCGCCCGTAGGCGGTGCTCGACGAGCGGACGTCACTAGGCGAGGCCGTCGGTGCGGAAGGAAGGCTGCGGTTTTCCGCTGTGAGCGGCGACAACCTGCAGTGGAGACAGATCCATCGTGTGCCTTCACACCTGACGAAAGAATCTCGAGAAGCCCACTCGCCCAGTCTTGGAGAACTGCACATGCTGCGGAAAAATTCACTCTTGCGTCGCTGATACTAGTAGACCGACTACCTACCGTCGAATTGGACTGTGTGCGTCGGCCCCTTCCAGCCTATTCGTGCGTAGTTGCTCTTGAGAAGAAAGAAAAATGCTAAAAAGACAGAATCCATAACAACAGCGCCTTCTCCAGCACAATGGTGCGCTTACACGCCCTCTCATATGCGTGCATGCCGCACACATCTCGAATCTCCCAGTACATTGCACTTACCCAGGTGCGGTGCTAACTTCACGTCTTTGGTAGGTCCTATCGCCGCGTCATGAAATAGACGTCCGTTACTATAGGCAAAGGACGAGGGTCCCTCCTAGTTGGACTTGGAGGGGAAGCCGGATTGTCAATGGGAGCGGAAGTCGGATCATTGGCACTGGGAGCGAGAGATTCGTCTCTTTGCGTTAGAGGTGGGAATGTGGACAATTCAATGCTGGGGGTGCGTTTCACCCGGGATCGTACCAAGCCAGGTGGCGGCAGTCTGAGCAAAGGCGGCCGTTCGCTGAACATCCCTCTGTAGCGACGGGGACTAGGTGCGGAAGCCGTCGGCGTTCCTGAGACGCGGTGGACAGGTATTGGGATCCGAGTTGCAGGAGTGACTGAGACGCGGTGGACGCGTCTTGGGATCCGAGATGCGGGAGTGCCTGGGACGCGGTGGGCACGTTTTGGGGTCCGAGATGCGGGAGTGACTGAGACGCGGTGGCCACGTCTTGGGGTCCGAGGTGCGGGAGTGAATGGAGGTTTTGTCCCTTTGTTCTCACTCTCTCCACCACTGTCACCTTTCCCCCCTGTAACTTCATCTTCTTTGCGTTGGACACGTCTTGGGGTCCGAGGTGCGGGAGTGAATGAAGGTTTTGTCCCTTTGTTCTCACTCTCTCCACCACTGTCACCTTTCCCCCCTGTAACTTCATCTTCTTTGCGTTGCTCTTCGTGTGACGCCTTGTCGGCGGCGGCGGCGGCATCGTCGCGTGTTGGCGAAGAACGCGGACGTTCCTCCTCCCTAGCCAAGATGGCGTTCAGCGACTGGGGCTGATATGCCTGGTTTGCTTGCATCGCGGGCGGTTCCCTCGTAGATTCGAGGTCGTCGGACATGGTGAGCGAACGAACGGCGGTTGGAGTACTGATATCTTGGGATGTAATGATGGGCGACTGGGGGTGGGATGGGAGAGAGGAAGAGGCGGACGGACGGAGAGGTGAGTTGTCTGTTCCTGCCTTTGGTGATTGCAGTCTGCGACTGCCTTGCCAGAGCAATGCATACCGAATGAAAGGCCATGGCTGCCTTCCGGTTGGATGCTTCAGGCCGTCTGTTTCTGCTAGTTCATTGCTGCCAATTTTCTGACTTTTCCACTCTACTGCCGATTTGTCTTTTGGTCACTCTACGCACATGCGCCGCCCAGCGCTTTTCTAACCACATTCCGCTCAGCAACATGTATATACAAAATTCGAGAAGGAGCTGGTGTTGTAGCCAATGCGAGAAAGGTTGTCGGCCATGCCAAATGGGGCTGATGAAGGGGCCAATCGCTTAATAGTCAGACGTGCAGCAACAGGATCGAAGGATCTGTTGATCATTCCTAAAATTAGACACCGCCAAAGTGCTACCAGTGACGTACTGGAACCCTGAGCGTCGCTCAGCCCTGAATTGCCTTTTCTTCCTCTCATCAGTTCGGAGATCCCAATCATCCACAAGATGAACGAGGCGAACCCCAGGTAAGTACAACTGCCGGGTCGAGCAGGTGGCTGCATGCACGTTGGAATAACGCAGTTTTAGCATGGAGCTGTTATCCGTCGACCCCCGTAGCCATGCATACGAGCCGTCCTCCCGGTCCTCCAGCTCCTCGGGCTCCTCAAGAGGGGCCAAAGATGAAGGCTCCTCTCTGTCGTTTCAAGACCAAGGAAACTCTGGCCCTTCCGACGACGACAGAGACGCTCTTCTCCAGAATCGTTCCTCCTCGCTGCGACCACACGTCAAAAGGCCGTTTGCGCCTTTAACCCGACGACTGCCCAGTGGTTGGCGTTTTGGGGTAACGGTTGGTGCCGCGTTGAGTGTGTGCACTCTGATCACCAATGTCGTCGCCCTCGCCGTCACATCCTCGATGGCCGACCGCGCATACGGCCATCAATCGAGCGTTGCGACCATCCGGAAGGGCGACTGCTCCGAGATGGAACATCTCCAGCTCGGTATCCATCTGGCCATCAACATCGTCAGCACCCTGCTGCTCGGTGCGAGCAACTACTGCATGCAGTGTCTCTCCGCCCCCACTCGAGCAGACGTCGACCGCGCCCATCGCAGAGCCACGTGGCTCGACATCGGCGTGCCCAGCTTGAAAAACTTCCAATTCATCAGGCCCATCAAAATCCTGTTCTGGTGTCTGTTGGCGCTATCCTCGGTGCCGCTACACCTTCTGTAACCCTCCCCGCACCGCAGCAGAAAGCACCACACCAGCACCGCTGACGCCTCCCAGATACAACTCAACCTTTTTTCTGTCCATTACAAACAATTCTTACGAAGTCTATTTTGCCACCGAAGATTTCCAAAGAGATGGCTGGTTTGACACGCACGCCTTCCTCTCGGATGATAGAAGCATTGCCGTAGCGACGACCAACGGCACCCAGGGCAATGTTTCTGGACTGTATCCGTACATGCCCCCCTATCACATCCAGTCCAGGATTAAGGACCTTGGAGTGTCAGAGAATGGATCCTTTTTCGAACGCCTCGAGAATGCCGACTGTATCCAGGAATACGCCAAGACCCCCCTTCACGATCGCCGCAACCTTGTCCTTGTCACCTCTACTTTGCCTCGAGAAAACCAGCAGATGGACATGGTTGTGGAAGACTCGTATATGCCAGACTCCAACTTGTCCTCCAAGTGTGAAAGCAACTCGTCGTTGCCCATAGTCTCCATAGACGATCGCCTGGTGAGTTGCGCTGACAATTCGACTCTTTTGTCCATCAGCCCCTATACCAGTTATACTGTAGCTTCGTCGAGCGACGGATACTCCGTCACCAACTGGTTCAACTGGATGTGTTCCCAGAACTCGAGCTATACGTGGGACGAATCTCGACACATATCCCTGTGCAAGGACGGATATTGGCAACAGGTCAGATCGAACGCCTCTGAATGGACTGTTTGGGGATTCAAGATCGACTACTGCATCAGCGAAAAGATGGAGAATGGATGTGCTCTGAACGTTGCGAAAAACCTGTTGATCGTCGTCATCGTATTCAACGCAGTCGTAAGTTGCCGTGGTCTTGTGCATGCCGGGTGAAGCTGAACTGCCTAGAAATCCGTCGTACTCATCACCGTTGCCCTGAAAATCACTGACAGCCCGTTGATCACCATCGGCGACGCGGCAGCATCTTTCATCCGGGACCGTGACCCAACAACCAGGGGGATGTGTCTGCTCACAAAGGCAGATTTCTCCCAACCTTCCACAAAAGCCGCGAGACTCTCGCGCAAACCGCTTCCTCCCAGGGTATATGAACCGGGAAGGAAGCGGAAGGGCTTAGCCGCAGGAAAAACTCGATGGGCCCTCGCCGGTACTTTGTGAGTATACACCACCACCTTCTCTCACAGCCCCACCGCCTCAGAAACACGACGAGCGCACAGCTTGACGCACCACAGATATCTCATCTGCCTGACAGCAGTCCTCGGCCTCCTCGGCTACGGCGTGCAGCAGCTGAAGACAAAGTACGACCGCGGCGACTTCGCCTCCCTCTGGGAGCTCGGCCTCGGCACCGCGGGGCCCTACAACCTGATAACGGGGTGGCGGCTGCCGTCCTCCGGCGACGCCGCCATCGTCTCGACCGTGCTCATCGCCAACCTGCCGCAGGCCCTCCTCTCCGCCGTCTACTTCCTCGCCAACGCCCTCGTCACCAACCTCTCCCTCGCCGCCGAGTGGTCGCGCTACGCCGCGCGCCGCGCCGCGCTGCGCGTCTCCCACCCGGCCCGCGGCTCCGCCCAGCGCTCCACCTACTTCCTGCAGATCCCCTACCGCCTCGCCCTCCCCCTCGCCCTCTTCTCCAGCCTCCTCCACTGGCTCGTCTCCCAGAGCATCTTCATCGTCAAGGTCGACGGCGCGGACCCCGCCGGCGGCACCGACCCCTGGCACGTCGCGTCCTCCGCGTCCGGCTCCGACGCCGTCAGCACCGTCACCTGCGGCTACTCGCCCGTCGGCATGATGGCGACGGCCCTCGCCGCCGTGCTGCTCGTCGCCTTCGCCGCCGCGCTGGGCGCACGCAGGCTCGCGCCGGGGGTGCCGCTCGCCGGCAGCTGCAGCGCCGCCATCGCCGCGGCGTGTCACGCGCCGGAGGGCGCGGACGAGGCGCGGCCGCTCATGTGGGGCGTCGTGCCCGGCGTCGAGTTCGACGGTCAGCAGACGTCGACGGGAGGAGGAGGGCATGATGCCGTCAAGGTGGGGCATTGCGCGCTTTCGGACGGGCCGGTGGATATGCCTGTGGCGGGGAATATGTATGCGTGAAAGAGGGGAGGGAAGAAAGAAAAAAAAAAAACAGAGGCTGAAGGCACGTGTAAGTTATGTATGTTAGTTGTTGAAGCCTAGAGTCTGGCGTGGTTTTGGGTTTTGGGTTTTGGGTTTTGTTAGTCTAGAATTCTTTTTTCCCCTGAGATACCTACCTACAACAACAACGGGGCTGGCTGATGATGTAGTGTTTGTTCTGCATACATCCAGCCCGAAAACGAACGACGAGGTCCGCGGCTGCCCGGGGATGTCTCACATGCACTTACTTGTGAGGGAAAGCAAAGAGGGACAACGCCATAGAACGGCAATCAAAAAAAAAAGACGACAACGAAAAAAAATTCATTCCAAATTGACAGTACCTACACGAACGCCACACACACACCCAAACCTCAAGCAAACGCCGCACCCCCCAACCTATCATACCCCGCCTGATCGACCGGCAGCACGCTCCCGTGCCGCAGCTGCGCCGGCCAAGCGCTCTTGTCGGCCGCCGCCCACGCCGCCGCGCCCGCCTCGACGTCGTCGCTCACAAACGGCGCGTAGCCGTCGCCGCCGAAGAAGTCGAGCAGCAGGTACGCCCTGCCGTCGACTGCGTTGTCCCAGTACGCGGCGGGGCCCTCGACGCCCTGCTGGACGATGGCGCCCGCGCCGCCGGGCCGCGTCCACGTGCCGAAGAGGCCGTCGGCGCTGACCTCGGCGAAGACGTTGGTGGCGGTCTCGTTCTTGATGAAGCGGGCGTAGGCGTCCCCGCCGAGCGGCAGGAACGTCAGGTCGATGACGTTGGTGGGCGAGTAGTCGACGTAGTCGACGGGGGCGGTGAAGGTCTTGAAGTCGCTCGTGTGGGCGGCGCGGATCTTGGTGGCCGAGGGCGAGCCCGCGTGCGAGCTGTCGGCGGCGCCGTAGAACTTGCTCGCCCAGTACACGAGGTACTTGCCCTCGGCGGCGTCCCAGATCGCCTCGGGCGCCCACACCATGCCCGCCGTCGCGTCCTCGACGGCGACGAGGCGCTCCGACGTCCAGGTGACGAGGTCGGTCGACTCCCAGACGAGGATGCCGCGCGAGCCGGTGCGTTGGGCGGCGTCCCAGGTGGTCTGTCGGTGGGTGAGTGGGGGTTTTTCTTTTGAGTTGGGTGTTTTGCAAGGGAGGGAAGGGGGGATTTTTTTTGGAGATACGTCTTGGAGAGGATTGAAAAGAACAAAAGAAATACTCGGAGCATTTGTATACCTTTGCAATATCCAAGTCGGTCCCGATGATGTACCACTTCTTGCCGGCCTCGTCGCCCCCGCCGGCGATGATGGTGGGGTCCCTCACGCCACCCGTGCCGAGCGTGGGCGTGATGACGGGGTTGCCGCCATTGAGGGCGGAGAAGGAGAGCGGGTCGTTGCCGTTGCTGCGGTAGAAATAGACGCTGGGCTCGTCGCCGAGGAAGAAGGCGCCCAGGTAGCCGACGAGGCTCGGATCCGCGCGCTTGCCGACGGCGGAAGAGGTGTACTCGCTGAAGTCCAGGGTCTGGAAGGTGGGTGCGGCGGCGGCGAGGGATGCGCAGAGCGCGGCGAGGACTGGCTGGGAGAACTTCATCTTGTCGGACTGAGAAGCGGGCTTGAAGGAAGTATTTCTCCAGGCAGGGCGAAGTCTACTTAAACACGGTCATGCCACGCCGGCGGTGGGCATTGCCGGTGACGTGCGATGGCGGGCCGGTGGAGTGGGCTCCGCTGTGGGCGAGTAGGTAGTCATGTTTTTAGGCGGAAATGTAGAGCGACAGTTTGTTGTTCTATAATTGGACTGGCGATTAAGGTTGTGATAGACGGGCGAAGGTTTTCTCCCTCAGTTTGCTCCGGTGGGCGCCTTGAGGCCGAGGAGCCATATAGCGTGGTTGCAGTCCCCGACGGAGTGGGGAGAACTGGTGAGCAGCCGAGCAGGTCCGCATGGCGATTGGACGGCAGCATGGCCGGTCAGGTGTAGTGTCGTATTGTCTGCCCACGAGGTGGGCGGTTAGTGTAGTGAGGGGCGCCGCGTCGGGCCGAAGCCAATTCGGGAATCGCGGGGTAGCATTGAGCAGGAACCCCAGCGCCGTTGACGTAATCCATCACCACCTTCCGTCTGACCATTCTCGACTGGCCCTCCGGGAAAGCAACATCGTGTGGGCGCAGGCCGTCGCGTTGTCGGCCCTCGTCCCCGTTGCCTTGCTTCGGCGAACCATCTTTTAGGCCATCCACATGATCGATCATCATATGTCGCACCGAGTTTGACTCGCGAGTCCCTGGGATTGCGGCTCTTCCCGGGTGTGGTGTTGGCCCATAAAGGGCAAGACGGCAGCAAGGCGCCTCATGATCAGCGCTCAGGGGTCGTGAGACCCATCTGCTCGACCGTCACTGCGCTTCAGCGACGACGCCTGACTTCTCCCGTTTATGCTGTGTGGTGGGCGCTGGCGGCTACAGCAGCCCTCGCATTGACGTCCTTCCCCAGACTGGTTCCTGCGTGTCTACTGTTTCGTTTAGCCAGCCGAGGGGATGCCAAGCATTCGCAAACAAGCCGTGTAAATACTCATTGAGCATCTTGCATGATACCGCATGCTTTGTTTTTCAACCGCTTGGGTCAATCCAGAGTCCACCTGTGTTTCGGTAGTTGATGGCACAGGCCACTGCAACAAGTACCACCAACCAATAGCATCAATCAATGCATGCATAAGAGCAAATGATCAACTGCCTCAATGAAAATATACCCACGTGCTTTCGAGCAGCGTATGTACATCGAGCAACGACTTCGGAGATGGCTGGATGAAAACAACACTCCTTTCTTTTGCGCCGCCAAGACCAGCTTCCGCATTATACGGCACCTGAAAGAAAAAAGAAACTAGTCAGCACATACTCCATCCGGCAAAAGCAATTGACCAGTCATTTCTTCTTCCGCTCCCGGCAGAGATGACGGCACTGGACATACAATACCTGCCACACATATTTCGCCGACACGACACACCCGATTCTGTCTGCTTCTGACAACTTACACATATCTTGTAACAGATGCCTTGTCTCCGCAGGCGGCAACTCGCAGCTTGTGATATGTCATCGTGCGCCCACGCGTGTGCGCGTGTAACGGGTGCATCAAAGGTTCCCCTCAAGCCCTGAGCCCTGGGGCTGGGACGCGCTGCCTTCAGCTCCGCTAATTCCAAAGCTTGACCGTGTGCGAGCATGACTTGTGCAATGAGCTGCGTTGAACGTCGCACCGCCTGTCTTGACAAAGAGTGCTTGGCTGTGCGGTTCGGCATCTTCCTGGTTCGTGGATTTGCAACCCCCCCTGGTGATCACCGCTGCGGATCGAGACGCGGCTCTCGCATACGCATACGCATACGCACGCTGATGTACCAGCCAGCAAGTAATTTCCACCCGCCTCACTCATAGTAGGTCATAGTCAAATCGAGACGCGACACCTCTGGTGGAATCGTATCATCGGGTGCTCAGCCCTCACCACCCAATGGGACGATATTGCCGTCGCATTCTCGCCCGCTCCAAGACAACCCTCCCTCGAGAGGAGCGAGCCAATCAGCCGGCAATGTGGTAGGCGGCTATTGATAGTACGCCTTGTGTGATATAAGGGCTGCTACGGGCCATTCGGATGTCTGGAACGCACCGTCGTACCGACACGCGGGTCTGACAATAGCGGGAGATCCGGCCCCAGCGACACAGCATTGCGACCGCGACTCTTCTGACCAAAAGGTGCGACTCACCATCTTTCCCCTTTCCCACGTGATACGTGTCTATTTGCGGACGCAGTGGGAAGAGGAGGCGAACGAAAAACTCAACACGCACTTGCACCGCCACAGCTCAACGTCATCGCCATGGGTCTCAACGGCAACCGGTCAATCCAGGCGCTTGACCGGCTGCAGATATGACTCTTCGGGCTGTTGTTGGTTTGGGTCTGCGTGCATGACGTGAACCCCCCAGCCCGGTTGACGTGGTTGAGGGCGGCAGGTTGCCGGTCAAGAGCCAACGAACAGGCGTCGCCCTGCCAGCCACCGGGCGTGTGGTTGCCGTCGCGCACCAATGATGCCGCCTCTTCCCATTGTTTGCAGCATCGCAGAGAAAACAATCGAAAGCATGAACAATGACAGCTAAGAGAGAAAGAGTCAAAGGGCGAGGTCCAGAGGGCATGCAAGAATGCGTTGTACGCGGCCAGGGACAGAGGACATGCCACTAACGGATCCTCTCAGGCCACAAGGCCCAATCCCAACACCACGGCTGCTGGGAGGGACGGACGGCGGAAGCATGACAGGCTTCCGCGCCTGCGCCATGGCGCTGCGGCGCGAGCGGGCCAATCGACGGCCCAGAGGGTCTAGATACGGCCATGGGCCCTTCTTGGAGCGCACATGGCCGGAGCAAAAGCAGCCCGGGCGACGAGGGCAAAGGCAGCTAGGCTGAAATGCACGCCGCGGGCCGGAGCTGGTGCACGTCGGCTGCACGCCAATCAGCGGGCGGCGGCGGCCATCTGGATGCCCCGCTGCGCTGTCCGCTGCAGCCCATGGACGGTTCCCGGCTTTCGCGTGGACGGCGGGCGGGCATGCGCCTGGCAGGGCAGACTGGCGGTGGGCGAAACCGCGACGAAAAATTTTCATCCTCATCAAAACCACGAGTCGCAGGCGGCGGAAATTGCCTGTCTGGAAACGAGCGGCGCGGGAGGAATTGGGTGCGGCTCACCTGGATGTACCCAGGGCGTCCCGGCCGCTGAGGCGCCAGGGCCGCCGGGCGGCACGCGAGGCAAACGGGGGAGGGCTGCGCGGGGAGATGGATGGCTGGACGGCGGGATGGCTGGATGGCTGAACAGTGGACACACACAGGGGACGCGGAGGCGAAGGCGGCGGCCATGGAGCTGTGAAGTTGCACGTCGCACAGGCGCGGTGCGACGCGGCGCTCCTGCCGCATGAACCATGATGAAGCTGAGGGCCAGCTAGGCAGGGCAGGCAGGCAGGCAGGCAGGCAGGCGCGGGAGGGCGGCGGCGGCAGCTGCGCGCGCCGGGAGTCAACGGCCGCAAGTGCTTACCAAAGCGCGCGCGCAGCCTCTGGCTGGTTCTGCGGCTGATTATTCTTAGGCTGCATGGGCAGCGACACTGGGCAGTGGTGTGCAGCTGACCGCTGGACAGACGTCGTTAAAAAGTGGCAGTCTGACGTCTCGCCAGCGACCCACCTGGCTTCACAGGGCGACGGATCTGCCGCGCATCAGTGGCTCTCGCGCGCGCTCACCGATCATTGATGGACCAGGCCCGGCGGTGTGACTGCTGCTCCAAGGCACAAGAGCCCAAGGAAGGCCCCGGCAAAGTCCACGACCCGCGCCCAAGCGCCCACTCCAGCCACACGCGCACGGCCCTTCCGCTCTTAAACTTCTCCCCAGGCTCGCTGGGAATCCCGGTCGCAAGGATTGTCCAGGTCGCGTCCACACAATAAAATCAATCCCGCCCGCCCGCCAGGCCACCTTATCCCCTTTGGCCCTCCGCCAACAACCCACCACCACGCAACCTGCTCTACTCCCGCGGATCGCCACGGTCCCTTCGCCACCGAGCACACCACAGCCACGCTTCCAATGTTAAGAGAAAGAGACTCGGTTTTCCCTCACTTCTCCGCGACCGAACCTCCCTCTCTTCTCCACGCCGCTCTGCTCGCCTGCGCGCCGCCAACGCCGCCAACGCCGCCAACGCCGCATTCGCCACGGTGACGGGTCTATAACAGCACCCTGACCCTCACCTCTCTCCGCCGACTTCCTCTCCACGCCCTCGGCACCCATTCCCCCCGCCTCTCCCGGACCCGACCCGCTCCTCCCTCGACATGTACTCTTCTGCCCAGTATTCGGCTCCTCCGCCGGGGTACATGCCCTACGACTACATGCGAAGCCCGCCCGTGTCCCCGACTCCCAACGGGCCCAGCTATTACTCGACCCGGTACTCGGTCCCTACCGGAACCCCGTCGCCGCGAGCATCGCCAAAGCACCACTCTCGCCGCGCCAGCCAGTACGAACCGACGACGTACGTTCACTCGCGCGTCCCGCCGCAGTACGCATACTCGTACGCTTCGCCGCGCTATACCTCGCGCGAATCGACGCCGCAAAGCGCCTACGAATATGTAAGTGGCTCCCGTACACGACCACGGAGTCGCAGTTACTACGCTTCGGACGGCGCGTCCTGCGGCAAGTCTTGCGACTGCAGGAACTGCGCCTGCGGTGACAGAGATCGCTCGGCTCGTTCGCAATCCTACCGCAAGGGGGCCGTTGACGACGGCTATGACGACTACGCCAACCGCGGCAGCCCGCCGCCGCCATACGAGTCGCACCAAAGCTATTCGTATAAAGAGACTTACGAGAAGCCATACACCCAGGTCCCGGAGTACAAGGAGGCCGACGCGCCGCGCCCGCGCCCTCGCCGGGCAACCACGTCGCGCCCCACGGCCAGCTCGACACCCAAGCGCCCGCCGCCGGCAAAGGCGACGCCCAAGGCCACTGACGATGACGCGCGCCGTGCGGGCATTCCGGCGGGCTACTCGTTCAAGAACTGGGACCCTACCGAAGAGCCGATCCTGCTCCTCGGAAGCGTATTCGACGCCAACTCGCTCGGCAAGTGGATCTATGACTGGACCGTGTTCCACCACGGGCCGGCGACGCCCATGTCGGAGATCGCCGGGGAGCTGTGGCTGTTGCTCATCCAATTGGCGGGCAAGGTCAAGCGAGGCGAGGAGGGCATGCCCAAGATCCGGGTGCAAGAGAACAGGGAAACGGTCGAGGAGTTCTTGGAAAGTGGCGAAAGGCTCTGGAGCCGGTTCAGCAAGCTGCTCAAGGTGTGCGAGGATTACATGTGGAAGGCGGCCAAGCGTGAGGCGGGCGACAAGAAGCCCGTCTCGATGGGCAAGAACTCGGGGACCGAGTTTGTCGACACCGTCTTCGGGCGCGACAGGGAACTGGAGAGGACGGAGAAGTTGATGACTGCGATGCGGCTTTGGTCGATGCGGTTCGACGCCAATTGCGAGGAGATCCTTCGCTACCCTTCTGCTTAGACGCTGCCGTCAGAGTAAGCCTATGACTCACGGCTGATTTTTTCATCTACCGGGTTCGTCGCCCTGGGATTCTCTTTCCTCATGCTATTGGCTTCTGCAGAGATACCACTTTTGCGAATTCTTTTTCTTCTTTCATTCTATTATTTCTAATGTAACTGTACGAGCAAGGCGTTCTCTCCATTTCTTTCGGGTTCTTTTAGTTTCTTCAAGGTTCTGTCAGCGGCTGTACACTATCAGATCTACCGAAGAGGGTGTGCATTTAGGTGGTGGGCTTCGGTCATGCATTCGCAGAGGCGCTTGCTTCTTTCGAGTCATCTCGTTCGGTCCTCTCTGGCGGCTGCCAAAAGTTGGATACCTCATTCGCTGCTCTACATTTCTTTGGGTTTAGGCACCAGCGATGACCTGTTTTTGGGTTTAGATTTACAGATTCCATAATGGCACAAGCGAAGGACCACTCGCGTGGTCTTTCCTTCACACTCTATCTGCCTCACCCATGCCCTCGTGACAAAAAATGTGCTGGCGCCTGGATTGTGAATCGCTGACATTGAGACTGAGTTTGCTTCGGTTGACGTCTGATGAAGGGAGGGGGGGCACCGGCGGCCACGGACCAACGCAAGAAACCTGCCCAAACAGAAGGCAAGGACAGGCACACATGCACGCATACACGCAACCGGACCCACCGGGAGGAACAAACACCCCTTTCCTCTCGCCCTCCGTGTTCCCCGACTGCCGTTGATCAAGGCCCAAAAGAAGCAATGCTCGACAGGCAACCTTCGCACACGACTGCGGCAGTCGCCGCCGCCGCCGCCTTCCCTCGCACTACTAGGTACGGGCATCCCAGCAAAGTTCCGCTGCGCCGGAAGAGGCACACACGCACACACACAACCTCTTTCTCTCTTGCAAACTAAAAAATCCGACGGCGTGTCTCAGCCGGATGGCCGGCGCGGCGCGGCGCGGCGCGGGGGGGGCGACAAACAGGTACGCAGCCGCGGCGCAGCAGGCATGCTTATTAGGGAAGATGCGTCCGACAACGGCCCGTCGTCCGCTTCTCCTTCTCTCATTTTAGTAGATGGGGGCGGCGGCGGCGGCGGCGCAGTATGTGATATATCTCGATTCAGTACCTGGTACCCGGGGACTCACGGGCGTCGCGGCGCGACGGCTCGTAGTTCTGTCCGTAGGTTGTTTTTTGACGCCGCACTAAAAGTACCTAGGTAGAAACGCATGCACGTCCGTCCGCACGAACGCACGCACGCATCCGCCGCACACTACTTGCGGTGATTCGGGACCCCGACGATGCGGCGGCGGCGGCAGCAGCCCGGGCCACACCCTCCTTCCTTCCCAGAAACTAGTGTAGAGGCTATTGGTTAGTCCTCATCAGCCTTATGGGTGTTTTTTGGCGCTAATGTGGGCGTTGCATCATCGTCAAATCTACAGCCTCCGTCCGTTCGTCGGCCCTTGCCTTCAGCTGTTGGTTCGCCCCTCCCGCCTCCCGCCCCCGCCAGCTGTTGCGGCGTAGCGGAACAACACCTCGCCCCCACCAACAGCGGCGGCTTCGCGGCACGGATGTATGTATGTATGTACATGTGTACGTATTGTGGGGATCTGCGAACCGCGCCGCTTGGGTTGACGATCGGCTGGCTAATGGATTTAGCCAACTAAGTATGTACATAGGCGAGGATCGATGCGGGGAGAACGGCGGCACACCCCCCCTGCCCCGGCGATCTGGAAATAACGAGTTGCGCAAAAAAAGAGTACTAGTAGTAGATGGTTACAGCGGTGCTACGTACCAGCCGCCCACCCACTCTTTCCGTGCGGCCTCCTGCTCTTGCGCCCTGCGTCCTGCAGCGAACCTAAAAAAAAATAAAAATAAAAATGGAAATTGGAAACAATAATGGCCGGGTTGACCATCGTCATGTCATCACGCTTGCCCCCCATGGCGCTTCGGCAGTTTCGCACCCTCCCCGCACAGAAAGCAGCTGACCTCTCTCTCCACCCTCGCTACCTGACCATTTCGACCTTCGCCCGGCGCCGTCCGCCGACAGGCGCTTAACAGCAAAACTCATTAGTGGGGTTTGGAGGAGGAACGTGACGACGGAGAGTCGAGTGACCTCTCTCTCCTTCTCTACTACGCGCTATGCGTTGTTACGCTTTGATCGGAAAAGGGAAAGGATTGCACCCAACGGGCGGCGCCGCAGACACGCAGACACGCAGACAACGCACGCACGCATGCGGCACACACACATTCTTCTACGCCGCGGCTGATGAGTGCGTGGGCCGCGCGCGCGTGTGTGGGTACGACCTGCTCAACCGGCGCGTAGAAGCGGCGAAGAAGACGAAACCGTGGAGTCAGGAATGCCGCAGGTGTGCACGCGCTACCGGCTGAGGAATGGAGGCGAGGCGTGATGAATTATTGTTTGGGGAATGCCCGCTCAGACTGCGTGGCGGCGGTGCAACGGTGATAGGGCGGGCCAGCACGCGTCTGCCCGTGTGCCATTCGTCGTTCGCTCCTTCTCCTGCTTTGCTTTTTCTCGTTTGCGGCGAAGGGAAGACGTTGGACGTGAGACCATGTGATCTCTCTCTCTCTCTCTCTCTCTATCTCTACACTCTCTACCTACCGCATGCCGAACTGCTCGAGTCGAATTCAGGCTCATCGGCCATCGCCCTTCCCCTCCTCCAAACCCCGTCACATGCCCCCCGACACAACCACCAACAATGTTTCATCTAGCTCCCCTTTCTCTCCCCAATGCCGATTAAAGAAAAAAAAAAAGCCGCAACAGTGCAACCATCATCGGCGTCCTCCGAACAGTCCACATCCGTCCGAATCCATCCTCAAATCCACATACACCAATCACGCCCACCATTCTTGATTAAAGCCGATCAGATATCGGCATCGAAACGCAATCGATAGAAGGGGACCCAACACCGTGGGTTCGTCGGGCGGACCCACATTCCTACCGCCCATCTGTCCAACCCTCTGCCTGCTCTTTCTCGAGCCGCGCCGCAGCCGTGTGTCGTCGCGTCGTGCCGCCTGCTTTGCTCGTGCTGAGGAGAGAGAGAGGGGCGTCCCTGTCCCTGTCGGCATCACCGCATTCCTGGTGACCCTGGTTCGTGCGATCGACCAATGATGGGCGTGGAGGAAGCGCGTCGATGCGGGGCTCCCTCAGCTCGTCTCCTCTCCTTCCTGACTTGGGAACCTGCTTGCTTGCACTCCGGGGAGGAAACGAGGCGTTCGCTTCCGTTCTTTCTACAGGTATATGCCTCTCCAGTGAGCCGGCCGGCCGGTGGGTTGGTCTGGCGGAGCGATGGAGTAGGTAAGCAAGATGCAAACAAACATCTAATCGCCTACACACTACTGTTCCCTCTACATGAGGCCACTTCTGCGGCCCAGGATCCACCCGTCGGGTTGTGGGGCCCCCTCCCTCCCGGCTAATCACGCCCTTTCCGCATGCGCCAGTCTCCTGATTCGTGAGCTCGGGATAGATGCATACCGCCTACATATGCACGAGGGCTCGGAAAGCCTCGAGCGCTTAGCGGTCGCATATGCGGTCAGCCGGCCGCACAGCCCTGGGACCACGAGAACGAGCACGAGCAAAGAGGCGTTCTAGGCCTCGACCGCCGTGCTGCTTGCGCGCTCGCCATCGCAGCCTTCTACCCATGGTGAGAGGGAGAGATCGCTGGTTTGTTTCGATGCGATGCGAGAACACGTGGGTGACGTGATTTGCCGTCCCAACGCTTCTGTGCAGATGCTGTGTATCGTGCACCATCTATTTTTCTTTCTTTCTCGGGACCTTGGTATTGGCCTGGCCACCGCCTCAATGCATGTGCTATACTCACTAAAGTGGAGGACGTCGTTAACTTTAGAAACACGCAGCTTTTTCTTATTTTCCACATCCCTCTCCCGCGCTCCGAAATAGCGAAAACAGAAAGAAAAAATAGACACACCTTGGACCTGCATGTTCAGCACAGCTTTTGCTATATTCAGCAACGAACCGAACCGCACTATTTGCGGCACGGCGGTTCCCACTTACCCGGAAACCCCGGCACTCGTTGCCGCACATACATGGGTAACACGCCCGTTGTCGGTTACCATGCTCGGGGGACCGACCTGATCGAGGAAAGCATGTCAGCACTTTGTCAGGGTTTAAGGAGAATCCCTGCACCTGCGTTGGGCGAAGCCAATGCTTTGCAACAAACATGTGGACCCCGGAATACTTTGTATGCTGTGGCTGCGGATGGTCATATCCACGCGTGGATGAGCAACTCTCGCACACTTGCCCCGTGGCCGGTACACTGTTTCAGGTCTACCCGTTCCTTTATATTTCGTCTTTCGGCTTTCCACTACTGCAACTGCAAAGTAGTATGCAATGGCTACTGATTTCCATAATACCTGATGCCCCACTTGATCACTGCCTGCTCGCTTCCAGTCTCTATGTCTATTCATTGTCGAGAAATTCATTTGCGCGACTTGATACTTAATCTACTAGTCTTTTCCTCAAGCTTGACTCCAGCGATATCTAGTAATGTAGGCCATCATCATCATTACATTGTTTTACTCGATAGCAAAATTCTTGAACTTTATCCACAACAAACCGCTAGTTGACATATTGCACAGCGCAAAAAGTATTCTTTCACGCAGAAGATCAGTGTCGGAGGTGCTCCCATTCGTTGATTCCCCGTGAAAAGAAGCACGCGGAGGCAATGGCTGACCAGTGGAGAAACTTTCTTTTATGGAGAGCCGGAAAGATCAAGCGTAATCAAATGATCACACCGTGGGCTATCAGGAGTTTCCGCGTCCCACTGAGCACGCGTGTCATGCGCACAATGAGTATGTGACACTGGCCTGCGAAATCCTAGAGCGTGCACGCGGGATGACTACGAGCTGAGTCTAAAGGACTGACTTATTGCCGTGCTCCACCTCCCAATTGATCTTCTGAATAAGACCGAAGAACCAGAAATTTGAAGCATTAGACTGGGCGGATGCTTGTACTGTCGATCGCTCTGGGCTGCAAAATCATTACTCCAGGTCTACTCCCCGTTATTATGGGTGTCTTCGCTTTCCTATATCGCCGCCCTTAGCCCACGGTCATACGTGCACTCTAAATAGATACCCAAAAATAAAAAACGATAAACGACACCATCTCATCCAAATGCTGCAGCACAGCAATTCACATACCACACCGCTCTCCATCATCATTGCCGCCACCACCTATATAGTAGCTTCAGAAGTTGAAGCGTCGTTGCGATGGGATACATAGATAGGGGGAAGGAGGAAAAAAAAAAGAGATGAGGGAGTTGATTAAGCCCTCAACATCCTCACTCACAGACGGCATCATCTTAAACTTTCTCAACAGCATTTTCCGTAATGCTCCCGCAAGTAGGTCTGCCTGCCGCAATTTAGAGCCCCCCACACGACAAACACCTCTTTGTGAAACAGGGCCACATCCTAAAAGGGAAGAAGAAGAAAAAAAATCTTTCTGTCTCATTTTCAATATGCTACAAGGAACCGAAGAATGAGAAAACCCCCCACCACAACAACCAACCACCATCTATCTGCAGCTACTCCCCTCCCCCTCCCCCTCCTCCTCCTCCAACGAGTTTCCTAAAAGGAGAGGGGAAAACAGAAGAAGAATGAGTATCTACATAATCTCGACAACCACCACCATCACTACTTCCTCCTCATTCTCCACTTTCCGCCCAGCCCAGCCCAACCCACCACCTTTTCCAACGCGTACGTCTCCAAGAGAAGAAAGTCTTTCTAGCATACGATTCCCAAAACCAACAACAACGATGGTATCTCCTCTCTCTCTCTCTCTCTCTCTCTCTCTCTCTCTCTCTCTCTCTCTCTCTCTCTCTCTCTTCCAGCCAACGAGGAAAACATACACCAGAGAAAAGAAAGATCTCTTTTCAAGACCAAAAAAAAAAAAAAAGATCATCCAAGAATGCTCTTGCTACTATCCAACGACAACGACAACGATAACGCAAGACATCTGTCATGCCGTTTACCCACCCAAGAACACACACACACTAAAAACACCCCATTCTCCCTCGATCAAGGCGGCATCGCCTTCCCCGGATCATACGCCCCGGGGACGCCCTTCCCCCCCATCGCCTCCCCGCTCGACCGCGGACTCCGTGCCGGACTGTTGCCACCACCCTGCGCGAAAAAGTTACCACCGCCACCAGGACTCACCAGGCCGGGCGTGGTCGGCGGGCTCAGCGGGATGTTGTTGCTGGTTGTGGTCGTCGTCGGCGGCGGAGGCAGATGGTGGGGGCCTTCGGGCGGGGGCGAGGGCGCGGGGGGCCGGATTTCCCGGCGGCCGTTGGCCTTGTAGTAGAGGATGACGTCGCCGCCACCGCGCCAGACGTGGGCGCGGATGGTGGCGAGGGTCATGGTTGGGGAGATGAGCTGGTTGTTGTGTTGGAGTTAACAGAGGGGGAGCGCTCAGATAGATCTCTGCATGGGAGGGATGTGTAGAAAAAAAAAAAAACGGAGTTGGGATGAGGACGTACCTGGTTGTTGCAGTAGAGCTCGAGGTATTCCTCTGGTCGGAGTGCGTTCGGTTCGGGCTGTTCGGGTGGGGGCTCGATGCGTTCGGCCACGTAGGCCATGATCTTGCGGGCGCGAAGCATTCGGTTGGCGTTGAGGCGGTTGTTTCTGAGCGTCTAACGTCAGCACGCCGGGGCAGCCACTCGGCTCTTCTGCCAAGTATTGGACTCACCCGTCTGATGCGATGGCCGGAAGGATGTTCTGGTACGGCTCGAGGATGAACGAGACCTTGACGATCTCCTTGAAAGGAATCGTGTTCTGGGGCAACAAGGTCAGCATTGGCTCTACAGATCTGCAAGAGGCGACATACCTTCAGTAAGACCTCACCCAGCCACTTCGGCGCCACTTTTTCGATGAAATCCGCCTGCTGTCCCAGAGAACTGACAGTGCCTTCGAACAAATCCGCTACACCACCGGAGTCAGGTCTATCCTCTTGGATCAGAATTGACGTTGCAATCGGAGGCTTCAGCACTGGCGTCTCGTTGGCCAAACTGGGCGTGATTGCGGAAGTCAAATTTTGAGCACCCTCTTGAAGGTCATCCTCATAGCGATGCCGGATGGTCTGGATGACTCCAAGGAAATTATCCTCAATAACACGATCTTCGCTCTTCGAAGTGCGCGAGTCGGATTCCTCGGGCGTTTCCGTAGGCGATTCTATGGAGGGTTTGCTGTTCGTATCTGTTGTCGACGTTCGACCTAGCTTCTTCATGCCACCGAAAGACATCTTAAACTTGCGGCCGAACATGGTGCTTTCTTTGCCGTTCTCCCTGTCGCCCTCGGTCGGCGACTGGGTCTCACCGGACTTTCGGGGCTGGCTGGCGCTGCTTGGTGTCGTAGCAGATTGTGTTCGGGGGCTCGTGGAGAAGTAGTCTCCAGAAGTTCTTTCTTTGCTACCACCTGACGTCGTCTGCTCGAGCTGGGCACCCTCCTCGGCGGTTGGCGGCAGGTGATGGGTGGGCTGATGTGTGTGCGTGTGAGAATGGCCGCCAGGAGTGGCAACGCCGATGGCCAATCCTGGCGTAGTGACGGGTAGATGGAAGCCGTTGTTAGCCCGGAGAGTGGTGGCAGAGGAAGGCGCAGACCCCTCTTTCCAGCCGTTCATTTGAGATTCGGGTATTTCGATAGTGCCTGGCGCTTTTCGCTGCTGCTTCTTCTCTGAAATGATCTGCTGCCGGAAATTCTCATCTCTTTTGATTTCTTCATCAATCAGGTTGGCGAAGAGATATCGTAGTATCCACTTTCCAAGATTGACTTTGACCCAGTCAGTGACTCACCCCTCAAGGCTTGGGTTCGTGCCGCTACTTACTTCTTTGATCTTCTCTGAACTCTATCGTCTCCTCCAAGTGTAGCTCATCTGCATACATCTCGGCGTCGAAGCAATAATTTTCTTCCAAGACGCATGTCAAGCTTCCCGTTCTTGTGTCGACAGCGCACCAATGTGCAACGGTTTCCGTTGTGTTAATCTCGGGAGCCACGTCTTCAAGGTGGCGCTTGCCAAACGACTTGATCGGTGCACATTTCAGAAGGTCCCAAAGCATGACTTCTCCAGCAGTATCCAAAGTAAGGACCCGTCTCCGGTCATTCAACAGGAAGTGCTTGATCAAACCATTCTGTCCCTCGATAGAGAAATCAGGCAATGGTCTCATCGGCGTCGGCCCCTTCACTTCGTCCTCGACAAAATCCACCGGCTTTCTCAAGCTTGCAGCAGACTGCATAGTCGCAGATTCCTGATCACGATCGCGGAAGAGGTGGAAAGACGCGGCATTCGACATACGCAAGAGCGCGTTCCTAGGGATCTTTTCTGCTGGCGGCGCCATCGACATGGACGACGGCCCTGTCGGAGAGGTCGGAGACGGTATGCGCGTGCGGGCTGTGGCGGAGCTCAACCGGTGATGCTTGTTATCAGGAAGCTGGACGTCGGCCTCGGTATTGACGTCTTGCCAACGGTTTATGCTGGAACTGGAGGTCGCAGTCCAGACATAGTCACCGGCCACGACAGCCTTGGCCACCCCTCCATGCTCCTGGCAGACGGCAACCGACAATCCTTCATCCATCTCGATGCAGCCTCTAACGTCCGTCTTGGCGACAACCCCGGAGCGGTCACTGGAGTAGAAGACGGACAGCTGCGGGTGATCCGAGTATAGCGACCATACACTGTCATTGTGCATGGTCAGAGTATACATGCACCTACCCGCGGTCATGGACCACACCTTGACAGTCTGATCGGAAGACGCTGTCATGATCGTATCACCTTCCTTGGCAATCAGGATATCCCGGACGTTGTCGGTATGCCCGACGAATTTGGTGATGCGCTTCCCGGACCTTGAATCCCATACCCGGACAATGCTCTCGGGGCCGCCGCTCGCGATCAGGGAGTTCGTGGCAGCAAGCGCGTAGACGGACCCCTTCGCGGTGCTCTCATCCTCTCCGACCGCAATCTGCAACGTCTTGCCGCCGCCATTGATATCCCACAGGTTTATCTTGCGATCGAGGCCGCCGGAAGCAACCCAATTGGCGGTAGGGCTGGGCGAGGCGAGGCACTTCACGTAGTCGCTGTGCAGGCCGATGGTCTGCGGCGGAATGGCATCGTGGGCGGCGGGGCGCCAGAGCTTCACGGAGATGTCGGAGGACGCGGAAACGAGAGCCTCGTTGTTGTGGGCGAGGGTGATGTCGTTGATCCAGTGGGTATGGGCCTGCACCTGCTGTCGGAATGTCGTCGCCGGCTTCGGGGCGGGCGGCGCGTCGTCGAGGCCGCCGAGCGAGCCGTAGCCTTCGCGCTCCTGGGCAGGGCGCAGGTCGAGATGCAGGTCCCAGGCGCAGATGACGCCGTCTCTACCGCCAGAGTAGCTGTTTGGGGGCGGGCAACGGTCAGCGTTTCGGCGGCTGAGACACGGGCGGGAAGGACGGGGATGACGTACAGGATGGAGTTATAGGGATCTACAGCGAGGCCATTGACGCCGAGACGATGGCCACCTGCGGAGTTGGCGAGAGGCAAGACTGCGGTCCCGGTCAGATGATAGCGGCCCCATAACTGGGCTGGCGCGCAAGGGTGGCTTACCGTATGAAATACGCTTGCGCGCGTTGCGCCCCATCCCACTGCTTGTCGCCGCGCGCAGCGGAGGTCAAGCATGCGGTCTCGGCAACACGCAGCGGGGGCTTCGCTCTTGAAGGTCGCGAGCGCAGGGTCGCCGTGGAGGAGGGTCGGGAGAGGCGGGGCGGGCGGGGGCTGGTGTGCGGTGGGTGGTCAACGGCGCGCGTCGGGTTGGTGGTGGTAGTGGCCAGGACTTGCGGTGCCATGGGGCGTGAGCGCAGGGCTGCGGCGCAAGCAAGCCATCGCTAAGCACGCAGCGCGAGTCGCATCAACCGCCGGCGGCCGTGACCTGAGCGCTCAGCGCGCGCCGCCAGCACCGCTTCGAAGGATCGAATTCCCTGGCCTCCTGCCAAGCGACGAGCCCGGCGGGCAGGTCCCGCATTTGAGCAGCAGCGCCGAAGCCTGGGCGCGTGGGTGCCTGCCCGTCAGCGCGCGATGCTGTTCGCGCCGCGTTCTGGAATACGGCTAATGCAACGACCCCACGTCCGTGATGTCAAGGGAGGGCCGCACGCCCGACCATGCCGATCACTCGTTGTACGTACACAACGCCCCCTCCCGCCAATGACGTGCTTGTGCGAGTGCACATTTATCCGCCCAGCTGTGCGCCTCCGTTGCATTCGCTTTCACTCGTGACTCCGGCACTGCGCACAACGCCAGCGCTCGCGACACGGTGCACGGGATGCTGCTACTCGTGTGCCGGCCGACAAGCATATCTGTGGAAATAAGGCCCGAGATTTGCGCAGAAGCAGGGAAATGCACAACAGATCAAACATTAAACTCCAACTTTTTGGCACAACACAGTCCACCTGCGTGCCGTGCAATAATGCCACAATGCACTCCGCCTGCCCGCCAATGACCCAAGCTCTAGTAAGCCCACGCGCCGGATGTCGGTCGCACTAGGTACCCCAAGATGCCGCCGATGCAAGTGGGACCATTGGAAGCGCCGTGGCGTCTCGAACTCGATGCAGCCATCCCGCTCAACCGCTCAAAAGATCCTTCACACTCATGCCCCGCGACCCCGGCGTCGACGCCGTCGAGTTCGCCCCGCTCCACGACCTGCGGTCGCTGTTCAGCATCAACAGCGCTGCTGTCGCCTCGTGGTCGTCCCGAGAGTCCGGCTGGGGCCCCAATGCTGGGCTTGTCAACGCAAAGCTTTGATGTCTCGACCTGCTTTCCGGCTGACCAACCACCGATGGAGAGGGGAGAATAGATGGAGACGTTGTGGTCGAATGCGCCGAGAAGGAGAAGTGGTGTGGTGGAATACCGAACATGTTTGGCGATGCGGTGAGCGAACTCAGCCGTCTGTGGCCGCCATCTGCGGGGAATATGGCTGGCGAGACCTGTGCGGAGAAGTGACTCCGGTCTGTGGGGTGCATGGTCGGTGACGTTGAGCTGGAGGGTGGCCCGGGGTTGGGCGGTTGAGCAGTCTGCGCATTCGGTGTCGTCGCGTTAGGGGAGCCAGCCTCGGACATGTCTTCGTCCTGGTCCTCAGATCCTTCATAATCCTCCACCGTGGTCGGCGGCTGCCATTGCGGTGTTGCTGTCAACTGCTGCCACGGCGGCGACTCAGACGAAAGCTTCCCCTTGTTTGCTGTTTTCAACCCGGCAACACAACGCTCAAGGTAACGCATGTACTCGATGCTGGCCTAGAGCATCATTGTCAGAAACACCATGGACGCATGGCGCAGGCGCCCCCGGCTTACCTGCAGGATAGCAAGCTTATGCATCTCTTGACCGGCACATGCAGGGATCATGTCCTTGAGCACACCGAACTCCTCGTTCATCTTCGAACGTCTCCGGCGCTCAATCAGACTATGTGCCGTCTTGCGTGCAATCTTTCGCCCTGCCGCCGTGTGGCCATTGTTTTGTTTCTTGCCGCGACCTCCAGCACTCTTGCCCTTGGCTGTGGATCCAGCCATTGTTGCTCCCTCAATCGCTTGTGTTTCCTGCTTTTGCGCAACAATCTTCTCTTCCTTCGGCTTCATTTGGATGATCTTTCGCAAGCGCGTCGGCGGCGGAGGGAGAGTGTAGTCATCCTCTGCGGAAACAGCGCGATTGGCAGAGCGTTTTTTCGAGCTTGACGAAGAGCTATGGCTGACAGAAGTGATGGCCTGTTTCGCGGGCACCGGAGACGCAGGGTGGTAGGAGGATTCGGAAGCATTGCAGGAGGCGACGCTGGAGGAGCTAACGCTCCCTCTACTGCGGTCGCTCATAGCGGCTGGCGGGAGCACCCATGAGGGGTCGTTTGCGACGCCAAGGCCAGGCTTGCCAGGGATATCGGTCGAAGCCGCCGGCGTAGGCGGCAGGCTGGGGCGAGGCATACTTGGTAGAGAACCAAAGAGGGATAATAATGTAAGCTAGGGGTGAGGGGAGGGAGGTGTCACAGCTATTGGTTTCCTGGGGGAGAGGAACATATGAAGGCAGCGGCACCTTGTCGGGCGACACCAGCGTGTTCATGATGATAGTAGACTGGTCGCGTGCTCCAACTGATTGGTTTGAGGGCTGTGCAAGGTGCTGGAGTTCGCCCCGACTAGGACCCTGGCTCTGAGGCTCGGGATGGGGAACGTGGGTGGATACGCGCGCAACCATTGGCTGGAAATCCGCATGCTAAGCTTCCACTATTCATGATCCGACGAACCGCACGGGGGCCGCTCCATTCACTATCACGTCAAGGAGCCCCTATGAGAAGCTGCCCTGTGTGCTCGTGCTTGCGTGATCAACGGAGGATCCGTCTCTTGATAGACACGAAAACAAATCGGCGGCAAGAAAAATTAGTCGCTGATAAATAATTGCACTGGGCTACTTGCCCATAATTCCTGTCTAGTTCCAAAGTCTGCAAGTCCCGTCTGCTCCAGCACTCATGCACCACGGCTGTCGCGGGTGCCAGTCAACGTCCAACACTCCCAATTGATTCTTGACCTGGTGACCGTGAAGAACCTTGAGCGGCACAATTGTCGCGTTCTCCATCAAATCGTCCACCACCTTGCCATGGAAGATCTGCAGGCTGCCGTCGTCGCTGGCGTCGGCAAACAAGGGCAATCCGCCCTGGTGGAAACGCACCGAACGAATCGCCTTTTTATGGTATCGTAATGTCTTGTAAGGCTTGTTGGACAAGTCGAGGTCGTGCCAGAGCAAGCGCTTATCGTACGATCCCACAATGAGATTATCGCCACCCGGATGCAGGTCGAAGGAAGAGATCCAGCGCGCACCGGGCTGCAGGATCTTGAGGAGCTCCTGCCTGGCAAGGTCGTAGCTACGGATAGTTCGCTGCGTTGCAACAAAAAAGATCGGCTTCGAAGGGTGGAACTGCGCCGTCTGAGCCAAACCCTTCAACTTGCGGAATGGAAGTTGAGTGAGATGCTTCGACAACGTATGGATTGCCACTGCACTGCTTTGACCTTGCGGGGAAACAGTTGCAAAGTACTCTCCACGTCTGTGCCAGTTGATCACCTTCACAGTCGATCGGACAGTGGCCTGAACCAGCACGCCTTGCTCTTCTAGTCTGGAGCCGGGCCGACTCCATTTGGCAGGAGGTGCTTTTGGCGCGCCATCTGCGGTAGTGTGTTTTGAGGGATTTGATGCAGCGTAGCCCCAGCCGGCATCTAGGATTTCGCGACTGGTCTGCTCGACGTCTGGAGTCACCATGGACAGACCGAAAGGAATCACGAGGAAGACACTCTCCCCGACAGCTGCTGCGAGAATAACTGCGTCTTGTCCAGGGCGCCATTTGACAACGTTGACTGCCTCTTCATCCGAAACCTTGGCACTCCACTCCTGTCGTCCAGTCAGGATGTGCCAGATCTTGATGCAACCATCATCACCTCCACTAGCAACGAATCTGCCGCTAGGATCCACAGCTAGACTGCGTACCCGACCCTCGTGACCGCGGAAAATCGTGGCACAAGTCGTAGGGAACGGTCTGAGCTCGTCTGGACTCGGCAGCTTGGGAAGAAGCGATTCGGGATCGATGTTGAGCTTGCTTCTCCTGACACGAGGCGCGAGATAAAGATCCAGACACCTCTCGAACTTCTCCTTGACGAACTTGTCGTAGCCGGGTACTTTCCGGAGAGCGCCAAAGTCGGTTGGTAGGTATTCCCGCTCTCTATCCTCCTCATCCTCTGCTTCCCATGCGTCCTTCTCCTTCTTGTCCGGCAGGTACTCAGCCGGCGGGTGGTAACTCTCCTCGTGGACGGGCGGTGGAAGCTTAGGCGCCGGAATATGCGTCGAGTGGTCCGGCCGCGGTGTTTCATCAGCCCACAGATCGAACCTCTTAATCGTCGGGTCCTCTTCTTCCTGCTCCTCAGGCGGCCTGTACGGCTGTATCCTGCCCTCCCGGATAGCCTTGACGATCTTCATGACCCGCTTGGCCTCGTGCTTCGAAGGAACGAAGCGTCTCTTCGGCTCGGGTGCAGCGCTCAGCGGCATGATCTCCTCCTTGCCTGTGAAGTACTCGACCATGTCTGGGTACGGGTCGTAGCCGTCCGCGGGCACCTCGTTGCGAGTGACCTGTTTCAGGACTTCTAGCTCCTCCCGGCTCAGTTGTAGAGGCTTGCCGGTCGCTGGGTCCGTCAGGCCTGTCCATCCCTTGGGTATCTCTATACTGTCAAGCAGGGCGTCCAATGCCTCACCCTTCGCAGGGCGCATGACCTTCTTGCCGTTGATGTCGTAGCCAATGTGAGGATACGAGTCGTAGAAAGTGAGTGGAATATCACCAATCGTGTTCTTCTGTCCAGCAGGCGCGTCAGAGTCGTCGGTATCGTACCCTGCATCAATTTCCTGGTAGACGTAGCGAGGGTTGCCGTTTGCGTCGGTCGTGACTTTGTAATTCTTCTCGAGCTTTTGGAACCCATATTCGGGCGAAGCAGATCGCATCCGAGCATCTTCTCCGCCGTCGCTGGCATTGTCGGTATGAGTGGAAAGACCGTTGGCTGATTGTCCTTTGCTCTGGAGACTCCTGATCTGGTCGCGAATGCCCTCTTCATCCTCTTCAGAAGAGGGAATCTCGTCACTGTCAATCTCCTCATCCTCGTCTTCTTCCGGGTCTTCCTCTTCCTCTTCGCTGTCCTCCTCCTCGTCGGACACGCTGTCGTCGGATTCGTCCTCGCTCTGCGACAGGATTCCCTCTAGCTTTCCGCCTTCGAAGTCGTCGCCGGAAGCGGCATCTTCGGGGGGAGAGATGTCGCGGGTGGGCGCCTTGCGCTTTCTGGTCTGCGTAACCGACGGCATTGTGTTTGTGCGGCCTCAAGACTCGCAGCGAAATGCAAACACGACGGCAGAAAACCGCGTCCGAGGGCTGCAACTTTTTTGCGAGCGCCAGCTTATCGGCTTATCTGCGGCGCGGCCGAACAATGTGCCGGGGGGCGATCCGCGCCGCTAGCGCAACCTGAATCGCGGGCGGCGCTCCTCAGCGAACTTCTTGCTCCGCGTCGTTTGGCCCGCTACCACCCTCCTTCAACCATCCATCGTCGTGTGGCCCTGCGATACCAACACAACCTCCGCACTGGCGTGGCCGCTGCTCATAACAATTGCACAGCTCCCGTACGGCTCACAGTGCCTCTGGGCTCGTTGCCATGGCTCGGCCGTCAACTCGCTCACCAACTCCCGTAGGTTCGCACAAGTACCGCCGCGACGATCGGTACTCCAGCAGAGGCGACTCATACCGCGATCGTCGGCGCTCCCGCAGTCCTCCTGTAAGTTCGGCGATTCGCGCCACATGTCGCTTTGCGCATACTGACCGTGATCCGCAGAGGCGCGACCGTGAACGCGACCGCGACTACTATGATCCCCCGCGCCGGGACCGCTCCCGAGACCGTCGCTATGGCGGCCGTGACGACCGTAGCTACCGCCCGCACCGCGATCGTTCCCGTGACCGAAAGCGGTCGCGCGACCGCTCGCCGCCTCGCGATCACCGCCGACGTGATGACTCGAGAGACCGTGTGAAGCGACGCCGGGACGATTCCACCGACTCGAGGCGCACTGCCAGGCGCGATCCCAGCCCAGCTAGGTCCAAGGAATCTAACAAGCCATCCGATGTAAGTCTACGTTCTGGAATGTCTGCATTAGATCAGATAACATTGAAAACCCAGGCTCCGCCTTCGTCCACGCCCGCCGACACCCAAACTCCAGAAGCGGAAAGCGCTGAAGCTCGCAAGCAAGCCGAGCGCCTCAAGAGAACCCAGCTTTGGAAGGCAAAGATTGAAGCACAGAAGAAAGAGCAAGAGCTGAAGGGAGGTGCCCGCGAGATCCTAGAGGCTATGGATAGGAAGACTGTGGCATCGCCGACAGCCGTCGCTTCTCCTCAGTCACCTGCACCGGCACTGTCACCTGTACCGGCACCTGCACAGGACACTAGCACCTCACCTCCCAAGCAGCAGTACACTGGAAAGTTTGACCCGAAGGCGATAGCAAAGAGAGCAACCGGCCCGAGCACCATTGGTGCCAATGCCCTTGGAGGGGACGTGGCCGTTCCTTTCACGAAGCCTGCAGCCGCGACCATCCAGAGTCAGGCACCCAAGCCGGGCTCCATGCTCAAAGCTAAAGGCAACGTTGGCGGCTTTGGGTTTGGGCCGCGTGCTGCGGATACCGAGAAGCCCGGAGCGAAGAAAGCGCTGGATTTAGAAGATGAAGAATCGACGCGCAAAAAGCTCGAAAAGCTTCCGACCCCGGACCTTGACGATGCTGCTGTCCAGAACGATGAGGCTGAGCAGCTCGACGGCGCTGATGACTCTGGTGATGACGATACAGGCATGGCTGATGGAGGCACAGAAGAAGAGCAAGCTGCTGCCGCTCGTGCTGCCGCAGAAAAGCGCGAGGAACGCATGCAACTCGCAAAGACACCCGAAGCAGACACTGCAATGACCGATGCACCTCAACCCGTCCAAGGCGACGAAGAGGATGTAGACCCATTGGATGCATTCATGTCAGGATTGAGCACAGTTGCCCCCAAGAGGCCTACGAAGACGATGTCGAAGTCTGGACAAAAGGAACCCATCGCCATGTACGGTGATGATGATGACCCCCAGGAAGCAGCGATTGACTCGGATCCTGAAGACGTTCTCGCAAGGGAAACTAGGAAGAAGGCCAAGGCGACCATCGGTCAAGTCGACCACAAAAAGATGAGCTACAAGGACGTCAGGTTCAACTTTTACACCGAGCCTTTGGAGTTGGCTGCCATGGACGAGGATGCGGTCTCTAGTCTCCGGTTTGAGCTTGATGGTATTAAGGTCATGGGTCGCGAAATACCAAAGCCTATATCCGCCTTTGCGCAGTGCGGCCTTGGCCTCAAAACGCTGGACGTCCTGAGGCATCTCGACTTCGACAAACCCACTTCTATCCAGGCTCAGGCAATTCCTACGATCATGTCCGGTAGAGATCTGGTTGCTGTGGCTAAGACCGGCTCTGGTAAAACGCTTGCATTCCTCTTGCCCATGTTCCGCCACATCATGGATCAAGACTCCCTCAAGCCACTCGATGGCCCCATCTCCGTGATTATGGCCCCCACTCGTGAGCTGGCCGCTCAGATTGCTAGGGAAGCTCGGCCGTTCGCCAGAGCACTGAACCTCCGCGTAGTTGTTTGCGGTGGAGGTGCACCCATCAAAGATCAAATTGCTGAGCTGAAGAAGGGCGCTGAGATCATCATTGCCACACCGGGCCGTTTGATCGAACTCCTCGGAGCGAACAGCGGGCGCGTTACCAATTTAGCCCGCGTCACCTATGTTGTCCTTGACGAGGCAGACCGTATGTTCGATTTGGGCTTCAAGCCTCAGATCAGTAGGATTCTGTCCAATGTGCGTCCGAAGCGACAGACAGTGCTTTTCAGTGCTACCTTCCCCGGCCAGTTGGAGTTGATTGCCAAGGAACAGCTGAACGACCCTGTCACAGTCATTGTTGGCGAAAGGTCTACTGTTGCTTCTGAAGTCACTCAGGTCATCGAGATTGTCGAGGAGGACGATAAGTTCAACCGCCTGCTTGGTATCCTTGGTGACTTTTACAAGTCGGATGATGATTCTAGGTATGTCAAAAACTCCCCATATATCTTTAGACGACGCTAAAGCCTGATCAGGACCCTGATTTTCGTGAAATCCCAACAGACTGCCGATAAACTTCTTGATCTGCTTCTGAAGAAGTACTATAGCTGCGACTCTATTCATGGTGCCAAGGACCAAGTCGATCGCGATTCGGCGCTTTCGGACTTCAAGAAAGGCGCCATTCCCATCTTGATCGCAACCAGTGTTGCAGCTCGTGGACTCGACGTCAAACAACTGAGGCTTGTCATCCAGTATGACGCCCCTGACCACTTGGAAGATTACGTCCATCGTGCGGGTCGTACGGGGCGCGCTGGAAACAAGGGCACGGCGATCACCTTTATTTCACCGCGCCAAGCTGGGCGCGCGAGGGAGATTGCCAAAGCATTCACTTACGCCAAGTTGCCAATCCCCGAGAATCTTGCAGAGATTGCAGAAAAGGCAAAGGGCACCAGGTCAAACATGAGCAAAAAGGGCTTCATGGGCAAATCTCTTGATCACTATGATAAGCAGCACGAGGCTGCCAGGAAGGCGCAGAAGAGCCAGTACAAGATGATGGATGGAGACGAGGACGATGATGAGGAGCAAGAGGAAGCGGCCGCACCTGTGGTCCAGGCAAGGACTCCAACGACATCCGAGGCGGCTCAGACACCCACAGAGGCCAAGCCGGCTGCTAGCGCCGGGGGCTTCAACTTCAACCAACCCATCAAAGTCTATAAGACGGAGCAGCCGGAGGCGTCTGCATCGAAGACGAAGTCCAACGATCCTCTCGAGCGGGTGCGCGCAGCGGCAAGCAAGATCGACGGCCGGCTCACGCAACGCAACCAACTGCGTCCTGGACAACCTATTGACAACAAGGGACCCGATGCTGGTGCCTACCATGCCACGCTGGAGATCAACGATTATCCTCAGAAGGCTCGCTGGGCTGTCACCAACCGCACCAATGTCGCGAAGATCTTGGAAGCTACGGGCACGTCGATCACTACGAAGGGCAATTTCTACACCAAGGGCGACACGCCCGGACCCGAGCAGCCGCCCAAGCTCTACATTCTGGTGGAAGGCGACACGGAAATCGTTGTCCAGAACGCGATGAGGGAACTGATGCGCTTGCTCAAGGAAGGCACTGTTGCTTCTCAAGATACCGAAACGCGCGGCGCAACTGGAAAGTACAACGTCGTCTAGAGGAGGTGTGCACCCAGTCGAGAAGCCCCCGATTTTTACGAGCTTCCTTGTTACTTCGAGACTGCTGCGCTGACCTAAACTCTAAAGGATCCGAGTGCGTGAAAGACGGCCACCGGTGTCCCGGGCGTCATCGCCCGACTGTCTGCTTGCGATGGCTTCAGTCGACTCACGTGTCCATTTGCAGCATAATCTCTACCTGTCCCCAGCATTTCCAACAAAGGCTTTGACGTGGATCTCGCACAATGATGATCGGATTTCTTTGCCGGACAACCAAAACCACCGGGAGATGCAGAAGGAACGGCAAGGATCGATGAACAGCTTGCCAATATCAATAGGAGATCGCCAATCAGCCTGGTCTGCCCAGCCATTGCCAGCTAGTTCGTAGACAGCCTCCTATAGTAATACAATTGATGCAAGTCACAGAGTGCATGTCGGAATGGTCAAATAGCATGGAGTGGCTAATCTCGGGGAGCTCTCCAGAGCCCCAAGAACAAATCAAGGGAATCCCAATGCTGCTGAGTGACGTAATGTTTCGTATCAACAACTATATGTGCACAAATCAGTAATTACAGGGCTGATCTCAACATCCAAACTGCAAGCAGCGGCATCTGACACGTAGCTCAATTCCAAGCCCTGGCATTGGCCATCTCATCCGCGTCGCGTTGCCTTCGCTCGGCGTAGCTGGCCTCCTCTAATGCTGCGCGGTTGGTGAGTTTCTGGTTCTTCGTCGTCTTGGCCTGGTTATTCGCGGCCCGTGTCTGTTCGAAACGTCAAAAGTCAGCGATAGCCGGCATGATTGGCGCGCCAGGTGATGGCGGACGAGGCTGCAAGGACCAGGGCAGAAAGGAGGGGAGGGGAGGGGGAGACGCACTTCAGCAGCTCTTGCGGCGGCACTGCGAGGGTCGTTGTCGCCGCCTGCCTCTGGCCCGGCACCCAGCGTCCGGCCGGGGCCTTGCGGCGGCGCACTCTTCTTTGCGGCGGGGATGGATGCACGAGCGTTGTCCGAGGGCGCGGGAGCGGCGCCCAGGGTGCGGCCGGGGCCGGCGAAATTGTCGGATTTCGATTCCTTTCCGCAGAGGTTTCCCATGATAGTGGGTGCGGCAGGGGAGGACGACGGGGGCGGGGGGTGTGGGGACTTGGAGGTGGTGGGGGGGAGGGGAGGAGGCTCTGTCAGCAGGGCCGGGGCAGGAGCAACAGCAGCGGAGAAAGTATGTAGTATATGTAGACACGGAACAGCAGAAGAGAGACAGCGACACCGCCGGGCGTGCGTGCTGCGCGTCAGGGCGTTGGCAGGCTGGCTTGGCTGCAGTGCCGGGTTGCTGGGCAGCGATCGTCGGAGGCCGGAGGAATGACGAAGCTGCCGTGCAGACCGACGGACGCGCGGGGCAGGCAGAGGTGGTGGACGTGAGAGGGTGGCCCACGCGCGCGATTGCTGGGCTGCCTGGGCTGCGAGGCGCGAGGTGGGGGCGGGCGCGGCTTTCCGGGCATGTGCGGCGCGGGCGCGGCGCTGAGTAAAGATTCGCCATGGATTCGCTGGTTCCACACCTCGCAAACCACCCATCACGCCCATCAGCCCTCAGCCTGCCTCAGGCGCCCGCGCTCGCAATCCCCCCCGCCGAGCGAGCTCTGCGGGCTCGGTTTACCCCTACCGCTAGGGAAACACGCATCCCACCTCATTTGGCGGAAACAGGGTGCGGCTCACTGGTGTTAAGGCAAGTTTTCCGAATTTCGCATTCTCGACACCTTGATGGCCCATGTCCGCATCACTCTTAACGGAGCCTTCCACCGCACGACATCATAGCTGGCCAGGCACACAGAACGAGCCCGACGCGTCGACCCTAGGCTAACATGGCTGCAGAACAACGAAGCTTGCTTCCCTTTCACCGGACCCCGGCCCTCGCCATGTGCTCGCCGTCGCCTCGGTTGGCCGGCTCCAAGCGCGACTCCGACGGCGAGGTTCTGGCCGCCAGCGCCTGGAAGCGCCACATGGTCGAGAATTACGGCTGCGAGATCGAGACGGCGGAATGCCACCGCCCTATCTGCGTCAACCCGCAGCATCTGCTGGTCAATGGCGGCACTCACGACGACGTACACCGGCACAAGGCCTGCCTGATACCCTCTCTGCACCAGAACAGCCCGAAAGCGAGCCGCCATATCCCCTCGTTGACGACCGTTGCTACCGACATATGCACCGAGGCCACTTGCAGCTTCGCAGCTCCTCACTCCTCGTCAGATAGCCGTTGCGAAGGCATGTTCTGGGACGCATGCTCTCCTTCCTGTTCCGGAGACGAGGCTTGCCCGGTCCCGGATGCCTGCGTAGATCCGAACTGCGACCTGCAGGGTGTGTGCTGGGATGGTTCCTGCACAGGAGCTGATTGCGACGCTGCGCCGTGCCCGGACGGCGTGTGTTTGGTCGACGAGGTGTGCTACAAGGAGCCGTGCCCAAGAGCAAGCTCGTGCGAGCAAAGTCAACGTTGTGCGACACACTTCGGTGACCATATCGACCACGACATCTGCCAACAGAACCACGGCCCCACATGTCACACCACAAGCAACCAGCATCTGTGCCAGGAGCTCCAGAACTGGATCTCCATGAACGGCGGGGCCTCGAGCACCAACCATCACATCCCTCACTGTTACGACGCTCACTCCCATGAAGCCTATCAATGCAACTTACCTCAATACCATTCGAATGGATATTATGAGAACACCTCTCCGCCATGCTACCCCCAGATGAACCCGACGAGTCAGCACGGATCGTCGGGTCTTGAGGAGCTTAGTCGGTTAGCGCAGCTAAACGACCACATGTTCGGGAGCACGCTCCCACATCATACGATGAACTCCTGCCAAAGCACTTCCACACGCACTCTTGGCAGCTCATCGATTGACCACGGTAGTCTGTCAGGAAGCGTCGTCTCCTCTCCTGATCCGCACCTCCCCCTTCGTCCCCACCAACGACCCACCTTGAATGGCTTCTTTCAACCATATGAGCCCCGTGGAATGGGCTTCAGGGGGGTCGACTCGCTTTTTGAACCGCCGTGCAAGAAGGCTCGAGAGACTTCACGCCTGAAACATGCCGAACAGTCGTTGTTTGGCTCAAGTGACATCATGGTGGACATGCCCACGGGGCTGGGCGTTGCGCAATCCGTTGAGGACCACGAGCATATATGCCGTTGGCAGACCAACGTTAAATCGGAAGATGGCCAGCCAGTACTCTGCAACATGAAGTTTGCTTCTGCGAAGGACTTGGCGGAGCACCTGAAGGACGATCATACCGAAGGTCTAGACGGCAAGTACTGCTGTCATTGGCACGGCTGTTCTTCGAGTACCGATTTCAAGCAATCCGGCAAGTTGGCAAGGCACTTTGCCATTCATTCGAAGTGTAAGTGCATCCCGCCGAGTCATTTGAGTAGAATTAACGGGGCGCAGACAAAAGATTCCAGTGCAAATACTGTGACAAGAGTTTCAACACCGCACAAACTCTGGAAAATCACCACAACACGCACACGGGCGAGCGTCCTCATGCGTGCCACTACGAAGGCTGTACTTACGCCGCCGCAACGGCAACTCAACTCAAGGGCCATATTCAAGGCACCCATCTGAAAGAGAAGAGGTTCCAGTGCAAGCTCTGCTCTTTCTGCTGCACCGACTCGTCGAACCTGACGAAGCATGAGAATGGAGTTCACGGCCGCAAGGAATACAAGTGCCCGCACCATGGCTGCACAGCATCGGTCACGAGTGAGTGGAGCATCATCCGCAAGCATTTCAAGGAGTCTGGTCACTGTCCTGAGCTGCTGGAGAGCAACTCGCAAGCGCAGAAAAAATTCAAGAAGGCCGCTGTCGTCAAAGACCAAGCCGGCGTCATGGCCAACGGCCGCAGAGCTCCGATATCGCGCAACAGGACCAAGCGCAGCGAGACGGCGGAACAGCATGTGAAGAGCGAGTCGGAGTCGGTAGAGCCCATTGCCGCGTAGAAAACTACATTGGCCCTTTCTCTTTCCCTTTGCTTTTTTCTATCTTTTTTGTCTGCATATTCTCGAGCGACTTTAGAGTCCAGCTTTGCTCAAAGGAAGCGCTCCATTGAGCACGGCTTCGACATGCATTTGGGGGGGTTTGGCAGGACGGGCTTATTGCCCAATTCATGACCTTACGGCTGTTTTCTTCGATTTTGACGGCCGAGAGGAGGAGAAAAAAGAAAAAAGCATGAGAGCACACAAAGCCCTGCTCATTTAGTTCCTATACCCATCGCTAAGGAGAGATCAATACGACGACTGCTGTTGTGTCTAAACAAAGGGCATTCCTGCTGTTTAGACTTTGGTATGCAAAGAAGTAACCGGGTCGCTGGGTGGTCGGAGCTCGTAGCGGCAGTCACTGGTGAGACTCGACCGTAGCCTGCGTCACACCGACTGATAGTGATGGCGGATCAAGGCCATTACCAAGAGTCGAGGGGTGAGTTGGAGGCAGAGGCGAGTTTCGGCGCTGTCTGAAGCTGTCAGACATGTCAGGCCAGGAGGGCGGTGCGGTCTAGCGAAAGTCGTGGCCGCCGGATCCAGACTGCGGCGTGCGCACGTGACGCAGGCCGATGTTCGCTTGAGGCCCGGGCTGCACCACCAACGCCGCCAAAGACTGTGGCCCCGCGCCGCTATCACCAACCTTGGATCTGCCACAACACCCGCTCGACATAGCGATCAAGCCTCACAACCGCAACCGCCACGCGCGTCTGCTGCCCTCAGCCCCCGCGATTGATGGCAGCGACCCTATGAGCCGCGTTTTCCCGCACTACGCTGAGCCTGCCGCCATCACTCACCGTCAGGCACCGTGCCTGCCCGTTTCCTAGCCACCCAACCACCGACCACGCGACCGCCCCCCTGAACCCGCGCCATGTCTTCGTCCTCGCAGGTCGCCGAGTCGTGGATAACCTCCTTCTGCAACCTGCTCGGCCACGAGTACTTCGCCGAGGTGTCCGAGGACTTCATTGAGGATGACTTCAACCTGACCGGCCTGCAGTCGCAGGTGCCCATGTACAAGGAGGCCCTGGAGATGATTCTCGACGTCGAGCCCGAGGAAGACGAGGAAGACGAAGATGAGGAGGACGACGACGATGACGACGACGAGATCCTGGGCGACGAGAAGCCCGTCGGCTACCGCCGCAGCGAACGCCGCCATCTGCGCATGCACTCGGACATCAGCGTGATAGAGAGCAGCGCCGAGCTGCTGTACGGCTTGATACACCAGCGCTACATCACCTCGCGCCCGGGCATCCAGCAGATGGCCGAGAAGTACGAGCTGCAACACTTTGGCGTATGTCCGCGCGTGCACTGCAACGGCGCCAAGGTGCTGCCCGTCGGCTGCAGCGACACGCCCGGCCAAGAGACGGTCAAGCTGTTCTGCCCCTCGTGCCTGGACGTCTACACGCCGCCCAACTCGCGCTTCCAGACGGTCGACGGCGCCTTCTTCGGCACCACCTTCGGCTGCCTCTTCTTCATGACCTTCCCCGAACTGGACATCGGCGTCCCCCGCCTCGACCGCCAACGCGACGACCACCACCTCATCGCCGACTCGTCCAGCCAAGCCTCCAACAGCAAGTCGCGCACCGCCTCGTCGTCGTCCATCGTCGCCGGTCAGCTGCCGCCCCAGCCCGCCACCATAAACGGCGTCGCGCCGTCCAACCTGGCGCCCGGCCTCGGCGACGGCAGCATCTACGAGCCCCGCATCTACGGCTTCCGCGTCAGCGAGCGCTCGCGCAGCGGCCCGCGCATGAAGTGGCTGCGCCTGCGCCCCTCGGACGTCAACGAGCTGGACGAGGCGCACATCTTCCACGAACGACGCCGGGAGCTGGTCGAAGACATAGAAGAAGAAGACGAGGAGGACGTCGAGGACAGCACCATGATGGACGCTGCGGCGGCCGAGGGCGTGCCCGTCACCACGCCGAGGAAGAAGGCCGTCGCGCGGAGGAGACGGACTGCGAATGGAAGCGTGGTCGCGGCCGGGGGTAGAGGGAGCCCGATGGATACCAATGGTGTGGGCGAGGGTGGCTGATTGGTCGGTCGGATATTCCCTACATCCTACAGGAGGAACACGAGAACAAGAAACTTGATTGGTCGGTCATGACGACTTAGTGATATGATATCTCGGGATGGATGCCGCTATGGGCTGGGAGGCTAGGGGGGGCCATGGCGACAGAGGAGAACAACAACAGAGGCGGGATGAAGAACGATGACAGAGGGGGGAAGCGTCGAGGGTTTTCCGAGGTTTTGGCTTTTCTACGTTTTAGTGACATGACAGGTTACCCATTTTTTTCCGTTTCCAACCTCTCCGCCTTTTCTTCTTCTTCACCTTCTGCTCTGAGATCCGATGCCTCGCGCGGAAATGGGGAACAGGCCGTTTTTGCGCTCTCTCCTGGGTAAAAAAAACACTTCGTACTGCTGCTGATGCGTGTTGTTGAAGAGCGATGAGTTGTTGTTCGTTCGCACCTTTCCCTTGAACTGACTGCATGACGGCTGCATCAAGGCGCTGATGTTTTTTTTTTTTTTTCGTTTTGGTTTACGTCACGGTTTGGTCGTCTTTTGCCTTTGAGAAACCCAACAATAAACAACGACAACAACGACAACAACAACAACCTTAAGCTCAGGGAGCCTATACGCCATCATCCCCCATATTTTCATCCCTGAAACCAAACCAGCTTGAACCCACCCCGACAACGTCAAGAACACGGGAAATTGAACCGGCAGGCTGTCCCCATCTTCGTCCTTCTCCGCCTTTGGTAGTCTTGAAAGAGAGGAGAGAAGATTTGGTATCTGTTTGGGACGGAGCTATAGCTACTTTGATAATTCTTTCCCGATTGCTCGAAGAAAATATATATATACATCAGATGGCGAATCAGCTTTCAAGACTCCACACGCTGCATGTTTGGCTGGTACAGCCCATAAAGCCATTTGTCGCGCATGCAAGTCGGTTTCTACATAGGCAACATTTCCTCAAGAGCTGCTATACACACACTAGCCTCGGCCAGGTATATATAACTCGCCCATCAAGGTCACTTGCGGGCAATCCGCAAGTCTCTCCCCAAATGTCATCGATCCAAAATTTACACGATTCCCGCGAAAGAGGAAGATTACTACGTTGCGAGTACGTCGGGGGGCTGCCAACAACAAAGCTGTACCTTGTCTCCCATTCGCTACCACCAAGCACCGCTGGGATCAAATCCTCCATCGTCAGCCATGACTAGGGGTATTGCAGCGACCTGAAGTCACTTAGTCAAGTTCATAGACTTGGTTCGAGGCTGCGATTCTGCGGCAGTCATCTTTCGGACGAGGCCGGACGTTGCACGTCTCAGAACGTCGGCGGCGCACACATGTCCAGGACTTCTTCCAAGAGGTATGGGAGCAAGGCTGGGATTTTTGTCCCCATCTTGGGTGAGAAAGAGGAAAAGTAGATGAGAATGCTAGTATAATTTACGAGGCACACGGTTCAGAAGGGGAACTGCACGTTCGACGTATGTTTGAGTATTTTGGAGCGGGGATACCAACGCAGCGGAACATGTATGCAGAGGCTGGGGCTGTTCGTGGGTGGATGGCGTGCTTAAGTGGAGGCCATGATACGGATTCTTTCCTCTTGTAAAGGAGCGAGGAGGCGGTATGTTGCTTTTGATAGCTGTATATTCCGCGTTTAATATAAATAAAGGATTATATGTTATCAAAATCTGTTAGGTTACGAAAGATCGCCCGCTCATAAGCGGGAGTGTAAAGAAAGTAATATGGTTTATGTAGGTGGTTACTACTAACTGGCACTACTGTCTCCGCCTTTTCGGCTTAACACTACGTACTGAACTTAATACCGCGGTGTTTTGCGAATAGAAATACCGTGAAATTTCTTTTTACCGCTCGGTGATGGCTGGGTTTGAGCGTCTCGTCTCGTTCGACAGGCCATGACGAGTAAAAATAAGACGGTATCAACCCTGACTACGTACGACCTGTGTTCAATCTTCTCCGATATATCATAAACGATTTAGTGTCTTTTGAACTACAGCATCTCAGAAGGGTTTAGAAGTAGTGCCACCCTTTTTGTTGGCCATATAAACACGACAAGGTTGCCTGAAAACACCTATGACGGCAATGTCAGGCCGCCAGACTTCTTCATCAAGCCGCTCCGTCAGTACGATATTGACCTTGCACGGAACCAGTCTGCCGCGGCGCCAGTTGAAGAGCTCTCAGGGAATCAAATGCTTAGTGTTATCAGCAGCCAGCATCTCTTTTAAGTTGAGAGTCACACACAGGAGCGGACAATGCAGGGCGGACACAGTGGTTGAACAGATCGGAGTAGCAACAACTCGCAATCTCTTCATTATTGACAAGTTGACAGTAGACTTTCTTGGGGGCCCTAGCAGTCTCAGAAAATTTCAAGCGTAAGTCCTGATTCAAACGGTACCCGCGCATCGGGTTCGGATTGCCGGGTCAAATAGACGGGTTGAGAAAAAGACAGACCATATCTCGATTTGAGAGATTAAGGTTGAATGCTACCAGCATTATTTCTGCGGTAAAGTGAAATCACACCACTGGCGCTGCGGGGTTATTAGCCGTCAGCTTGGCCGTTATTTGTTCTACCTGGTTCTTGCCGTAACTGCCATGGAGTGCTCAAGCATGTGGCTTCCATCCCCCGCCGCAGCTGAAGCAGTACATGCAGCCACTCGACCCGGTAGGTGGAGGTCCGAAGGCCTGGAACGGCGGAGACCACGTGGCGCATCTGCCGATACGTAGCAGGAGAGTTATTCACGGCCCATAATCTGGTACCCTAGTCAACCCCGGGTCCATGTTGTTGTTTAGCCAAGCTGAAGTCAACTGCCGCGAGCCTACATAAAAAAACCACTCGGCGGCAGCTGTTACTGCAGTTGTGGAAGAATGCGAACTGTCCAAAAGCCGCACTCGGAGACATGGCTGCTACTGGAGACACCGGAACGCGAGTGCGCTCGAAAGGGCGATTCCGCTTCGTCATGGCCTTCTCGGCCCTGTCCATTGTGGCCTTTTCCAGCGCGTTTGATGCCACCATTCTTGGAAATGCATTGCCTGTACATCTTCCTGCCCTGCAGATACAGGTAGTCACAGCTGACATACGTAGGTCATAGCCGAAGACGTCGGCGCCACCAGCCTGGAGTCGTTCTGGATGACCATCTCGTTCATGCTCGCATCCGTCGCCCTGCAACCAGTGCATACAGCCTTCTCCGACATCTTTGGCCGCAAACCAGTCCTATTCCTCTGCTGTGTCCTCTTCACTGCGGGGTTGATCGTCTTCGGTCTCGCTCGCTCTCCAGCCGCCATCATCACCGGCCGAACCATCCAGGGCATGGGCGGGGGCGGGCTTGAAGCCCTGTCCGAGGTCATCCTTACAGACCTCACCACGCTCAAAGAAAGACCGCTCTATCTTGGCATCTTGTCCTTCTTTTGGGCCACAGCGGGAGCGGTAGGCCCTCCAGTCGGCGGAGCTCTTGCGCAGTATGCCAGCTGGAGGTGGCTCGCCTGGATCAACCTACCTTTCATGGGCATCGCCATGGTACTGATACCACTCTTCTTGACATTGCAACAGGACAGGAGCTCCGCCAGCAGCAAGCTGCGCAGAGTGGACTGGATTGGCATTGCCCTCTTCATCGCGGCAGTCACGCTCCTCCTCGTCCCCCTGACATGTGGCGGCAACGCCATTGCCTGGAACAGTGCCGGAACCATCGTCTCGCTCGTCATCGGCGGCTCGTGCCTCGTCCTCTTCGTATTCGCCGAGAGCAGAGCCCAGGAGCCGATGATGCCGCCACGCGTCATCAACACCCCCATGCTCGCGGCCACGATGCTCGGCTCCCTGCTGCACGGAATCGCCATGTGGTGCATCCTCTACTACGCGCCCCTCTTCTTCGAGAGCGTCTTCGGGCACGACCCGCTCCAGTCCGCCGTCGACGGCTTCTCGTTCGCCTTCACCGCCACGCCGGCGGCCATCCTCACGGCCTTCCTCATCGACGCGGTCCGGCGCTACCTCTGGGGCATCGCGCTCGGCTGGACGCTCGCGACGTCGGGCGCCGGCGCCATGACGCTCCTCGCCGTCGACGCGAGCGTGACCGCCGGGCGCGCGCTGCTCGTCCCCGCCGGCCTGGGGCTGGGCATGCTGTACCCGGCGCTCGCGATGCCCGTCCAGCCGGCCGTCGGCGCGGACCTCGCGGGCGTGGCGACGGGCACGCTGTGCTTCTTCCGCTCGCTGGGCATGACGCTCGGCCTCGCCATCGGCTCTGCCGTCTTCTCCAACAGGTTTGCGGCGCTGCTGCGCGACAGCGGCCTCGCGGACCTTGATGGCTTTGATTCCGGCGCGAGAGACGCGGTGGGATTTATCCCGCACCTGCGCGAGCACGACCTCTCGCCGGCGGACCTGCTGGCGCTGCGCAAGGTCTATGCGGCGTCGTTTAGGTCCATTTGCGTGGCTTTGTCCGTCGTTGCCGGCGTGGGGCTGCTGGCTACCGTCTTCATCAAGGATATGTCTATCGAGAGCGAGGATGAAGGGCGCCAGGCATTCCAAACCGAAGCCATCACTAGAGAAGACACTGTAGAAATGGCCCAAGACTGAGGCTCAGCTCAAACAATTAGACTACTCATAATCATTAAACTTCATCCCTCGTCAACATTACTGCCACCCGGTCTCATTACACCTCCACGAGAAACACAACAGTGCTGATAAGCATCATCCACACCACCTCACTGCCCGCCTGAACCCCACGAGCTCCTCCAGCGGTCGAACTTGCCGCTCCAGCAGTAGCCTCGCTGCTCGCAGTCTGGTCCGCACCAGTCCCCGACGACGTCCTCGTCGAGCTGACGACGCGTGAGCTCGAAGAAACCTTGTCGCTCGCAGACGTAGCCCCCAAGCCGCTCAAGATGAGGCCACCGAGGCCGGATCCGCCACTCGGCGCCAGCGTCGCGGTCGAGCCGTCGACAACCAGCTCCGTCACGCTGCTTGCCCCCGTCTGGACGCCAACCACCTCTCCGTCTCCAAGCGTCGTCGTCTGCCCGGGCGTCAAAGTCTGGCCGCCGACGACGATGCCGCCACCGGAGCCGACGCTCACAGTCTCGCCCGCAAACGTAGCCACCGCGCTTGCCGCCGTGGGCACCAGCGCCGCGGTGCTGCCGTCAACAACGACCTGCGTCGCCCCGTCGGTGCCCGTCTGGACCTCCACGACATCCCCCCCACTGAGCGTCGTCGTCTGCCCCGGCGTCAAAGTCTGGCCGCCAATAACCACAACACCACCACTGCTGCCCTCCGACACGACCACTCCTCCCACCGTGGCCACAGCCCCGCCACCACCACCCGTCGCCAACGTCGCCGTCGCCCCATCGACCACAACCTGCGTCGCCCCGCCAGCATCCGTCTGGACCTCCACGACATCCCCGCCGCTGAGCGTGATGCTCCCGCCCGGTGCCACCGTCTGGCCGCCAACAACCACAACACCACCACTGCTGCCCTCCGACACGACCACCCCTCCCACAGTCGCCACAGCAGCAGCACCACCCGTCTCAGAAGCAGCAGTAACAGCAGCAGCAGTCAACGTCGCGGCCACCGTCCCCCCAACCACCACCACCGTCCTGCCCGCCTCATCCGTCTGCGCCCCAACCGCCTCGCCCCCGACCGTCGCCGACGCCGCCCCCGACCCCACCGCCACCGTCTGCCCTCCCACGACAACAAAACCGCTACTCCCTGCCGTCCCGCCGACAACCTCAACCGTCTGCTGCTGCTGCTGCTGCTGCTGCCCCCCGGTGCCAGTACCAGTACCAGTACCACCAATCACCACCGCCGCCGAAGCCGCCGTAGCAGCAGCAGCAGTACCAGCAGTACCAGCAGAAGCACCCGCCGCAGAAACAGCAGAAGCGACACCCGTCGCATACGCCCCGCCCACATCGCTCACCACCGTGCTCCCGCCCACGACGAGCGCCGTGTTGCCCGCCGCGTCGGTCTGCAGGATGGCCACCGTCGGCGACGTCGGCGCATCATTCGCGCCCGCTGTTGTGCCTGAAGCGGCGGTACTGCCGGTCCCCTCTCCTTCGCTCAACGTCACGCTCTGCCCCGCCGTGCTGAGCGTCTGGCCGCCGATGGCGACGACGACGGCGCTGGCGCTGCTGGTGCTGGTGCCGGCGTCCCCGGCGTCCCCGCTGTTGGTAGGTGGGACGGCGGTGGCGGGAGGATTGGACGTGTCCGGCGAGACGGGAGACAGTGTTGCGGAGCCGACGACGACGACGCCACCGCCGCCGTTCGTGGTGGTGGTGGAGGAACCGGAGGGGCCTTGAGTTGCGCCTCCACCTCCACTTGCACCTCCACTTGCACCGCCGCTGCCGCTGTCGCCCGCCGATGTCTCGCTCGCGACGGGAGCGGGGGAACTGGCGGTGGGTGCCGCGGCGTCATCGCTGCTGCCCGTTACGGGGACGACGACGGCAGGGAGGGAGGGCGAGCTGGTGGTGGCGGGGGCGTCGTTGCCGCCGGCGTTGTTCGTCGTCGTCGTGACGACCGGCTGCTGGCCGGAGGACTGCTGGGCGGCTTCGGAGGAGGCGATGAGGGAGATGATGACGCCGAGGCCGTCGTTGCTGCTGCTGGTAGACGGCGATGGCGATGGCGATGGCGAGGGCGCCGTGGCCTCGGTCGTTGCGGGCGGCGGCGCGGGTGAAGAGGTGTCGGAATCGGCTTGGGATTGCGGAGGCGGCGCGGTCGTCGCTTCCGTCGTCGTCGTCGTCGATGGCTGCTGCCCCTCGACACCACTACTACCGGACACGGCCGGCGCAGGCTCCGTCGTCGACGTCGACTCCGCGGGGCCCGAATCCTCGTGCAGGGTGCTCGTCATGGTCAGGAACTGGACGGACGTCAGCACGCCGACGGGGGCCTGTGTCGACGTCTCGTAGTCCTGGCCCGGCGGCAGCGGGACGAGCCCGGTCGTGCACGAGAGGGGGACGGCGTCCGTGGCGTAGGGGGTGGGGATGCCCGGCACGTGGGTGTCGGCGATTTCGGTGTCGAAGTCCCAGTCGATGCCGGCGGGGTCGCTCGGGTCGACGGGCAGGGCGGCGTCGTCGCCGAGGGGCTGCAGGGTGATGAATGGAACATAGGCGCCCGAGGCGCGCGTGGCGAAGTCTGTGAAGGGGCCGGTGCTGGTGGTGAGGAAGTTGCGCTCGGTGGTGAGGTAGGTCTTTGTGCCGGAGAAGTAGTAGGGGGCCCAGGAGCAGACGGAGGCGCCGGCGGCGTCGGTGGTGGCGACCTCGCCCCACCACGTGTAGCCGGACGAGTAGGCCGTGTAGCGCGAGGGGTAGACGATGGTGGTGACGAAGGTGGTCCAGTTGCCGGGGGCGCCGGTGGGGGCGGAGAGGGTGATTTCCTGGGTGCGGGTGCCGGCCGTGTTGGTGGGCAGGGCGGTGATGTCGGCCGGGAGGGTGAAGTACGAGGTCGAGGTGCGGGTGGTGTTTGTGCGGTTGTTGATGATGAGGTACTCGACGGCGTATTCGACCGTCGTCGTGCCCGCCCACGACGTCCGCTTGGTCCACCCGAACGCCTGGGCCCAGGCGGACGAGTAGGTGCAGTTGGCCTCACATGTCCCCGGCACCGTCGTCGGGGCTGGCGGGTAGGCCGCTGTCGCGTTTGCGTACGGCCCGCCGGCTGCACTGACTGTCAGCACCTGCGTTGATCACTCGACACTCGTTCGGACGGCATACTTCGCACTGGTGTGACCTGGGCGGCTGCGCTCGAGGCGAGCAGCAAAGCAGCGAGAGGGATCAGCATGGTCGTAAATGCACTGCACGGCCGGGAGATGGGAGGCCAGCGGGCGTGGACGACGGCACTGCAGGGCTTTTAATCTGTGCTGCGGAGACAGCGTGGCATGATTCAAGGCCCCATGCTGGATATTAGGCAGCTAACAGCAAAGTCTTGGGTTCAAAGCGCCTCATCCTTGAACGGAGAGTGCAGTGCGGGCTCAGAGTGCCGGTTGTGGTGATTGTGCTGACCAGCAATTCATTGAATGTAACTAGGGCATTGCTAGCTGCAGAAACGGCGGCGGGTGCCGGGCGGGCAGGCGAATGGCGGCCCACGGCTGTGCGGGGCGCGGCAGGGGCGCCTCGCAGGCCGGCATGGGGCTGCATGGGGCTGCATGCTGGGGGCCAAAAACCCGGGCCAAAACCCAGCCTCCCGGGGCCGCAAACAACGCACACCAAACCGCCCAGTCCAGGCCCGCGTGTGCCTGAAAATCCTTCACGTGTCCATCATGCGCATGCTGTGCTCCGGGTACCTCGTCCCCACGACCTCGAAGCTCTCCAGGATCCTGTCAATCTCGTCCATCTCGTCGTCGGTCAGGTCGACGATGCGCGAGTTCTCCTCGACCCGCTCGGGCGTCGTCGCGCCGGGGATGGGGATGATGACGGGCATGCCGGGCCGCCTGGAGAGGGCCAGCAGCCAGTTGATGGCCAGCTGCGCCGGCGTGCACCCCTTGCCGCGCGCAAACCTCTCCAGCGTGCGCACGAGCTCCATGTTCTTCTCGAACGCCTCGCGCTGGAACCGCGGGAACCCGCCCCTCCGCTTGTAGTCGTCCTCGGGCACGTCCTCGAACCTCTTGTACTTGCCCGCCAGCATGCCCTGGCCCACCGGCCCGTACCTGCAGAACCAATCAGCACGCGCTTCCCACCCACGAACAATTACCCAAACAGGAAAAAAACCACATAACGACTTGACAGTAGTACTTACGCAAGTATCGGAATCCCCAACTCCGCACACGCCTCCGCGACCCCATTCCTCAACGGCTCCCTCTGCCACAACGACAGCTCCACCTCCACCGACGCGACCCGCACCATCCCCGCCGCCTCGCGGATCGTCGCCGCGCTCACCTCGCTCAGCGCCACGCCCCCGATCTTCCCTTCCCGCACCATCTCCGCCAACGCCCCCAGCGTCTCCGCCAACGGCACCTCCGGGTCCCTGCGCGCGGGCTCGAAGACGTCGATCTTCTTCCCCCCGCGCGGGCCGCCGAGCATCTCCACGCACGCGTCGACGCTGCGGATCACGTCGGCGCGGCGCGTCGCGATCTTCAGCCCGGGCCCCTGCCCGCCCGGCTGCTGCTGCACGAGCACGCAACCCTTGATGTTGAGGGAGACGGCGTCGGCGGCGTCGATGGCGTCGGCGGCGTGCTGGTGCTGCTGCCCGTCATGATGCCGCGCAGGATCAAAGTAGCGGCGCAGCAGCGTGAGCGAGTTGTTGTCGGGTGGGCCGTAGAACTCGCCGCCGTTCCACGCCGTGCAGCCCGTGCGGAGGGCGGCGTCGAGCGTCGCGAAGCTTTGCGCTTCTGGCGTGGGGCGGAAGGTGAGGCCTGCAGTGGGATGGGGAGGTGGTGGTGTTAGCGTGAGGTTCTTTCTTTCTTTCTTTCTCTCTTTCTCTCTTTCTCTCTCTCTCTCTCTCTCTCTCTCTCTCTCTTTCTCTGTGTGTGTGTCAAGATTGGAGGTGGTGAGGGGGGCGTGGAGTGATTCATGTATACATACCCATCAGCCCGAAGCCGATGGGGCCGACTTCCTTGCCGTGTAACAGAGGCATCGATTGACTGTGTGGTGTGAATTGAGGCAACGAGAGAAAAAAATCCGGCTCTTTTCCCTTCTTTTTTTTTTCTTCAATGCGAGAGCAGAAGAAAGCTGCTACCTTTGCAACCAATTGATGATGGTAAAAAAGCCAATGCGGCCACGTCGTTCTCTTATATATCACGAGCTTGAGGGAAAGGAAGCGCTAGTTTGGGCTACCTAGGGCTACTCACCGAACACGGAGTTATCGTGCGTGTTCCCGCCACTTAACACCGATACACCCACCAACCCAGCACGGCGGACCAAGGTTACACACGCGCGCTGTCGCGCATTGGGGGTCGTGGAATTAAGCTCTTAACGCCTTCCGTTGGGATGTGTTGCCGTCCGTACGTTTGTGCGGTAGGCTGGAGGTTGGGTGCCTCCCGTCTCCTACGTAGTATTCGCCCTGCGTATGACTGACGACATCGACAACGTCATGTGCTAATCCTGAAGCTGTTTGGTGCAGTGATAAAAAAAAATAGGGTTTCCGGGTCGCAACGTCGCGCAGTACCGATCGGATGGTACTGTCCGCATGCGGCAGCAAACGTCGACACCCGAACTATAAGCAATCAGTAGCACGATACGCTAAGCAGTCGCTTAAACCCGGATTACGCAAGAAAGTATCATGTATATTCTCAGCCCTTCGTGACACTCACACTACCTTTTACGGCATCCGCCATCTCCGATTTGCCTAATCAGGCTGAAGCACAATTCTCCGCCTATACCCGAATCTCCAGTTATATACCATCTCTTATGCCCACACTTCTCCCACCTATCCCCGAAATCTCCAAATATATACCATCTCTTTACATCCACACTCCTCCCCACTCCCCCCACAATATTCCAATCCCACAAAACCAATCCGACAAACCCATCCTCAGCGCACGTGCTCCACCTCCCCCTCCCTCAACCCACCAGCAATAGTACCACCAGGACTCCTCTCATCCGCCTCCAACACCTCCCTAATCCGCTGACTCGGCAACCACCGCTCAGCAGGCACGACCCACCAACTCAGCACCGCAAACACCGTCACAATCCCCATAATAACCGGCGCATAATTCAGCGTCTCGGCGCTGACGGGCCACGCGTACGGGCTGAACAGCACCGCGACGACCCAGCCGTTCCAAAAGACGGCCACGACCTGGAACGGCTTGCTCCAGGCGCCGAGGCTCCACCGCGGGCGCGGGAACGTCTTGGGCGTGAGCAGCAGGCGGCCCAGGCAGATGAGGCCGTACGCCGCCGCCGACGGCACGCCCGCGGCCGAGACGAGCGACGTGAAGGCCACGCCCGACGGCAGGATGCTGCACGTCACGAGCGCGGCGACGCCCCAGACGACGAGGACCGCGTTCTTGGGCTGGCCCGTGGCGGGGTCGACGCGCGAGACCCAGGGGGAGAAGGGGAGGACGCCGTCGCGGGCGACGGCGAAGACGAGCCGGGAGGCAGCGATGATGGCGATGGCTGTGTTCTGTGTGTGCGTCGGAGAGAGAGAGATTGGAGTTAGAACGACGTGTGGGGTTTTGGGGAGGGGGGGGGAAGGTGGAGAGGCAAAGACGTACAAACCAGAGCGCGATTACGCAGACGACGTTCATGACGATGTGGCCGCCCTTGCCGAGGATGACGGCGTAGAGAGGGACGAAGGGCTGGGCGCCGCCGAAGGAGAAGAGAGTGTCGGCGTCGGGCTGTCGCGTCGACGTGTTAGTCGGGCCATGGTCGAAAGAGGCGGCCGGGTTGAGACTTACGACGCAGAACAGGAATAAGATGACGACGACGAAGCCGCCGAGTCCGCTGACCACGGTACTCCAGAAGATGCCGCGGGCGGCGGAGATGGAGGCGTTGCGCGTCTCCTCGGCAATGTGGCCGGAGGCGTCGAAGCCGATGAGTATGCCGGCCGTGGCAAGGTAAGAGAGACACCAATTCCAACCGGCAGGGGCGCCGGTGCCGTTGTACGTCGTCATGAAGGCATCGTGAGTCGAGCGGAACCCGTACGTGTTGGCGGTGCCGATGGGCAGCCAGATCAGGTTCATGAGAAAGTCAAGGACGACGGTGAAGGATGATGCGTAGAAGACCCAGCGGAAGTAGCGGGCTGTTGCGGTCCGCGTTAGCATCGCAGGCCAAGACAGTTGAATGGGGCGACTTGCGAGGGATGAGGTTGGCAATGGCAGCGACGGCCAACAGGACTTCGGTGCAGATCCATTGGACGGCTCGGAACTTGACGCTAGATGCATCGGAGGGGAAGTCTACGTTGAAGACTACGATTTCCTGCGGCGAGGTCAGCATGGCAAGCAATTGAAGCTGGACACATCAGCTTACAGAAAGCATATAATTGACCGCTGCCTGAGTGTTGCCTGGGCCATGTCAGCTGAGATGCATGCTCGGACTGCGGACGGCTTACTGGCGCAGAAGGTCGTCCATGCCGTTGTGCTCCACCAAGCCACAACAAATCCAAAGAGTCTACCGAAGCGAGGGCCACCGGCTTCGGCAGCCCACAGGTAGATGGATCCAGCCAACGGAAGGGAGGAGCATGTTTCGGCAATAACGGCTGCTGTTATGAAGGTGAAGACACAGGTGACAATGAAGCTCGTCCTGGGAGGAAGACTTCGTTACCAAAAGGTCGCAGAGACGGGAGGCGTTAACGTTGCTCACCAGTAAGCAAGGTTCCCGCCCGCGGCAATTCCAGTACTAAATGTCACGCGCACACCGCCAATGAAGTACAGCGCGGCTGAGCTGATCAGCACTGATGGGCGCTTCAACAGCAGCCAAAGAGCTTACCAAACGTGGTGGCGAAGTTGTGGAAGAGGTTGTATGTTCGGTGTAACACCTGCACGGATCAGGAAACAGTCTCGGAGTCTTGAAAGCGGCACCATCGTACCGGCTTGTAGCCAAGGTGGCGCTACCAACGCGGTCAGCAAGACTCATGCAAGGGAAAGCAGGCACGGCTTGCCAGAATCTCGGCGTCCTGGGAATCGGCTTCCTCGACGAGCGGCTCTTCGCCCCGCTTCGGCGCCAAGTCCGCATCGTGCTGGGACATTGTGGGGGCTCCGGGTCCAACGTCAGCGCCGGCGAAGCTTGTCGATACGTCGGTTGATCCAGTCCCTCTCGCGCCGCTCGAACGGGTGCGGATGCGGGTGATAATGTGGGTGGTTGAGTGAGCAGCACGCAATTGGTGAAGGAGTCTGCGTCATGCACGAATTTTGACGCGCCCCGGTCGCGCCTTCGGCCTCAGATCCTCGCTCGGCAAAGCTGCGATCTCGGAGTCCAATCACAACCGCTGCAAACATCAGATGCTCGCAACTGGCCCTTTCCCCGACGGATTCTCGTCCGTAAAGGGCGTGGGATACGATGACCGCCAGAAAGCGCGGCTGACGCAATTGCTTGCCAAGTGCTGCTTAAGCGCTTGTAGAAAACCACATAGAAGGGCGCCTCTATGTCATCTCTTTAGACGCTATTAGTAGACTCATCCGCAACAGAGCCATGAGTCTAGCATGGCCACCTGCCTACGTGGCGATATTGCTGCTCTTCACAATTCTCATTGTCGAGGTTAGTCACATGCCACGGAGAAGAAAGACGCAACTTTGACCTCCATCAGGGCATCAAGAGGAAATACCTCTCTTCGCTGAGGGCCGTGCCTAATGCCAGTGTTCTGGCGCCATTCTCGCGCCTGCTATGGGCTTTCCCACAGGAGCATTTCGGCAACATCACACTTGCGCTCCCACGCCTGCACGAAAAGCTCGGTCAGTGCCCGAAGCCGTCTGTGGGCATCTGGCAGTCGATACTGAGCCCGCCGAATAGGCCCGTTGGTCCGCATTGGCCCGAACGAGGTGTCGTACTATTCCCTGGACGTGTACGACCTGGTGCACAAAGTCCGCAGCGAGTTCGCCAAGGATCCCCGGATCTACGGCGAATTCGTGCAAGATGGCCACCCCGCCCTCTTCTCCATCACGTACGAGGACGCTGGCTGAACAGTGCCCGACCATCAAAACTGATTTTGTGATTTTTTCGCAGTGACGCCGAGGAGCATGCGAAACGCCGGAGACTGATGGGCCAGCTGTTCAATTTGAGCAAAATGGACAATCTGACGGAGCTGATGCTGCAGCAGGTTGACATTTTCGTGTCGGCCTTGAAACAGCGCCGCGGCCGGCCCGTCGATTTGGTACCTGCATGTCGAGCTTTGGAAGCAGACATAGTTTGTATGCAGCTCCAGTGATTTGGGCTCGAGTGTTTTGTTAACCGACATGCAGCGTCATTTGGATTCGGCACCGTCGTCGGCGCCATATCCTCGTGGTCAAAGGGGGAGGAGCTTCCCATGGTAGCGAAGAACGACGAAAAGGCAACCTGGATGCCGCTGGTAAGCGCATCGTCCCAGACATGCAAGAGGAAAAGAAAAGGAGAAACCGGAGGATAAGCAACGCACTGATCAGGTCACCAGATCACGAACTTCCCGCGTCTCTGCCTCGTCTGGGAAAGGTTGGAGAATCTCGTCTTTGCCGCCACCGGATTGCACACCATATACCATCGTGCTATGCTTGAATTCGATTCCGTAGGGACAATCTCGCAGCCGCAGCCCGATTCTGCACATGCTAACAGTCCGTTCGCCCCCAGTGGTCTTCTGCAGCTGGACTGCAAGCCAACCAGCCGACTTCAAAGTTACCCAGTAGCAGCAGTCGTCCGAACTTCATCCGCGTCATGGTCAGGTCGGGGCTGGCGCCGCAGAGCGCGCTCTCCGAGGCCAAAGAGATGCTGGGGCCTGGCACTGATACAACATCGGCGTCGCTCGCGCACATCTTATGGGCGCTGGCGCACAACCCGCAGTACCAAGACGAACTGTTCGACGACCTCGCTAGACACGGGTTCGCGGAGCACATGGGCGGCCTCGAGGGCATACCGAGGCTGAAGGCCTGCGTCAAGGAGGGAATACGATGGGCGGGCGCGGCAGCCGCCATGCTGCCTCGTGTAGTGCCCGACGACGGTGTCGAGCTGTGTGGCAAATTCATCCCCGGTGGAGTATGTACCGTCCGTTCTGATTCAATCCGAGTACACAATGCCCGTCGCGGACTAGACTGACTGGTTCCTCGTACGATAGACGATCGTGAGCTCGTCCCCGATCTGGTACCTGCGGGACAAGACGGCATTCCCCAACCCGGACGAGTACGATCCGTACCGATGGCTGAGCGCGGACGGGCAAAGGCTGAGAGACGGGCTCGCGCTCAGAGACAAGTACTACATCCCCTTCTCGAAAGGGCCGAATGTCTGCATCGGTGCGCAGTAAGTCTTCCAAGACGCCATTACTCCCCTCCCCCTCACCCCTTGACAACCCCAATCTCCACAGCTTTGAAAGTGTGTTGGGTAGAGAGAAAGCTGACTAGCCTGTACAACGGCATAAGTTTCTCGTATTACGAGCTGTACCTCGCCGTTTCGCACGTCGTCCGTAATTTCCGCATCCGGCTGGGCGCGAAGTCACTCTCGCCGGAGCAGCAGCAACAGCAACAGCAACAGCAGCAGCAGAGTCGCGGGCTGCTGCGGGCCATGTCGACGAGTGCGAGCGGGTTTCAGCCGGTGCAGCTGCCGGGGCGGCGCGAGTGGGTTGCGGCTGCGCCGACGCAGAAGCTGTTGGTGGTGCTGGACGAAAGAAAGGAGTGATGACAACACACGAGTGGGTGCAAGGCAGCAAGACGAGGCGAGCTGGGCGGGTGGGCCCCGTGCGGGGCGCGAAGCCCACAGAATTGCGTAGTAAATCATTGCTTCGACAATCGACATGATGATGCGACCCTCGTCCTCGTTGGGCGTGCAGCCGTGCTGGTTCGTCCATGATCCCCCCGAGCGACAAGATCCACCGAGGCGTCGAGCTGGCGGGCGGCCCGAAAGATGGGTGCGCTGGATCTCAGGCCGGGCCCCCATGGCTCTGTTGTCGTCCGGTCGGCCTACGTCGACAATGTTCGATCCCATTCCCGATCTCAAGGAAGAAGGTGCTCGTGTTCGCTTGGGGATTTGGGTGCATCTTCTCACCGAGATCCGGCAACATGTGGCCCTGGCGGGCTCGCGTGTTGCGGTAGTCTTGACCAAGGCCTCGGTTCGAAACAGATCGACGAGAGCGGGGCAAGTGGAGGCGAGTCCTCGCGAGTCCTCGACGCCTTCGTCGTATCGTCGGCCTCCGGGACTGCCGACCTACTGCTAATAAGCTGTACGCAGTACACAGGTACACAGGAGCCTGTCGCCCGGTGGCCGCGAGAAAGCCGAGCAAAAGCCTGCAGGGCGCGCTTGTGGCATCCAAGGAGCGACGTGATCAAAGCGTCGCGGCCGGCACGATAGGTAGATGCGACAGGCCAAGGTTTTATGGTGCTCCCTCTCTGTGTGCTAGTGTTCTTATTTTGGCCGTTTCGAGGGTCGGGCGATCCTTGGGCGGCCTGAGAGCGTGTCACGACGGCGGCAGAGGGCTGATGGCGGCTCAGCGGTCGCCGCAGAAGGGCGGTCGTGCATGCTTCGGGCAAGCAACTGTCCAAAAGCGCGCAACTGACACCGCGGCCCTGGAAATTGGCATGGGTGCGCATATTCGTGGCGGACGTGATTGGCGGCGGAGCGGAGGCCGCTAGCCGTGGCTGAGGGGCGCAGCTGAAACGGCGAGCCGCTCGACTTTTCACACCTCACAACCGCCCTCTCCACTTCGGCTTCCACCAGCGCCCTGCCGCGCGTTACGCCGTGACGCTGCACCGTGGGCCAGCGGCCGCCGCCGATCGCTGTGCGAGATCAGCCATGACGCCAGACGCGCGCGGGAGCCCGTCGCTGGCCGCTCGGAAGCCCTACTGCTAGCAGCATGGATCCACGCGGGATTCGGCCGTCGTGGCCAGCCGGGGGCCTGTTCTCCTGACGATCGCTGTCCGCCATGGCGTGTGCATCCTTGGTCCAGGAACAGCCGTCCATCAGCCGCCGATGCTCGTGACAAACCCACCCGGCCTTTGCACCGCCGCCATTGGCCCGCCGCCGGATGGGGAATCAGAGCGCTGGCCGCTCAAACAGCCAACCGCGTGCTCGGTCCACAATTCGATACGAAGGGGTTTTGCTGCCCATGCGGGTGCCATGCCGTCATGTTCCGGCCTGGGGTGGCCGCCGTTGTGATAAAGCCTCTCGTCCAGCCAGCCCCCAATGCCCTGCCAACTCGCCCTGTACACTCTCTCTTAGTTTTTCTGTTTTGCTGTCTCGGGGTGTGGCCGCCAATCATTCTTTCTGTCACTCTCTTCTAGCATCATGACTCGCTACTACTCGCTGCTGCCGCTTGCAGCCCTACTCGCTCTCTTCAACAACGTATCACAAGCCAGGCCTATCAACGATGACCTATTAGACCAATACGACTACATCATTGTCGGCGGAGGTGCCAGCGGCCTCACCGTCGCCAACCGCCTGAGCGAGGACCCCGACGTCACTGTTCTCGTCCTTGAGGCCGGCCCCGTCGACCAGGATGAGGAGTGGCTGCGCGCTCCCTTCTTCGTCGGCAACGACCCCAACCCCCCGGCCGGCGCCCTCTCCGGCCATCTGGACTACGACTGGAACTTCGGAACCGAGGCTCAGACTTTCCTCGATGGCAAAACGAGGCACTACCCTCTCGGCCGCGGTGTTGGTGGTGGAACTCTGATCAACGGAATGCTGTGGAACAGGGGCAACATTGGTGACTACGACGACTGGGCAACCCTGATTGGCGATGATGGCTGGGGCTGGGATTCCATGATGCAGTACTTCAAGAGGGTAAGGGAACGCAGCCAGCGTCTTACCGAAAGTGCGCTAACCCTCCTGCCAGAGCGAAACCTTCTCCGCCGACTATTCGGCCGAGAACGCTGCCCTGTACCAGATCCACAGCGGCGACTCGGTCCATGGCTTGGCCCAGGGCGGTGTCAACGTCACTTACCAGCGCCACTTCTACACCGGCACCGAGCACTTTTACAATGCGCTCAACGAGCTCGGCGTCCCCACCGAGGGTGACCCTAACGCCGGTGACAATGCCGGCGTCTCCTTCCTACCCATGACCATCCACCCGGAGACGAAGCAGCGTGCCGATGCCCGCAGGGTTCACTACGACCCCCACGCCTCGCGTGACAACCTTTACATCTCCAGCGGCCAGTTCGTGACCCGCCTTCTTTGGGACGACAACTCTGACTGTGGCAATGCTCCCGGTCCTTTCGCCAACGGTACCTCTCCTTCCGGCCATGGTGGCTCCAATGGCACCTCTTCTTCCGGCAATGGTGGCTCCGACGGCACAGGCAGCTCGTCTTCTGTGGGTGGCAGCGACCAGGCCAACCCCTCGGATCCCTCGAACCCCTTCAGCGCACCCTCTGGATCGGGTGTTGATGGCGTTTCGTCCGGTGCGCCCAATGCCAACAGCTCGGCCTCGGGTTCTGCTTCTGGATCGGCTTCAGGCTCGCACTCCGGCTCCAGCTCTGGTGCGCCCTACTCCAACGTGACCGTCCCCACTTGGGCCAACAGCAGCACGCCTTCGACCAGTTCCAGCGTTGATGGCGCGGTCGGTAGGGGCAGGCACTGGGGCTTCAAGTCCACCAGCGTCGGCGCCGAGGACCTGAAGGGCGGGGTGGGCATCTTCAACTTGTTCCAGACCGGCAGCCTCTTCGACCTGCTGAAGAGCTCTGCGCCCGCCGACTGGAACCCCGACTCGGGTGTTGAGATTCACGAAGTCACGACCACCAGCTACACCTGCAACTGCCCGGACAGCACCTGCTCTGAGGACAACAGCACGCCCAAGAAACGCAGCACCAAGAAGAGCAAGCGCCAGCAGCCTAACCAGCAGTGCAAGCAGCGTGTGCAGGGCGTTGAGTACGCCGCGTCGGCCAATGCCCAGCGGCGCACCATCACCGCCCGCCGCGAGGTCATCCTCGCCGCCGGTGCCGTCCACACTCCCCTGATTCTGCAGCAATCCGGTGTTGGTGATGCCGACTTCCTCGCCACCATGGACATCACGGCGCGCATCGACCTGCCCGGTGTTGGCAACAACTACCAGGACCACTACATGCTGGCCAGCAACAACCACTTCGCCGCCAACGACGACGTCCCCGTCACCTACGCCGACAACACCGAGGCCAACCGCGCCGAGTTCTTCAACGAGGGAACCGGTCCCTGGACCGCCGGCCCGCCCAATGGCGTCGCGTTCCCCTCGCTCAAGGACATGTCCGACAACTTTACCGCCGTGCTCGAGTGGGCTCGCTCGCAGACGTCGGGCCAGCACCTGCTCGACGGTCTCGACGAGACTGTCATCGCCGGCTACGACCGCCAGCACGAGCTGCTCGTCAATGCCCTGAACGACGCCGCCCGTGGCCAGTTCGAGATCCTGAACAGCAACTCGGGCTCCTTCACCTACTCGATCATGAAGCCCCTGTCGCGCGGCCAGATCCGCATCCGCAGCACCAACCCCTTCGACACGCCCGTCCTCGACCCGCGCTACGGCAGCAACCCCGTCGACCTGCAGTACCTGATGGAAGCGTTCCGCTTCAACCACCGCCTCGTCCAGACGGACGCGCTCGCCGCGCTCCGGCCCGAGGAAAACTACCCGACGGCCGCGCAGGTCGCCGACGACGCGCGCCTCCTGACGCTCATCAAGGGCGGCATCTTCACCGAGTACCACCCCACGGGCACCACGTCGATGCTGCCGCTCGAGCTCGGCGGCGTCGTCGACGCCAGCCTGACCGTGTACGGCACCTCGAACCTGCGCATCGTTGACAGCGGCGTCATGCCGCTCATCCCCGCCGCGCATCTGCAGGCGTGCGTGTACGGCGTCGCTGAGAAGGCGGCGGATCTGATCCGTGGTAACTAGATGATGGGTTGTACTGTAGATGTTTTGAGATGTGTAAAAATAAAAACGGGGAAGGGGTGTTCGGAACCCCGCGGGCTACTGGCTGGACTTTTTGGTGTATATGGATAACGGAGCGTCTGGACTTTTTTGTTATCTTTTGACTCTCGCTCTAGATTGGTCTTGGGGGAGATGGGCATGGAAACACACACGGCAACATATGTCTGTTAGATACCAATGTTTAATTTGTTATGCGCATGGGCGCTCTCTCTCGCTGTACGCTGACTTGTGATGTTGAAGTAAATGTTCGAGCGTGGGTGCGGATTCTTAATAGTACGGATACGTCCGGATGTCGGATTCTACTCCTCACGTAAGCCGGGTGTAACATTTCTGAGACATCAGATGTAAGCTGGCTTATTGTGTCATACTTAGACATGTGGACGAATGCTTCGTCATACCCTTTGTTGCTGTCGTGAGAGACGCATCCCGACGATAGCGATAATGCTAGACACAATTATAACTAACGTCGCCACGATGGAAACGTTTGCCGAGATGACTATCGAGACATGACCGTCATGCCGTCAAGATTTAGTCTGCAACCAGTCTGACGCTTCCAGCGGTTTTGTCCCAAAGAAGGCAGGTGTTTCAAAGTCAACCCTTGCATAGGGCGCATGAAATGCTTGGCGTTTACCAACGCCTTGGTGTTGGATCTGCAGACTTGCACCGGGACCTGATGCCACGTGCTTACATTGATGATCATGGTAATATAGTTTGCGGTGATTATTTTTGGAATAAAGTTACACAAAATCCTAGAGGAGGGCGTAAATATCTAATCGAGTGGACGTACGATCAGGAGCATTCAATACAAGACCCAGCGTCAAAAGTCCTGGTGACTTTACAAAAGATATGCAGATGAGCTTCAAAATCAAGAGCCTTGTAACCTGATCCGAACCATCTCCTGATGCCAGCACATGCAAGTTCGAGCTGGCTTTTCGGAGCAAAAAAAAATCCCCGTGCCGCTCCTCCCACTTTGGGAAGGTCGCTCTGCACGATTGCCCCTACATGATTGGCTACAGCACAGCAAGTGGGTCCCCCCGTCGGCCGCAGCAGCTGCACCCCACCCCCACCTGCCCAAACTCACGGATACACCTACATACTTCCGACACGCAAACATCCCCCGCGAAGATCAACACATCCCGGCCCACTGCACCGCACCCACCAACCCACCGACCAACAAGGAAAGAAAGAAAAAGAAACCAATAATATCGACGTACACCACCCCAAACACCACGATGCCATCCCAACAATACACCCCTCCCAGCAGCACCTCCTCCCCCGCGCCGCCACCGCCACCACCACCACCGCCCTCCTCAGCTCCCCCTCCCCACGACTCCTCCCTCCTCACCCTCCCCCACCCCACCGCCCTGATCCCCCCGTCCGTCGACCCCTCCCTTTCCCCGCCCCCCACCATCCTCGTCACCGGCGCCAACGGCCTCATCGCCTCCCACCTCTGCCACCAGCTCCTCCTCCACGGCTACCGCGTGCGCGGCGCCGTCCGCGACGCCCGCAAACACGCGTGGTTGACCGCGCATTTCGCCTCGTTCGTCTGCCACGACAACGACGAAAACGACAACGATGCCTCCAACAATGCTTCCAACGACAACGGCAACGATGCCTCCAACGAAAACGGCAACGATGCCTCCAACGAAAACGATGGCGCCTCCAACGACGCCTCCAACGTCAACGACAACGCAACCGCAAAACCAAAAAAACCAACCCCTCGCTTCGAGCTCGTCCAAGTGCCCGACATGCGCGCCCCCGGCGCGTTCGACGAGGCGGTGCGAGGCGTCGAGGCGGTGGCGCACGTCGCGAGCGTCATGTTGGGCGCCGGCGGCGACCACCCCGTGCGCGACGTCGTCGGCGGGACGGTGGAGGGGGCGCGGCGGGTGTTGGAGGCGGTGCAGGCGCAATATGAGGCCGGGCGGCGCGCGGAGGACGGGGCGGCGGCGCCGGCGCCGGGGGTGCGGCGGGTGGTGTTTACGAGCTCGGCGGTGGCGGTGCGGGATATGGAGGCGTTTCATGATCGTGGGAACGGGAGTGAGACGCTGGGCGCGGTGGAGGGGCCGGGGGAGTGGAATGTTGGCGTGGTGGAGGCGGTGGAGGGGGGGAGGGCGGAGGGGTTGCCGGCCGGTGGGGCGGAGCGGGTCATGATGGCGTATGCGGCGGGGAAGACGATGGCGGAGAGGGAGGTGTGGGCGTGGGCGGCGGGGGAGGGGGCTAGGGATGGGGTCGTTGTGAATACGGGTGAGTGTTTGTGTGCTGGTGTTTGTGTGTGGGGAGGCCAGATGGACGTCGTGCTTACTTTTGTGCGGGAAACTGTAGTGGTTCCGGCTGGTGTGTTCGGGAGGCCGCTCAGCCATGAGCATCAGGGCTATCCGTCGTCGTCGCAGTGGGCGCCAAAGGCCTTTACGGGGGATCCGGACTTCAAGCAGTTCCCGAATTGTCAGTATCGCCCCATGTACTGTTGACTGCTGCTGCTGCATGAGAGTTGCTGACGCGTCTGGCAGTCTACTGGATCAACATCAAAGACATGGCGCGCCTCCATGTGGCAGCGCTGGTGCATCCCGGCGTTGTGAACGAGCGCATCTTCGGCTTTGCGGGAACCTACACGATGAATGAGTTTCTCGCTTTCTACCGCAAACACTACCCGGATCGGGAATTCCCGGCGGATATCCCGGGCCTGGAATCCGATCTGGTCGAAGTCAAGCCTGCCAAAAGGGCTGAGGAAATTCTCAAGGGAATGGGAAGGCCGGGATTCGAGACGCTGGAGGACACTGTGATGGACAACATCATAGATATCGCTTAGGCTCTTAGCAGCTAAAATTTTAGGATTTCTGTTGGTCAAGACTTGTGAGCCGCAGTGCCGTCAAAATGAGTCTGCAGTTTGTTTGAAAAGCACGAAGAGACGGAGCACAAACTTTGGCTAGGCCTTGGTGCTCTTACGGAATGTGGACTTACCTCTTGTTTTTTGTACTTGCGGAGCGGCAGAAAGGAAGTTGGCTGATATTGGAGCTTCGGAAACAGCTGCCTTAGACATTGCTCCGTCATCGCTCGCCCGGAGTAGCTCAAGAGAGGCGTGTTCTTAGAATAACCGTGCGGTATAGCATGTTAATAGTGCTCTTCTTAGATGGACTGTAAGGATTATACTCTTACCCACTACACTATGCGTATGCAGGCCCTCCGGGGCTAAAAGAGGTACTAGAATAAACTTAATTAAGTTTATTCTAGCATGGCAGGCTAATATATCTTCGTGCCCTGACATGGACTGGAAAAAGTTTGCCCTCGACGTGAGAACCGTGGAACTCTCCTAGATGACGAGAAGCACACCATTAACCTGTCCAGGACAAAGAACACGCAATGGGAGAACAGGTCACCTCATCACAGTTCAAAATTCCCTCGGCAGATTTTATTTTGAACTACCACAGGAAGGTTTCGTTGATGGAAATATAATATGTTTAGTTCACTCACTGGAAGTGCATTGAGCATCTCGGACCGGTAAATGATTGGAAGTAGAGAAACGGCTAGCATAAGTAGATGAAGCTTTTTGGCGTTTCGTTTGCCTCGTGGAAACGGAGTCACTGACTTCAAAGTGATTTCAATTGCTCCGTTGTAAAACTGACAACAGGGGTTCCGAGCCAGTATTAGCCGAAGCACCAGAGCCGCCAGACTCGATGGGCATGATAATCATTGATCTCGACGGAGTCAGCGGAATCGTTCAAGATGGCAAGACAGTGCACGTAACAAATCCTCTCGAACTGAACCTTGGGACGATTTCCCCGAACTTCAGGCTGCAGAAACATCTCTCTATGTTCTCATCCCGAGACACTTGACGTTGGTGAGGATGATATTGTTGTCCTGTGATGGTCAAGCCGTGCTCTAGCTCGACAAGTAATACCGGCGGAAGTCGAAAGATGGTCAGCGGTGTCGCATTGCTTGAAAATGGTTCGGTCACTGCAGAGATGGGCGGAAATATGAGGAGGCAGAGATAGATAATTGCGGATAAAACAACGAAAACACTAGGGTACCCCCGGCTCATATATGTACATGGAAACCCTATAATCTATAGGTCCACCATACTTAGTTTGTGGATTACATATATATTTCGTATGAAACGCGAAACGCCGTATGGTATTTCTAGATCGGTATAGTATTATTATTATTACAACGGTAACAGTATTTCGTTATATAATTTACCTATACTAGAGGGGTAATGCCGAGGTTTTATATAGACGTACTATTATATTACGAAATTACGGTCGCAGATCGCTTCGCGGGGTACTAAAGAACCTTCGTATACTTAGAGGAACGCTAGGTAGCTCGTTTAGATAGTCCTAATATAGTATATATATAATAGGTTTAGTCGGGGGTTATAGAAACCACTATAGTATTAAGCGAATAAAAGAGTAGATAATAGAGATTTATTATATTATTATAAGATAAATACTACTAATATAAGAAGAGGTCTCCCGCTCTTATACGGCCGCCTTTCTAGAGGACCGGCCCCTCTTCGGCTTCTTCGTAAAAACCTTACGATAAATAACCTTACGATAAATAATCTTATAATAAATAATACCCTCTTATTTATTATTAACCCTCTACGCTTCGTAACGCTATTAAACGATTACTAATAAATTATTACGCTTACGTTATAAGAGTAATTAGAACTATATCGTTACGTTCTCGAGCGCCGTACGTTCTTTAAGCCTCTTCTTCGCCGTCGCCTTCGCTTATTCGCTATAAGTCTTATTTATTATACGATTCTACTTAGTAACCTTCTTCTAGCGCTTATTACGTAGTAGCTACTACGTCTCTTTAATCTTACCGGATATCTTACGCTTCTAAAGTACGGGTATTAGCGATAACGATCGTATAGAGGGTAGTAGTAACGATAGTAGCGGCGGCCGCGGCGGTAGTATTATTAGCCTATAGGCCTTATCGTAGGCCTTATCGTAGGCCTTATTAATCGCGGGCGACTTATAGCGCGGAGAATTCTCTACTAAATCGGGCGTATTTTAGTAAGGATTCTCTAAGAGCTCGATATACTATAACCTATCTAGTTTCTTCGTGCGAGGCTTTGTTCGGCTAGCCTTATAATAGTATAACTATATTATAGTCTCGATTATAGCGATAGCTACCTAATTATCTTTAAAGCGACGTAGGAAGGCGACCTTCTAGCGCTTTATAAACTCTATAATAACGTCCTTCTATTATTAGCGGCGAAGATTACGCTATAGCCGTAGATAAAGCCTTCTATACTTATTAAGCTTATACTATACGTATTAATTAATAGTACTACGGGTCTAACGCTTTAAAATAGCGATAGATCGTACTAATTCGTAGACGTTATACTCGCGTACTATCTATAAGATATCGTTTTATATCGATTTCTTCTTTCTAGGCCGGGGTATATCGTCGTTTAGTATAGTATTAAGTTTATAGTAATAAACGCTTATATCGTAGTAATTTCGGTGTTTAGTATATATTTATATATAATATAGAATACTTAGAATAATATACTAAGAAATAATAATAATAATAATAATAATACGGGGGCCGCCGCCGCCGCCGCCGAGACCGCCGAAGCCCCCCCCCTAATACCTAAAAAATTTATTATACCCGTACTAATAGAAAATACCCGTTAGTAAGTTCGCCGCTTCTTCTTAATACTATTCTAAAGATGTCTAGCTATCGTACTAAGCGTAGATATAACTAGGCCTTCGTAGAATAATTTTAGAGCCCGCGATAGCGCTTTCCTACGGCCTAAAATTCTAACGAGGAATATTACGACGATAATAATACTAAATACGATAAAGAGCTACCGGCGCTAGATAATCTTAATATTCTAAACGTATCTAAATACGATTCTAATAGCGAAGATAATTATTATAATAATTTTAATATAAGTAACGATACGCCCTACGGTATACTACTTAAGATTCTTTTTAAGAATAATCCTCTAGTCCCTCTTCTTCTCGTTTACTATATAATCTACTAATAAATATAGAATAGATTAGATAACGCTTAAGAAGTTCTAACTTCTTCGCTACGTACGTAATATACCCCGGGGCGTATATAACGACCTCCGCCGGTACTTACTAGTAAATATCCTTCTATCGCGAAGATACGTTTCTAAGTAGCTTAAAAAGCTTATAGGTATTTATCTAACTCTTATTAACTACTATAAAGATAGCTATATAGCCTTTATTAGACCGTTCGCCGCCGATAAGCGCTATAGATACTACTCTAAGAGCCGATATTACGCCGAGACTCTCTACCGCCGCCGCCCTCGCCGTATATATACGTATATACCTATTATACCTAGATTAAGAGTATAATACCGCTACGCGGAGCGTACTAATATTATAAAGATATATTCTTAGCTTATATAAAACGTTTAGAGTGGTAGAATACTATAAAGATTATAAGATAATAATATAATTAAGTAGCCCTTAGATCTCGCTCTATAGCTATCTCTCGACGGTATACCGGTAGTTATCGATTAATATACCTACTCGAGTACTTTAGTAGTCGTTATAGTACTTAATCTATCTCTATAGCTTCGCTATAAGCGTAGTAATATTCTCGTAAGTTTTATTATACCTAGGCTAAGAAAATATAAGAATCTAGATAGCTATCTATAGCCACTAATCGAGGAGCTACGAGAACTAGAGTCACCCTATAGTATTAAGATATAGGACGGTTTAATATACCGTTATTTCCGCTTAAGAGCTATTATATCTCTTATAACGGATAACGGGCCTACTATTACTAATATTATAGGCTTAAAGATACCCGGTAACGCTATTTCGCCGTATAAATACTATAAGATTAAGGCACGGCGGTATACGAATAATAATTATTATTATTTCTATAGCGGCCTAGCTCTTAACCACCCTTAACGATCGTGCCTAAGGAACGATATACGCGATACTATAATTCTCGGACTAGAGAAGTAAAGAATCTTAGATAAGAAATATACTATAGAAAAAAGCGTATTAATTTCGTATTAATTTCGCGATTTTACTAGTAAAATATTACGTAAATACGCGATATTCTTCTATAAGTATTAGATTCGCTAATATATCCGTAGATATCGAACGAGAATTCTATCTATTAAGACTCTAAGCGATATACTTCCTACGAAGCTTTTCTATTAATACTATATATAATATACTTCTATAAGAATCTATAGCCGCGTCTCGTATACGCTTCGTATACGAGATCTATAGAAGTTACGTACTAGTTACGTAACTCTCGCTTAGCTATATATAAAAGCCCTTTAATCTACGGGCGAAGGCTAAATCCCTTAAGAATTCGTCTATTAATTATAAGCCCTCTTCTTATATCTATCTTAAGCTCCCTATTCGTGCCTTATATCTTATATTCGAATCCTTCTCTTTAAATAGCCGGTTTAGAATATCTTCTAAGCGGACTCCTCTTTTCGTACGCGACGCGTATACGTCGCGTACCGAAAACGCTACGGTCGTATAAGACCCCTTAACTAGGTCGGACTATCTAACTCCTAGCGAATTAGACGATAACGCCGACGAGATACCCCTAATACCTACTACTATAAAAGAACTCCTCTTTATAACGATTACGCCCGAAGACGTTATTACGAATTTAAAGGCTAAGATCTATAGGCTCTTTATAGTAATCCTAACCTCCTCGGCTTAAATTATCGAATTAAACGCTTTAATTAAGGGTCTATAGAAACGTATTAATATACTCTCTTAGCTAAGCGTATCTAAAACGTATACTTCTCGTATATATCTCGACTTCGAAGCGCGGAAGGCGATCTAGCGA